CACTGAACATCTGGAGTACAACACACATACGAATCGCTTGAAATTCTTCCCTACCGCGCTTCGCGTAAGAATGACGCTGTCCGAGTCGCTGTTCAGCGAATGTTATGGCGCCTTGAAAGAAAAAGAAATCTTTCGCTGAGGCCATAAATCAATATCTGCTGGCTGGATGCATTCCTTTTGTGGTGGAGCTTGCTGTGCTACGACATATAACTCGTGCCGCATATTGACGGAGTTTCTACCGGGGTGGAACAGACTGAGAAGATACCCGAACTGCGATGCCTTTCATACCGACAAGGTGTGGCAAGAGGCACAAGGTAGGCTGGAAGAACCATAAGAAAGGCCCCAGGTAATATTCCGTGCGTCGGAAGGTTCTGCTGGAGACTGGCCCAGAGCAACGCCTGGGAAGGCCACAAAACCGACCCAAGCCCAAACCAACCCGGAGACCTAGCAGTCGTACCCGCGTCGATGTTGTTCCTCTCGAAAGCGTCGAGTTCTTTGGTCATGGTTTCGACAAGAGGCTTCCAAATTTGCGTCGTAAGAACAGAACGCAAAAAAGCACCAGTATCGGAATGGGGTCAGACCGCCAACGGCGCCACGCAACTTCACAAGGAGCAGTAAGGACAACCCTACAGATACCAGGTAAAGGTGTTATACGCCGGTCAATAGCCAGGTTTGCCGAGCATGGTGCAGTTGTCCACAATCCAAGTTCTCTGTACTTTTTCAACTCACCGTCCTGGCATCGTCCTTCTAGGTCGCCCCTCGCTCGACTCAAAACGACGTGTGGTTTCTTTATCGGGACTGAGACATTCTTGTTCTGCAGCCCAAAGTCTGTGCCCATCTGTGCTCTGTCTGTGCCAAAGCTGGTGACTTGCGGGAAGAGTGTGGAGGCGCACCCGGCGGGAGTCGACGACTAATGTCGTCGGCCAAAAGTGGCGAAAATGAAGAATCCGAAGAGAAGAAAGAATAAGAAATGAAGAAAGAACTGGGTGTCAAACAGCTCTGTGTGGGTGTATTTTGGTCACTAGAAACTGCCAGCTCTACGCCGTATTTTGACGACGTAATGTCGCACCTCTCGTGCAACATCCCCCCTACTCTCGCATCAAATCCCTGTGCCTCCTTTCCTTTCTGCCGTGTCCATCGAGTTATGATGGGCGAAAAGTTGTTGTAGAAGATATCGAGACAGGACAGCAAACGAGAAAAAGAAAGCACAAACGACCATCCGACGGCCATCCAGTGGACATCCACAAACTCGGACGCCTCCGGAGTTTCATCTGGTCAACATTGCCCTCACTTTTGTCATATTTGCCAACGCATTAAGTCTAGTAGACAGAGAGCTGTAATCAAGGGTTGCTGACGTCTCGACACAGTTACGAATATCCCGTTACGGTCTGTGTCTGGCCCTTGCTGGTCAAGATTTTTGCCCGTCTACTTTCTTTTTCTTTTTTCTTCTTTCTTCTTTACTTTCGTATCCGGTGAGAACTGACGTGCTTCTCCTCGAGTAGGACGTGAGACACCAATATACTGCGTGCTTGTACTTGAAAATGCTGAAATGACTCCTAGATTGCACGACTTGTCGAGCTTCCTTTTTTCAGCTTTCTCTTATCCTTCCCATGCAGGCTGGTTGTGCCCTGTCTTCCTCCGTAAACTGCCGCCTCACCAAGTCGAGCCGGGGTCCGAAAAAGGAACAAAATATCGTTTCGACAAAAAGAATGGTTACTAGGATGATCCGCTCTCCATGCAATGTCGGCACCTCACCATATTTATGTCTTTTGTGCCAAATATTTCGAGCCCCCCACGCAGGGCGGCAAATACGATGAGCATTCTTTACAGAAAGCTTCATATTTTCTTTCATTTCACCTAACCGACCGAACCAGCTTCAACATGGTGATTCTAGCGCCCCCCTGACGCTCTCGATGGCCCCGAGGCCGGAATCTGCTGCGCATTTTCTGCGTCGACGAGGGGGCGGTGGAAGTCCCAGCAACCTGGCGTTGGGATTTGCTCTACGGGATCATATCAAGTCGACGAAGCGGATACAAGATGCGTACGACAAGTATTCATATATTCCATTCCCAGAATAGAAAAAAAAGGGGGGAAGCAATAAAAGGGTTGCCCGCGAGGACCAACGGGGGCGCAATCTGCATGCCGTTACGGAGCATTTACAAGTCATTTGTCGTGAGAAACGAGTTCAGAAACGCGATGGGTACGCCTTACGAAGCACTCAATACTGACACATGGGGTCTCCCCTCAAGAGACAAAATGACAGGCATCTGTCGGTGTCGTAGTCAGCTGTTGGGACTCGCTCAGTCGTTTCGGCGGAGCCAGCCTCAGATGAAACCGGTCGTCCTCGCCACAAACTCAGATATCATACCCAGTACGACGCACTCATCAATCAATACTTGGAGCCGTAGTCCTCTTCCGTACGCCGTAAACGGTGAGATATTGACATATCGTACTCTGAGGGGCGATGGGTGATGTGTGATATCCAGCATCCAACGACACTATCTTCTGTCTCCTTGCGAATTTGTGAGTTTCTGCGTCATTTTTCATCCTCGCGCTCTTTTGCTGCTTCGTCTTCTCAATTTTCTCGCACATTTTTGTTTCGTTTTGCTTCTCGCATTTTCGCTTCCCTTTGTCTTGTGTTTCGTCAGTCTCCTCTTTACTGCAACTTTATGTCGTAAAGCCCCTGTCTGCCACTGCAACGGGACGCAATGGCAATGAAACGGTGACATTCTCGGGGGCGAAGGATGCGCGAGCCAGAAAGCAACGGGAAAGGTACAAAGTACATTCTCTCACACCCCGCGGAAGAAGGACGGGAGATAGACAAGACAGACGGTGCAAGAACGCCGGGCAAGAAAATAGAAGAAAGTGAAAGAAACAAAAAAAAATAAGGAAAAGAAAATATGTAGGACTCATTACGACGTACTTCTCACACCAGATTCTGACAACCGTGACATGAAAGGACCCTTCCTTCTGCTTTGGGAAATCACATTGCCCAGAACCACTGCGACGGCAAGAGCGACGGCGAGTTGGGCGGAGTGTGCCGTCGCTGTGAAATGGCACGTCGCGTCGACTGAAACGGAAGGACAGAAGGGCAAAAGGGGGCAGCAGGCAAAAGTCCATTTTGCCACGGCTTGGAAGATAGATAAAGGCGAATCGACGACAGCAACTACAGGAACGGTATCTTATAATGTATTCACCCAAACAATCTTCAATAGTAATACGACAGCAACCTGGCTATGAGTGCTGGCTGAGATTATGTCTCTTCAGTATGGTTCGCTTGGGTGCGTTCGGCTCTTTTTCTTTTCTGTTTGCCCTCTTTTCTAAATTTTGAAAAAAAAAAAAAAAATCAAAAAAATCAATCCATTAATCCAATCACACGAATATTCCAATGCGTTCTTGCTTTCGGCCCAGTTCCGCCTCCTGGCTGCCTTGTTTTGTTTCAAAACATCGGCTGAGGTCGTTGGACATTCAAGCCCTGCTCCTGCGGAGGCGATATGGATCGGCCTTCGATATGGATCGACAGCCTCAGCAAAGCGGAGCAGCGACCAACGGCCTGAAGTACGACGTAAGTCCCTATGGGTATCATATGGTATTCGTTTCAGGGTCTGTCCACGGTTCTATAGGCATCAAAGGAGAGAAGGAAAGACTCCCTAAAATGTTGTTTGCGTACTCTGCGAGGAGTGCATTAAATAAAATTATACATAACAGCAAAATAAAGGAGAGCAAACAATCGTATTTTGGCTGTGTTTTCGTTCGTCTCATTTTTCATTCGTTTACCGTGGTGACAGAATCTTGGTCAGTCCTTGACCCAACTTGTCCCGTCCCAAGGACATGCTTTAAAGTTCGCGGACGGGCACAACATGGATTGCCCTTAACTACAATGATTAGAAAACTGGTATAAACTCGTAGTCTGCCGTAAAAAATGGTCATGCTCATGGAAGATGTGACAAAAAAAGAGAAAGGAAACATGATGACAAGTGAAACAACGGCTATTAAGCTTTGATACGTGTACGCAAAGCAGTGTTGATGCGAGTAGAGTGCAAAACTGACGAGTTTGGCTTTTTACACAGAGAAAGAAGCGGAAACGTGGTCGAGCGTGATATTCTTTTAACGAAATTGTTAAAAGAACAAAAACACAAGTAATCAATAAAATAAATAAATAAAAAATAATTCCTAGCATATATCGAGGACTACGACATTTTCAAACCAATATTCATATTTGAAGACAACCGAGGCAACATATCCCACGAAACAGAACACGAGATGGTTCCTATAGCCAGCACGTAATTTTGACAGGCGAAATAAGGACGACTGATGGCCGTCCAGGCATACGAAGCGTCGTGTCGCCTGCAGACAGAAAGCAATGAATGACAAATAGCTACAAGCCGTCTGGTCTCGACGCAACGGTTGATATTGCCGTCAATCTCGTGAGACGTTCACGTCGGGACGATCCCTTGTCTATCTTCTTAGCCTTCAGACGAAGTATGATCAGCTTCGTTTCACCAACAGACAACAACCAGTGACCGGCCGCCCGTTTCAACTATACCTGTGGCTGAATAGGAGCACGATCGACGTGGCAAAGGGACGAAAGTCGACCGGAAGATCATATCGTTGTCCTAACATTGACATCGACATTGTCTCACAACCGCGACAACTCAGCGCCTGGACCTTGACTTCGTGTTGTCGTTTTCCAGCTTGTTTGTATACATGTACACATATGTCTCCATTACCCCCTTGTATCGAAGTTGTAAATCTTTTGTTTTATTTTTGCCTATCCGGTGAGATTGGTGGAATCTATAAGCGTTTTGATATTTGAAACATCCACCCCAAACCGCGCCGTGAAAGCGAACAGACTCAAGAAAAAATACGAAATAGACGAGGACTCCAAGGGTGAACAGGTGACGGTACATGCCGTAAAGCGAGACAAACCTTCCTCACACCTCCTCACACCTCCCCACACCCTCCTCACAACGATGTCGTTCCAACGTAGCGCCTCACGCTTAGTCCTCGTCCCAGTTCGGGTTAGGACCGGGCGGCTTCGGCCCGCCGGCTTGCCGGGCCACAATGATCTGGTCCACCGACAGCACCGTCCGCGCCGCCTCCGTCGCCAGCTTGATCGCCCAGCTCTTGCTCGCCAGAAGGTCCAGGATGCCCTCGTCCTTGGCATCCAGCGTGCCCGTGCCGTCGTCGTTCTCCACGTCCACGCCGTACGTCCACTCGTCCTTCTTGTGCGCCGACGCGTACAGGTGGCTCAGCACCTCCGTCGCGTCCAGACCGGCGCTCTCCGCCAGCGTCCGTGGCACAACCTCAAACGCCTCGCCGTACTTTTTGATTGCGTACTGCGCCAGGCCCGGCGTCTTCTCGCCAAACGCCTGCAGCCGCTCCACCAGCTGGGTCTCGGTCGAGCCCGCGCCCGGCACCAGTCGCGCGTCCTTGGTAATCGCCTTGACCACGTTGACGCCATCGTCGACCGCACGCTCCACGTCGTCCAGATGGTTCTGCGTCGCGCCCCGCAGCACCAGCGTCGCCGTGCGCGTCACGCCGTCGGTCTCCTGGCGGAACACCGTCACGCGGTCGCCGCCCACCTCGAGCGTCTCCACCACGTCGATGGAGCCCATCTCGTCCGGCATCGGCGCGCCCAGGCGCGCCAGCGGCGTCGCGCCGACCACCCGGCATATCCGGCGCAGCTCAAACTTGCTGAGAATCTTAATCACCAGGATGCCGTAGCGGTTGAGGTAGTGCAGCGCCAGCTCGCCCACCGTCGACCCGGCCACCACCACGCGCAGGCCGACGTCGTGCAGCTGCTTGATCACGGCCTCCAGCTGCGCCTCCTCGCCCTTGGTGAAGTCCACCATCTCCTTGGCGTTGTGCAGCAGCACCGTGCCCTTGGTCTCCGTCTGGCTGATGTCGATCGGGCACGAGAACACGCCCACCTTGGCCTTGCTCGCCTTCTTCACCGTGCCGTCCGGCGCCTTGGGGAACACCATGCCGCGCACCACCCGGCTCTGCTCCAGGCTGCCGCCCATGATCTTGACCACGCGGATGTTGTCCACGTTGAACAGGGCCGGGTTCTTGGGCAGCACCGCCAGCACCGCCTCGGCCACCAGGTCCGCCAAGAAATCCTCGCTGCCGCTCTGCTTGCTGGCCACCACCGTGCGGATCGCCTTGCTGAGCTCCTCCTGCGACCGCACGTCCCCGACCTTGTCCACCACGAGCTCCTCGAGCGTCTCCAGCGCAAACTTCTGGGCCCGCTCGTAGCCCGTCACAATGTCGGCCATCTTGAGGCCCATCCGCAGCAGATCCTCGGCCTTGCGCAGCAGCTCACCCGCCAGCACAATCACCAGGTTGGTCGCGTCGCCCATCTCCGCCTCCTGCTGCTGGCTGGCCATCACCAACAGCTTGGCCGCCGGGTGCACCACATCGAGCTCGCGCAGGATCGTCGCCGCGTCCGACGTCAGGATCATCTTCTGCAGGTGGTTGATCACCACCTTGTTGCGGCCGTACGGCCCGAGGGATGTTTGCACCGTCGACGAGATGGCCCGGCACGCGTCGATGTTGCGGAGCACGGCGCCATCTTCCGAGTCGTAGCTGATAAAAAAGGAGGATATTAGCACTGGGGAGCACGCACTTCCAAGGCAGCGCCTGACTTTGTAGACTGCAGAGCGTTGGACACTTTTGGCGACCGAAAAAGGGGCACGTTAAACTAAACGTACTTGTTGTAGCCCGACTTGAAGAGGTTCGCATTGGGCGCGTTGGGAATATTGAGAGACATGGCTGCTAGTTCTCGAATGGTAGGGACGCCCACAGAGGAAGAAAAAAAAGACCGTGTCGAGGGTTCTGGGGAGGCTGTCGTCCTTGTGATGATGAAAGCAACAAAAACGATGCAATTAGTATGCGGTGGGAGGGGAGCTTCTGTGCTACAATTCGCTTGTTGGTGGGGTGGGCAGTTGGACGGCGGCCAAAAAAAATAGTTCTGGAGCTTTCCTTCGCTGTGGAATAGGCAGGCGTAATCAGGGGCAGGAGCGAATGCGAATGCTGAAGCCTTGGGGAGCATGGAAAAGGTGGAGCAGGCACGACCGCTCTGAAGGAGGCGACTTGAACAATGTTAATCCGCCGCCCGGTGCCGACCACAGGCAGGGACGGTAGAAGGCCAGTCGCCACTGCCAATTGCTGCCAATTGTTGCCAAACGCTACCAATCGCTACCAATCGCTACTGTCTGGCGTCTGGTGTCTGGCATCTGGCGCGTCGCTCTGGGGGAAGCTCAGCTAAACCGGCAGGAACGACGCAAAAGTTTCCCATCGTGTAAATTGCTTGACATACCACGAACTCTCCCTCAATTCAATGCAATCGCCCCATCGCAACATACCGACTCCGACGAATCTGTCCCGACCTATCTATCTATCTTCTGTTTGGCGCCGACTTGACTGCCACTTGATACATTCGAGCGAAGCGTGCCGCTCTCTCCACAATGGCGCCCTGTAAGAGATACCAGTACTCCCAGACGCTCAAAGCATCGCCCGATTGCCATGGCTGCGCCTTGTCGCGTGGATGCCATTATATTCGTGCGGATAATACATGCCCGTGTCTTGCCTGCCGTCCTAACATTGCCTAGCCACATCTCCCGGTGTCCCCACGCTGCCGCCGTCCGTCGAGGAGGCCTACCGCCGGAAATGCGTCTTTCTCAAGCAGCGCATGGCCGACGTCGAGGAGGCAAACGATGCGGTCCGCGTACGTCTGGCACGCCTGAAGCGCCAGGTCGAGAAACAGCGCCTCGAGCGCGCATTCCTCCTCGAGCAGCTGGCCAAGCGCACCAGCACCAACGTCGAAGACTCTGACGGCAGCCCGAGCCCACCAGCCACTGTTCGTCCTCTCTGATCCTCTGCTTGATTTGCTTTTGTCTTTGGTCACATGCGCGGCGACTAACTCGCAACAGCCTAAGGACAAGCCGCTGCGTACCAAGCGTGGCCACAGGAAGTCGTCTGTGGCCGACGGCAGTGGTGCCCCCGGCTCGACGTTTATCAGCCAAAACCTCGACCCCTTGTCACCCAGCTCCGACGTGTTTGGCAAGGGCGACAGCCAGACCCAGCCGACACAAAGCACTCCGGGCGCCTCGCAGCGGCGCGGCGGCCGCAGACCCAAGGCCACCAAGGAGGCCGACGATGTCGCGAGCGTCGGCGGCAAGGGCAAGGGCGGCGACGACAAGGAGGACGGGGCAGCAGGCAGCGGCTCTGCAGCGAGCCTGAAACGCCCCGGCAACGCCTTTGAGCTCTACTGCGACGAGATGCGGCCGACGCTCGCTGAGAAGCGCAAGGCCAACAAGCAAAACAAAAAGAAGTCTGGCGAGGATGGCGACGACGTGGACATGGAGGACGCCGATGCCGAAGAGGAGGAGGAGGAGGAAGACGAGGCGGCCGCCGAGTCCGCCATTGACGCCGAGCTGGCGCGCGGCTGGACCGAGATGGAGCAGGCGGAGAAGGACGAGTTCGAGACCCGCGCCGCCGAGGAGCAGGCCAAGTACAAGAAGGCCAAGGAGGAGGCGCGGCAGCTGAAAGAGAAGAGCAAGGAGGACAAGGACGAGAATGATGGCAAAGAAGCCGGAGACGAGGTGGACGTGGGGGACAAGGACGGTGGCAAGGAGGCCGCCGAGAAAGCGACGGCCAACGACGACAAGGCTGATCAGGAGGTTGGCGACGACACCGGTGACAAGGCAGAAAACGAGGACACCAAATCGGCTGCCAAGGAGGTTGAGGATACAGAGATGGCCGACCCAGAAAGCGTCGCGGTCGCTACATCGAGTGCTGACAAAGACGAGTAAAGGAAGCTGGAGGCAGCTTTGTGCATATGGGAGAGAGAGGGGGGGGGGTTATCGGTGTTTATAGCCGACGCGCCCGCTCGTGACTGGTTTGCATTTGGGGTTCATTGATAGGTTGTTTTGTGCTTTTGCTGCTTTTTTTCCCCTGGGACAAAGGGAAGGGAACTTTATCTGCCTTTTCGTTTGGCGTGTGCGGAGATTACCTGCTTTCTGATTTCTTGACTTGCTTTTGATTTCCTTTCATACTAATGTTTACAAGGCTCGTTCGATGTCTTCCTGTTTGTGTTCTGTTCCGTTTGATAATTAGAGGCCAAGACAAAGTACAATGCGAAATGGTACTTTGCCTCCATTCTACGATAGAGCATTATATCGTCTTAAGTCGACGCTGGCAAAATGGTGTACGTTGACTACCCGATCGTGCCTTCCGTGATGGGAAGGCTGTGTCCTCGTGAGCTCCTGCCTCTTTTATATTGAGCCACTTCCATGCGCTCTGTTCTGATTCTGTCTCCTTTCACTTTCCAGTCACTCGTTTTCTCGTTCTCAAACTTCACATCGCATACGACCAGCCTCTGCCAACATTGCGTCCTGCCTTCTGCGAAGCCACCTCGGTCCAAAATGGGCTGCAAGACCGTGCCTCTAGCCCGGTTCTGGAGAGAACTGGTCACAATCCTGCCCGAGATTGCAAAGTCCGAGTATGTAGCCATCGACTTTGAAATGACCGGCATCGAGCCTCGCCGCGCGCCAAAGCTTCACAAGCCGACAAAGGACGAGATCTACCAGCGGGCCAAGCAGGCAACCGAGACGTTCAACGCGGTGCAGTTTGGCATCACCTGCATTGTTTTTGATGACGAAGAGAAAGACACAGTCCATCTCAAGTCGTACAACTTCAACGTGTCGCCCATGTTTGACACCAGCTTCAGTGGTGTGGACACCATCGCACGCACGCTGGACCGCACACTGACGCTCTCGTACAAGACGCTGATGTTTCTGAAGCGCAACCGCATCCGCATCGAAGATGCCTATGACGGTGGAATCTATTACCTCAGTCGGGCGGAGGAGGCGGAACTGCTGCCCGAGCTGTTTGCCACTTCAAAGCATGGTCGGAACGACGACATTCTGCTGGAGGAACAGAAGCCGGAGACAATGCAGTTCTACTATGATACGATGCACCAGATTCGGAGCTGGGCGGAAAAGGAGGAAGAACCGGATCGAGTATGCTGCCGGAACAAGCTTGACCAAGCACGAACTTGGCAGAGCTAGTTATCTACTAACAAGAGATAGCTGTCCTACCTCAACATAGTCAACCCGCACCAAGGCCCGTTGACGCGTTTCCAGCGCCGTCTGGTCTACCAGATGCTCGATACCGAGTTTGGCGGCAGGTACAGGGCGACTGTCAACGGTAACTTCTTTATGCAAATCACGGAAAAGGATGCTGAAAACGAGAACAAGGTAGGTGCACGTGCACGCTGGGCTGTCTTTATTCGGATTGTTTTCCTTTTTATTTTACAAAACGTTTGATCACCGAGTATCGATGACCTAACGACGATGGTATGCGCCCTTTTCAAGGAACAACTTGAAAAGACTAGCAATTTAAAGAGGGCTGTTGCTTTTCAGCGCGGTCTTCGGTACATTGCCGAAGCCGTAAGTATCTTTCATGCGAGATGGAGTCGGTTGCCTGTCGACCGTGTTATTCTCGCTGACGTTTTCTTCTGCAGCTTGTTGGCGGCGATTTTGCGAACGATGTCTGGAGCATGTACAAGCAGGACAACGCAATGGTCGAGCCTGGCTGTGAGGCACGTCTCCGAGAAAGCGAGGCCAAATTAAAGGAAAAGAGGCCTGTTCTCGTCGGTCACAACATGTTTCACGACCTGTGCTTTTTTCATGCCACATTTTTCAGTCCGTTGCCCAACACACTCGACGAGTTTGATCGCATCGTGCATGAACTGTTCCCGCGTATCATAGACACGAAGCACATACTCAAGCGCGACGACAACGAAATGATGCCATCGAAAAGCCTCGAGGAGGTGTTTGTCGACATTGAGGGGGCTAGTTCGCCTTTCAAAATTGCCGGCGAGAGAGCCGGCCACGCAGACAGGCTGCATCATGTGAACGAGCACCAGGCCGGCCATGACAGCTATAAAACGTCAGTGGTCTTTCTCAAAGAGATGTGGAGACGGGTGGACTCGACGAAGAAAGGCACCTATTCACACAAGTTGCTGCTGTGGGAGAACAGCCTCGTCAAAGGGTTTGCGAACAAGGTGCGGCTGGGCAACGCCGGGCTCTGGCCTGTTGGGCGAATGGGAGAGTGTGACACAATGGCGAAATGAGGCCTTGTTCCCAGCAGCAGGTTTCTCATCATGGCCATAGCAAGGACAGACAGCGGGGGTTTTCAGAAAAGTAAGGATATCGCTTGATTTTACATCGTACATGCACTTGTATACAAGGAGGGCGGGCCCAGCTTGCCCTCGTTTCTCCCATGCCTTTTTCCCCAGGTTCCCTTTATAGTTCGTTTTGTGTCTGTGTTACGTTTCTGCTTGCATTACCGCTGCGGAATGGCATTCTTCACGCCAGCGTAGTAATATTTGGGCAGATGCGCAGCTAGCTCCTCCTTGGTCAGCCACTGGAACGCGTCGACGCCAAGTGTGTTATTCTCCAGGTTGGCCTGGCCCGCCAAGATGCGGCCCTTGATCAGGAACGTCTTCTCGCTGGTAAAGGCCGCCTCGGCAGTTGGGGTCGTTTCCCGCACAATGTGTGCCACTGGCACGCGGCCGACTATCCACGTGTTCATATCGACACCCGCCGCCGACTCGAGCGCGCGCGCCGCAGTCTATACAATACGGTTAGCCTTCTGTAGTCACCCAAGCGGGCACATTGGTACGAAGCAGAGCAAAAAGACTCACTTCGTGCAGGTTTTCGTTCGTCTGCACGTCGGCCGTGGGGAAGCTCCACGTGCCGTCCGCCGCCTTCACCACCAAGTACAACGTGCGGTCCAGCTTGCGGTCGAGCCGCTGTGTGTCGTTGGTCTCGTCGGCCGCCGTGATCCGCTTCTGCGGCCGCTCCACGCGGATACGATCCGCCTCGGCCAGCCGCTCACCGTCGTCGCTGACGCGCAAGTCGGCGTCCGACACAATCCGCTCGCGCAGACTGTCCGGGTTCGTCAGCATGTTGGCCTCTGGGTCGTTCAGCGTGAACTCGTCGTCCCAAGCCGTGGCGCCGCCGAAGCCGTTGCCGCCCTTGCCGCCCCGGTAGTGGCCAATGTCGCGGGCGGGCGTGCCCTTGCGGTCGCGCATCTGCAGGCGCCAGTCGAGCGCCAGCGTCGTGTCGGGCTTGAAGTAGACATTGCGACGGAACGAGGTCGTCAGGCGCTCATTGAGGCGCTTTTGATAGAGGTAGAAGGCGGCTTCAAAGGGGGTGGGGTCGCGCATTAGGAGTGGCGGCCGGCTGAGCAACAATCCAGCTCGGATGCGGTAGTCGGGCGCCGTGGCGGGTGGCGGTGCTGCTGCCGGAGTAGAGGATTGTTGTTGTGGTGACGATGCCGTGGCCTCGGCAGAGTATGTGCGGTGTTGTGGGGGCAGGATCGCTGCCGGCAGGAACGGGGTGCGTGTCTTGGCACACCGCGTGCAGGCCGCTGTGGTTTGCACTGGAAAGGAGGAGGGCCCGGTTCAGCAAGTGCATCGCCCTCTCATGATTGCATTCAAACGACATCACGAGATCACCATAGAGAATGGGGAAACAAACCTTTGAACAAGGACGACATCGCCTGGCCGCCCCGTCTTGAGGCTGCCATGGTGCAACAAATCCAATTGGTGAGCCAGCCGGCCGGACGTGATATGCCGGACAACAAAAACGGTCGCGAAAACAGTAGGGCGTCGCTGGTGATCGTTTGTCTCGTCGTCGAATTGATGTTGCACGAGAGCTTTTGGCTGGAAACTTTTTTTAGGCTTGTCGGGCATGTCTAGCAAGTTGTGGGTCCCGCGACCAATGGGAAGCTCGGGTCACCTAGTTCCTTCTCTTCTGGTCAAACGGGAGCACGAGTCGTTCCTGGCCAAAATCCCCGGCGCCGGATCATCTTTAGTGCCGAAATGCGGGAGAATGAAGCAGTGGGCGACTTTTAAAATTTCAGACCACCGCCTTCTCACTTGTCTCTCTTCTTCTTCTTCCTCATCCAAGGCATTTATCCTTATCAGGAAGACTCGCACTCCTATGAATTGTTTTCTACGTTTCGCCCCAAGTGTGTCCTCCCCATTTACAAGGTGCCGAGAATAAACACCAGAGCGTCCGATTTCGCTAGCGGCTCCTCATGGCGAAGAAATGTTTTATTTCTTCGATAAAATCCCCACCTGGAAGCTGTTAGATAGAAGACATTCACATCCCTTGAGACCGCATGCCGGTTTCTGCCCCTTTTTGCTTGCTGTCCGTTCTTTACAGACGGTGATGATGGACGGTGGGTATGGTATTCGATGCCCACCAGTTTCATGCTGCTCATTTAGGGTTCTCCTCCTCGCGACCTACGAACGGTCTATTCGATCGGCCAAGCCCCGAAGCGGATGAGACGCCAACATGGTGACAACAGACGATGTAAATGTGTCGAGTGGAACGTATCTTATTCAAAACACTGCGGCCGAAAACGAGCTGGACAGCTGCCGAGTGGGTAAATTGCGCCTATATAATGAGAACAAAAGTTCGCATCCCGACATATGAGAAGAGATATCTCTGCAACGAAAGCTACCAAGCGGACGTTAAACAAAAAGGCAAGGAAAGAAAACAAACGCATACGTCGTACAAAATGCAACAGAGACATGTCCTGTGTCCCACCCATATGTCATCGAGTCGTCATCCGTGCATGAAAAACAAACGCAGGAACAATAAAACATAACAAAACCAGATAAATGCGCACAAAATGAAGGCTTGAACGCAGAAGAACAGAAAAAGCACAAAGAAGGCGAGAGAACAACCAAAAGAAGATTGGTAAAAGAGATCATGGCCACATTGGAGTTTGGCACACACAAAAATCGCTTTCCCAGGGTATCTATACCGTTATTTCCCGATGCTCTCACTTGGTAAAAAAGAAACAAAACGCCATTCGAAGAGAACCCAAACGAAAAAGGCAGGGACAGCCAATGACACCAAGGCCGAGTAATACTGATCAAGGCAAACGGCATGGTGGTGGTTGCGAGAATAATGTGTATCTTGGACCCAGTCGGTGTGAATCGTGTTTGTCTTGTTCGAAACGTTTCCATGGTTGGTTGTTTCCTTCCCTGTCCTTTTGTTGTCACACCATGCTTGCATGGATTCTCTCACGCCTGCAGGTCAGCTACTGCGCGAGCGACTTCTCTGTTCGCCTTGTGCTCCCACAGCTTCCGAGCCTCGGCATCGACAACGGCAGGATCGGTGACTTCTTCATAGAGCTTGCGAGAGACGTCGCGGTTGATGGCTGCATACTGATCGGCTGTCAGGTGGCTCGATTTCCAGTGCGGCTTCAACGCCGACCGGACGATGCTGCTGATGCTTTCCTTCATCTCCAGTGGAAGCGCATGGCGTGTTGGAGAGGAGTCCAACGACCGTGAAATCGCCGCAGCGGACGACATGCGGCGCGGCCGGGGTTGTCGGATTTCGACAGCTTCAGCAGCAGGCGGCGACCGATGTTGATGGCTACCGCCGTTTGTGCTTGTATTCATGTTTGGGCTGGCGGCATTGCCGTTTCCGCTTCCATTTCGGGTTACACGTGGACGCGTTGTGTGGATGTGCCCACTACCTTCTGAGTCGCTGTTGTCGCCGCCGCTGCCAACACCTGCACTTGCCGAGCTCGCGGTCGGCCGCGTGGGCGAGTAGTTCGCTGGCGGGTAGACAGGCAAGATGTGTGAGCTCAGCAATGTCGGAGAGCTAGGCCGCAAAGTTCGCTGTGGTGGTGGGGTGGTCGACATGGCCCGCGGGCTGTTGTGCGCCGATCCAGCCGGCGACGAGGCGACCGGCGAGGCAGGGTCGACAGCGTGCGACGGAGGGTCGCCGAACAAACTGCGGATATTATCGTCGTCGGATGACGTGCTCATCTCGACCTCTTTAAGGAGCGACGAAAGAAACGAGGGGGGTTCATCATTCGTGTTCGTCGACGTTGCAGCGGGGGACTGGGCTGCCAAGGCTGGCGACGCCGAGGAGTGGCCCGCTCTTGCCGCCACAGGTGCTTGCAGAGACAGACCCAGTCGGGACGCGGGCCGAGACGGAGGTCTGGGTGTGGAGGAAAGTAGAGATGCGGACGGCCTACTAGGCGGGCTCCGCTCTGTAGGTGTTCTCGGCGTTGCAGTCGAGGTGGGTTGTTTGGACGACGATGCGGCGCCTTCGCTAGGTGCTCCTATCCGGCGTGTGCGTGGCCGTTTCAACTTGCGCTCCTGCTCCTGAGGCTGTTGGACAGGCGACGCAGTGTGCGAACGCGACTTGCGCTTCCGAGGGTTCGGTGTGTTCGTCCCCGCCGCTGCTTCGCACTCAATTGCACGATCGAAGTCACCCCACGCACGCCGCTCTTGCTGCGATTGTTGGACAGCGGCGACAATGGCACGGGGGTTTGATGAAGCTGGCTGCGAGGAGCCCCCATGGCGTGCAGCGTGGTTCAAAATGGCGTCGGGAATGTTGCGCTCGAAAACGTCTTGCGCACCGAGCCGGCGTGCAATGTCCAAACGCTCTTGCCACCGTTCGAATTCGCGGCGCTCCTGGTCGCGCAACCGCTCGACCCGACGGAACTCTTCCAGCGCCTCGTCTTCGTCGTGGTCCAGGTCGATGCGAATGGCGTCCCAGACATGGCCCGTGATCTGACTCCAGGCACCCTGCCACTCGTCGGACCGTGCACGGCGCCGGGCACGGCGCATGGTATGTCTGGTCCGGGGAAAGAAGTTGCGATTGCGGCCAGCGCCCGATCTCCGGCCGGCGGTCTGGCGGACCGAATCGCTGCCTCCAAGGGAAGCGCTTTGCATAGGCGCCGCGATGGCATCGCCCAATGAATCCACACATTCCATGCAAAACCAGGCGCCCTCAGGAACGCCCTCCAGACCGATGCAGTGTGTGTGGTAAGGCGTGTCGCAGCCATCGCAGAGCAGGAGAACCTCCTCATGATCGGCAAGGTTGCAAACAGGGCAGGGCGTAGACACCTCGTCATCCAAAACCTCGGTCTCTTCGAGCCATGGCTGAGGGTCGAACTCGGCGACTTGCTTCTTGTCTTCGACGGTGTACGTGGAGATCAGTTTGCCTATTGAAAGGAGAGTGTCGGTCAGCAAGGATTCACAAGAGCACCATGACTCGGTTAAGACAGGACCGTAAAAATCAAAGGCAAACTGGACTGTACGGCCAGGTAAATCTGACACGAAAGAGCCAAGCCGCCAGAGGAAAATAAAGACAAAAGCAGTGCAAAGCAGAACTAAGTCGGAGCTAAATCAGAGCCACATACCTCCTATTTGGTCGTATACATCGACGAGATGGAATGATTGCCGGCAGATAGGACAGCTGTTGGCCTTGGTGGTCCATTCTCGCAGACAGGTGTCATGCAGCGTATGCTTGCAGATTTGGATGACGGCGACCAGATCGTCCTCGAGAGGCTCTACTTTGCCGACCTGTTCCCTGCCGTGGCCGTTGGTAAGGGCCTTGGAATTTCCAGTATCGCTGCCTTGAGCATCGCGAGCAGATTCGTTGGACTCATCGCTGCCGCGGTTTTGGCCATCCAAATGGCCAGACAAGGCTGGCCCTGCAGCGGTGAACGGTCCGCTGGTGTCAGTGTTTTTGGGGGCGGTGACGGCGTCCGTTGGGTCGGGGTGCGTGCTAGTGCTGGCGTTGGGGGTAGGGGCACAACCACTGTCATCATCGCCTGGTAGTGGCTTTGGTGGTGGTGGCAGTGGTGGGGGTTCTACAGCGCGGAGCTGCTCCAGGCAGACAATGCACTGTTCTGCCATGGCTAGCGGAGGTTTGGTGGCCACAGCGCCCTTTTCCTTCGCATAGACACCGACTTGGGAGTTGGTGGAAGGAAAGACGTTGTGAAGGAGAAAATGCGAGAAAAAAGAATGATGGAAGATTAAATAAGGAAGATGCAGCAATGGGGTGGGGGGAAAATGAACAGAAATGACAACTGTAAAAGTTTCGAGATGCAACGGGGTGAAAAGGGAAAGAGGTGATGTGAAGCGAAAAGGTAAAAGAGAGAAGGTGCTCGCTGCTGGGAGGCGAAAAGGAAGTCACAGGAAAGAGCAATGGTAAGATAGCTGTGCGTCAGCCTGTCGTTGCAGTTGGTCGCTGCTGCTTCCTAATTCTGGGGCGATGAAATTTGGCGTGTTTGGCGTGGTTTGCCACTTTGAAGGAGGAAGGCGGGAAGGAGGTTTGGCACATAACAGGCAGGGGGAAAGAGCAGGAGTAAGATGGATGGAAGGAAAGGTAGCAGAGGAGGAAGTTACAAGAGGCACACGGCAGGGGACTATGCCTGAGAAAGCCAGTTCGGCGAGGGGAAAAATGTAAAGGCGAGCCAGCGAGCCTTTTGGTTTTGTTACGGAACGGGCGAGGACGAGAAGAGAAAGAGCGACAGGGCTGCAGGCGAATCAGCGTCGAGGGCCATACACAAGCAGGCACGTTTGGCTGCCACAGTCACCACCACAAGGGAGGAGCGGGGCGGCAGCATGAACAGATGAAAGGAACACGAGTGGCCCGTGCGGCAGGTGCCTCTCGAGTTTCTTCGTCTCGTCCTCGATTCTCCTCGCTCAGTATCTGTTGTTCTGTGAAATGAGGTCTTGTTTCCACACGCTCGCTCTGTCCCTTGCTATATGGTCTTGGGTAAAATGTAATGTGACGCACGAAAACAGAGAAGCCAGGGGGAGTGTGGCACGTCGAACCTTCCCGCATATGAGGCAGGTGTGCTGCCCTTTTGTCTCCACTCGTGAAGCCAGTTGGAAGGAACGACGTGCATGTGCTGGCTGTCCAGTCCGGCCTAGTACCGCACCATGATTGTTGGTCCTTCCCTTGTTGGAGTTGAACATCTTCACACGAGTCGCCATGTCAGACCAGCACACGCTTTAGTATGGCTCATCTCCTGATTCTCTCATCGGTATTTTGCTGCGGGCGGTGAGCCTATCCGATGTAGCCAAGCGTACACACCATTCCACGCCAATACACACATGAATACATGTACTTTTGGAAAGAAGGCTGGCAGGCTACCTGTTGTTACTCTTTTCCTCTACTTTTTGCCCCTAGAAACACGGGCATGGCCGCGCTTTCCCCGATAAACCAGAGCCAGCGCCGAAGTCATTTCCTTGACCGCTGAAAGTCGTAGTAACGTTAACACGCTTTCCCAGTTGGGCAATCGTATCAAACAACGAGAAAGAGCTGGACACATCGCCTGGGCTTGTTACGCCTCTGAGTCAAAGTGGTGATTGCGAAAGCCCATTCTCTGTCCTCCTTTTGTGAACATATTATGACCGTGATACGAAGGTCATGGACAAGAGACAATACTTGTAAATGCACCTTAAATCGTGGTACAACATACAGATCGGTGAAGTGCCTCACGTTGGGAAGTCACGTGAGTTTCAAGTGTACATCATCGATCGTTCCTTCCAAGACGGGCCTTTTCAGGGGATGATATCGACAACGAAATTTTGGCGTTTATTTGTGCTTCATCTTGCGTCTCTCAGATTATGTCTGGGAGTTTTCCCGAACATTTCTCTTTAAAATACCGCCAGTGGCTCGACGCCACGCACCTGGAAGCAAAATCGCATCACACTCTGAATCCAGCGACGAGAATGCCCAACTTTGTCTATGAACTCGGATATGAAGGACTGTGCAGAGTCGGGGTGGGCGGAGCCGAGGGTTGTATCCTCTGTCATTGACCCCCCGGTGCGGCCAGACTACCGACCTACATTTGATCCGCACGTCTCTAGTTCGTCGACAACGTCACTTATTGCTAAGGCCGATGCCGATGTGCTCGCCGCAGCCTATGCCAAATCCGCTGCGGCTATTGCGGCGCGCATAGCTGCTTCAGAGGCCGGCACGTCTCGTGCTTCGTCCCCAGCTTCGCCTGCCCCAGTCAGCTCTGCTGTCTCGTCTGCAACAGCTGCCAGTTCTGACGTACACACCGCTACTTTTCATCACAAACGTGTTCTTCCGGTGCGCTGGGAACAATCAGTAAACCCACCTCATTACAAAGCTCGAAAGCATCGAAAGCAGGACCCGACTGAAGCAACCCGGCACGGCGTTTTCTTTCCCCACGAGACCGAGCATGAGGTATCTAGGAAAAATGACTCTTCCTTCCTCAAGTAGGCTATTGCTGACTTTTCTTGCAGATACCAGATCCACACGTTGAGCCTGTTCAATTTGCCAGCTGGTTGAAAGATACTCTCAAGGACCTACTTGCAAGGGATCACCCAGTGATCACGGGGCATATCCGTCATCTATTTTCTATCATGGATTTTGACCAGTACGCCAACTTTGCGTTGCGGCCAACCATGACTTACGTCAACTTGAAGCGAGCGTGCAATATCGAGGCTGTGATGATTACGATTTGCGGCAAGGAGGCCGAACTCCCGTGTTCGTGGTGCCGTTCAATGTGCGGTCCGTTTACAAAGTGCATGGTTATTTCCATTATAGGCAACGGAAGCTGCTCAAATTGCCGCTATAACGGCCAGGGTAGCCGCTGCAGCCTGTACGAAATGCGCCTCTAAATCTCCAACCTGTATTTAACAACACGCAAGCATGGCTAAATATTGTATCTGTTTGGGCAGGTTTGGGCGGTATACTTCTTTTGAAAACCAGCGTCAAGCAAATCCCAACTAGCCGCCCAAGCCACCACGTGTTGATGGCTGGCCTATAGTCCTTTGAACAGCTTTGTATATATTTATAGTATTGAACTTTTCTCGCACATACTTAGCACCTCCGTTGCAAGATACGTCGGTGGAGTACTAAACAAAGAACAAAGGCGGCTAGGGTGAAGTATATTAAAGATACGCGTGTCGTTCTGCTGCGTATGTCGTGTAAGGTAAAACAGCATTGCTGGCCATACGCATCATTTTGGAACGGTCATGAATGCTGCTGCGATACGAAGGCGGGGAAAACATCTGCCCACAAATTACACTTTTGTAGTAAGTCACACACAGCTCACGTTTGTTTTTCTTTTTTCAATTTATTGTGATTTTTTTCATGTCTTTTGTTCTTTTTTGTGGTGCCTTCGTCAGCGCTCTGTCCGAGTGTCGTTATGATTCAGACAGCCGGATATAGCAGAGGAGAGAGGCCAGAATAAACCAGGTACACCATTTTTGCGTGAGATTTGTTTTGTACCAAAAACGTTGGACGAAATGCGCGCTTCAGCCCGACCTGTCCCTTGCTCCCTTTGAGACGTCATCCCAAAGAAAATCACATAGTCTACCGCATCCTCTGAACCACGTCGAACTCTTCACCACTCTATACCTCGGCGATCTCGCGCAATCTCCGGAGGGTCGAGCGGGTGGCAGCAGCAGCGGGGGTCCTGGAAGGTGTTAGCAAAAGATCTGCATGCGGTAGGCAGACCTGCGAGCAGCTTTCGCCTCGCTCAGGAAGTCGACAAATACGTACGAGACAAGGTAGGCACCGCCAGCAATGGTCTTCTTGCAGGCCTTGCACTGCCAGATACCGACGTTGGTGCGCTTGACGGTGTTCTTGGCGCAGAACGTGCACGTGTACTTGGCGTGCTGGGTGATTTCGGCCTTCTTGATCTGCTTGCTTTGTGGTTGTTAGACAAAACTATGTCCGTCGAGATCGCGTCAAGAAAGAGTCGGGGGAAAGGCCCTAGGGGGCCGATTTCGCTGGCGGGATTGAGCGTGGCGTCAAACCAGCCCGACGTCGATTGTAAATGAAGTCTGTTCCTCCGCGTGACTGTCAAAACTTACCGCAGAGAAGCACCGTATCTGCAAAGAGTTGAGTTAGCAAGCTGCTGCCTTGGCTAAAGTTGCCCGAGCCAACATCACCACAGTCGACGCTTGGATTGAGATATGCTGCGGATAAGAAGAAGTCGTCGTGCCGGTCGTTGCCGCTGGTCAAGTTGCGCTGACTTTGAAGTAGTACTTTGGGATATATAGATGTCTTCCTAGCGTTGTCTTCTCCTCCGTCCATCTCCATCTCGGACTAGTCAACTTCCGTGTTGGGTTGTCCAAACGCATCCCATCTTCCGCAGTGCATAGTCTTCCGATCGTTTGTCGGCAGCATCGTCTCATTCCAAGCGTCGTATACTGTATGGCTGTCGGTCGGGAGCTCTGAGGGTCCGAGTGTTCTTACCTAGTACCGTAGCGACCGGTGACGCCGACCTTCTTGGTGCTGTAGGAAGAAAGAAAATGGTCAGCATTTCATTGTCCATCCAAGAACAACAGATGCATGCCATGCCACGCGGCGGCTCCTCGCAATCGACGAGAAAAACAGGAAGCCCGGGTTCCGAGACGTTGTCCTCCGGCACCATGTCGTCTACTGTCGTTCGTTGGTAGGTCTTCCTGTCTTTGTCGTCGAGAGCGAGTCGGGCTGCCGTGCGGTGCGGCAATGGGGAATAATCAATCAGTCGGGGGACAGGAGCGCGCGTACTGCTTCGTCATTATGAATGTTGTCGAGAAATATTCTTGTTGTCTATAAACAGATTTTCTCTTCGTGAAGCGAGATGGTGTTCGTGGTGGGTTTGCGTTTCGCTCTTACGATTTTCGTTAGTAGAAGGGGAGCGCCCAAAGATTTTTTCCCTCTAACCTGGCACCGAGGGCGGCCCACGAATTTTCCGCCCTAAAGCATTTAGCTGGCGGGCAACAAATACGCAATGGCCGCACAAAAGGAAAAATCTGTGTTGAGCCGGATTAACTTGTGCTCCGAGATCATGTGACAGTTCAAACCTAATGCTCTCGTTCTGGATTAGTCATCCCTGCTGGGCGCATTTCGGGCCGCATCCGTGTAAGTGCTGCCACGCAGGAACATCTTGAAGGTTGTCAAAACGTGCAAAGATTCATTCTATTTGCCTATGCAGACTTGTCAAGTTTGTGCTGTGTACGGAGTATTGCTGAGAGCAATTGAATAGACGGGATTGATGCATTATGACCAAATACCGTCCAGCACAAACAATACTTGGAGAGCCATATTTTGACGACATTGCCTAGGAAAGGCTGTTGCATCTGCTTGGTATTTTTGTCTGGTCCTCTGGCAGAGAAGCCTCTGCCTTGTTTCGGACACTTATGCTCCCTCTTGTTTCCACGTCTTCCCTGTTTGTCCATTCTATTCCGCCTCTACGAATGTATATTTCCTCAAATCAACCCGACGCCGACGGAGCATCACGTGTCTCTCTAACTCTATTTGGACATTGTAATTTCGACCTCGGTCTGGCTGTGGCGATCAACTGTCCATTGACGACCTGGCAAGCCCGTGCACGCTACTTGAGCTTCAGAACACCATTCTAGACCACTCTGAACTAGCAACAGGGCCAGCTTCGGCTAGATAGTGATGAAGTACCTCGAGTCGCCCTTACTTCGCTCTTATTGATGACGAATTCCATCTTATTGCTAGAGTAGGAGGTTTTGAAATCCAGCGTGCGAGGTGATAGTGGCAAGACGGAGGGAGGACGACGCAAGTCGTAGTGTATTTTGTAAAAGTAGGCGGTGGCAGCAGCTCGATAGCGGTCAACCCTCGAGCCTGAGTATTTCCTTCACCCTCTTCGCGTACCAAGTCGAAGCTCCCTTATTACTGATCAAACTTTGGGTGAAGAGCGAACCTCCTTTCACTCGTACAAGATAGAGCGCGCGCCAGTTGATCTCCTTCAGCGATCCAGCCCCGCATCTCTCATTCCTCCTTTTCTGCTTCGTACTTGTTCTAAATGCCGCCTTTTTCGACGCTCGGATAACGACAAGCCAACAACAATGCCTTTCAAGAAGCACGGCCGCACCTACGACCTGGTGTTGTTTGGCGCTACGGGTGAGCATGCCTTTTACAGTGTCTTGATGCTTCCGGCGGCTGTTTCCACGTGCTGCTTGCTGACATCTGGTGCTTAGGTTACACTGGTGCTTACACCGCCGATTATGTTTCCAAGAACCTGCCAACGGACCTAAAATGGGCCATTGCTGGCCGTTCGCGGGAGAAGCTGGCCAAAGTCGCCGCCGATCTCAAGAAACAGAACCCCGACCGCCTGCAGCCCGGCCTCGAGATCTGCAGCGTCAACGACGATGAGCTCGCCCAGTTGGCCAAGAAAACGGCTGTGCTCATCTCGACGGTCGGACCGTATGGTGCCCATGGCGAGCCGGCCTTCAAGGCCTGCGCTGAGAACGGCACGCACTACGTTGATGTCACGGGCGAGGTGCCCTTTGTGGCCCGGATGATTCGCACATACGAGGCGGCTTGCAAGGCGTCTGGTGCGCTCATGTTCCCGCAGAGCGGCATTGAGTCGGCACCGGCCGACATTGCTGCCGCCGAGGTCGCCCGCGTCATCCGCACCGAGCTGGGTGCCAAGACCGCCGAAGTGACCGCGTCCCTCCGCCTCAAGGCCCTGCCGTCCGGGGGCACGCTCGATACCGTGCTAACTGCGTTTGACAACTTTTCGATACGCGAGCTGCGTTCGACCTTGGCACCCTATGCGCTATCGCCCGTACCGCGGCCCAACGGCCATCGTGGCAACCCATCGTTGCTGTCGTATCTCACCGGCGTCGTTAGTGTCCGTCACCTGGGCACTCTTACAACGTCCTTGTTCGGGTCCACCAATGCGGCACAGGTGGAACGCACGTGGGGTCTGCTGTCGAGCCTGCCAGGCCGCGGCGCCGAGGCCTACGGCCCCAATTTTTCCTTTGCTGAGTACGCGCGCGCGCGCAACTGGCTCAAGGCCGTGCAGATGCACTGGTCCCTGGCCATTGGCAGCTTCTTGCTGGCCACGTTCCCTCCCTTCCGCTGGCTGGCCAAGCGCTATGTATTTGCGCCCGGTACCGGTCCGAACCGTGAAAATGCCCGCAAAGACGTGACCGAGTACCGTGCCGTCGGCAAGCCTGACACGGAGAACCCGACCAAAGTCGCCTTCACCACCGCTACGTTCCGCGGTAGCATGTACGATCGTAAGTCCAGTCTTATGTCGCCCCACGGTTTCCTTTTCTCTTCTAACAATACAGTGACTGGTATTCTCGCGTCGGAGGCGGCCCTGGCCATTCTTTTGGACGACCTCAAGCTGGAGGGCGGCGTCTATACTCCGTCGCTCCTGGGCCCCAAGTTCATCGAGCGTCTTGGCGAGGCCGGGTTCAAGTACGAGACGAAGCTCATCGATGCATGATTTTGTGGTTTTTCTTCTCGTAGTGACATGTCTTGCGCTTCTGTTGTTGCATATTTGAAGGTATATGGACTCTTCATTTGTACTTAGACGAGCTCATGAGGGCCAGCTGCACCGAAAACCCGGGAAAGAAACGGTTACCGGATTGCATGCCGTCACAGCGGCGGCACAGACTTGTTAATTGACTGGCTTTTCTCCTCGATCGGCATTCGTTCCAGCAGATCTCCCAATGCTCGGCATGACATATTCCGGAATTTCGTTGTCCAATTGAGGATGCTCATCATCCACTTTTTGCTAGCGCTGCATTACAGCTCTTAAACGGAGCGAGCTCACCAACCTGTGCGCTGAATTCGTGCTGCCCATTCGCTGAGCAAAAGCGGAGACTGGCCCATGTGGCTAGTCAAATGGATCTGGAGTTGGGGAAATTTGGCGCTGCATCAAGTCAAGTGCGGCAGGTCCATTACTGCTCTCGCCGCTGCTCTGTCAGCTGTTGGGCCCTTTGCGCCTGCTGTGGGGAATGTCAAAACGTCATGCACCTTCCTTCCTGCTAAAAAAACCCACAAGCCATGCACTGCAGGAGCGAACTGCTGCAGCTTCCCGTTGTTGCTAACGAAACCACCTAACAAAGAATAAAGTTCGTCCACACCAGACAAAAGTCTGCTCTACCCATTTCCACATCAAAATCCGACCGAGTCGACCTCTGCGAGTGTGCTTGTTGCTGCTTTGCAAACCGGATTGAGTTGCATAGCCTTTGCGACACCTGCCAGCGGACTATTTCTTTCGACTCCAGTCTGTCTTGTAGTATCTCTCTTACTGGGGGCGATCTCGACTGCTTGTTTTTTTGCCACTTGGGTGACAGCGAGCTGTTTTCCTCTCTTCTGACCGATTTTCATTGTCGACGACCTTGGCGGCAATAAAACGACATCGAGATACGGATAGACGGAGTGTAGAGAATTAGAAACACAGAGGTACGATTACACCTACGCCCCTGGCGCCATAATCTGCCACCGGCGCCATCTCCAGTGTTACACGGCTCTCACCGTCTTGTCCGACAATGGAGTCACCAGCGGCCCAGGACGCGGCTGAGAGCTCGCCCTTGTTGCAGCCTGCATCGTCTACTCCCTCGCCGTCCTCATTATCGAACGCATCACCCTCCCAGCCGCCGCCGCCGCCTCACCCTGCGCATGCCTTGCCTGCGCTTTCGACACCGACGAAGCAGCAGCTACGAGAATCGGCGCCGGTGCCTGTATCGCCGTCTGCTCTGGCGCGGCCCGGATCTGCCGGGCGACTCAAGACTGCGCGCACTGTCACCTTCGATCCCAACCCCGTCACGCGCACGATCGAGCCTCCCCCATCGACGTCGCCGCCCGTCCATGCCATTGCGCCGTTATCGTCCCGCCTCCGCGGCAGTGCTCCGCCTGCTACAGTAACGACACCGGCCCTCAGTGCGACAGCACCCTTGTCTTATGGCACAACATCGTCCGCATCGAGCACGCGGCCAGGAACAGCCGGCAGTGGTGGCCCGCCGGTTCTCTCCGCGATCAACAACCGGCTCCGGCGACGGAATAGCTATGGCTCAGGACCGCTGGGCATGACGCAGCCGCCCATGCAGCTGCCCAAGATTGGTCCGCAGCGGAGCACGAAAAATGCGCAGAAGCTCAAGCTGCTTCCCAACCCTGAATTTGGCGATGAGGGCCCGGACGAGGAGAGTGGACGTGATGTATACAGCCAGTACACCCGCATCAAAGACCCTACCGCGCGGCGTGATGCGGCCCTGCTCGGCAAGGCAGATCGCGCACGTCTTCCACGTGTCACGGCCTACTGCACGGCCAACCGTTACGACATGGACGGCCTGGTGCGCTTTCTCAAGGGCCGCGGAAAGACGCGAGGTGGCAATCCCAAACTGATCGACGAGTGTATTTACACGCCGTACGACTATGATTTCAGCAAGAATGGGGGTGAAGCTGATGGCTTTGGCGGTGGTGGCAGCAACCGGAGAAACCGTATCAGCCACCACAGCTATATTGGCGGCGGCAGCGGACACGTTCGCCACAGAGGGGTGGACGAGGATGCAGAACGCCACGAGCAGCAACGCCAGAAGCAGCAGCAGCAGCAGCAGCAGCAGCAGCAGGAACGGGACGAGCTTCAACGTCAACAACAAGAGCAGCAACAGGACCAGCCGTATCGAGACGTGGATAGACAGCGCGACTCGCAGCTACTGCCGTCTGCGTCTTATTATCAAGAGCGGCGGCACTCAGCAGGCGAAGCTGATGCTGGCCACACGATACAGCGGCGTGACGACTTGATCGACTTGGACGGAGGAAGCCAGGATGAGAGAAACCGACAGAGCGAGCAAGCAATTGCAGACGACGACGAAATCATGCCTCGCTCTTCGCAGCAGACGGACGACGGAGGCTACAACAACGGCCACGAAGACGGCAGCTACTTTGACGACAATCTCCACGAGCAACACGATGACCGGCACAACCAGAGTCAGCGGGGTCAGCTAGACCAAGAGCAGCACCACCACATGATCCACCGGCATCAGCGCCAAGCAGAAGAGGCTGTTTTGGACCTGCTGAGCGGCGACGAATTGGACCGGCAAGCCGCTGGGAACGACCACAACCAGCTGCGAGACGAATTCGAGCAGCAGCTGCGCGGCGAGCGACCGGTCGACTTTGACATCCACGTGCACACGCCGGAGCTGTTCCTATTCGACTACGGCGTGGTGGTGATCTGGGGCATGTCGGAGGCGCAGGAGCAGCGGTTCTTGAAGGAGCTGGCCAAGTTTGAGCTGGAGAAACTGGCCGCCGACGACATGGAGGTTGAGTTCTTCAACTTTTACTACACGCGCGAGTACCAGGCGCGCATTTACAACGACTTTATCGCGCTGCGCGACAAGAACAATTACATGACGAAGCTGGCCATTTCGCACGCGCTTGCACAGAGCGTCAAGACGTCGCTGTTTGAAGAGCTCATTGCGTCGACTATCGACACGTGCAAGGACATACCAACGCAGATTGCGCTGACCGGCACGATCGCGCTGAACCGCACCGAGATCAACATGCAGATTGGCGAGCTGTTTATTCTTCGCATCAACATCCACCTCAACGGATCCGTGCTCGACACGCCGGAGCTCTTCTGGGTGGAACCGCAGTTGGAGCCCGTGTACCAGGCCGTACGCAGCTATCTGGAGATGGACCAGCGCGTTGGCCTGCTGACGCAGCGACTCGACGTGATTGCTGACCTGTTGGCCGTGCTTAAAGAGCAGCTGAGCCACGGCCACGGCGAGAAGCTAGAGTGGATTGGTGCGTTCCCCATCTCCTATACGCCATACGTCTGTGGTTTTTCTATGAAATTGTAAAGTACGTATATGCTAACTGTTTCTAGTCATTATTCTTATTGCAGCCGAGATTCTGGTGGCGGCCATCAACATCGTGGTCGACCTGTATGCGGGAGTGTAAAGCGGTCCCCGGATTATGCATGCTGGCGCTGGATCTTTGTCCTTTTTTACTATATACAACAGCGATGTATATTCCCTTTGTCTCATACGACTTCAGTTCGACATTTACTTTGTCTACTAGTTATTTTTGCTTCTTGCGCATCCTTACTTTTGGTATTTCTTTTTTGGTTTATTCACGTTGGTTTATTGCGACCAGCATGTTCTCTAGAGAAAACTACGGATTGCTTCACAGCATGAGACAACGACGATATACCAATGCTCTTGGGTGCAGCACTCGTCACTTCGGTTTAACTGTCTTGCTTTCGTATCCTTTCAGCAGTGCCCTTGTATGCAAAGTTCGTGATTTCATTTCCAGGTATGCCGCCGTACAATACACTGCTCTGTCTATATACTCATACAGGAATATGTGCACCTCCCCTCCCCGGCCCCCCCCTCTGCCGCCTACACCTTCATGCCGTGGCCGTGGTACGGCGACCAGACGCCACGCACACTCTCGTTGATACTGCTCACAGGCTTGCTAAACTTCTTGTTCTTCTCGCCAGTCGCGTCGCGCAGCATCTCGGCCTTCTTCAGGATCTGGTTCGCGTCCAGGTTGCGCACGCAAATCGCGCGCTCCTGGCCGGTGATGTAGGTACCGACAATGACGGGATGTCGCGACGGTCGCGGCGACACGGTGAACTCGATCTGGGGATTCTGGGCGGCGAACTTCTGGAGCTTCTGCTTGATAAAGAGGCTGGGCACTGTTAGCGGGGGTCTCCTTCGTTGTACACATTGGGTGTCCCGTGTCTGGGTATGACCTACTTCATTCCCCGGGAGCTGCCGGCCCAGTCGCAGTAGTGAAAGTCCAGCTTGCGGCACTGGAGGATGAATGCGCCGAGGCCGTTCTGGAGACAAGAAAGACATAGGGTTAGCAGGGCTGCTCGTGGGCAATGGCGGTCAGATATTGCGTATCAGGAGAGAACAATGCAGACGTACCCGGCCGACGGAGACCTGTGGTATTGCTCGTATTGTCATGCTGTGCGTGTGTGGTCCGGCAACAAGAGCATCGTCGAAGTGCAGTGAACGTCGGATGCCAGCGAAATTTCGGGCCATCGTCCGTTTCACTGGTAGTTCTTGGTAGCTCGGAATTTTCTGGTCACGTGCGCTGCGTTCCATTTCTTTTGTGAGAGGGTCCACTTTTAAATGCCCCTAGTCCGTTCTGGGTCACAACACGCTTTTCTCCATCGCTCCTGCCCTGGCCGTGTCTCCTTCATCTCTAGGCTGGCAAAACTGTTTTTAAGCTTCTCGGACTCGTCGCCTGTTTGCGTCGGTTCCTTCAGCTTCACCTCGTCCACTTCGAAGCGGCCATCGACGGCCCAACCGACAGAACGCCGCAGCCGATCGCCAACTTTCCTCTCAGATGCACGAATCTCTTTTCGCACGCCACCGACGATGACCGACAAACTCCCCCATCAGCTGCTCGCGCTCTTCGCGCCACGGCCGCCTCTGCGCTGGGTGCCTCCAGTCGACCACGCGCCTGAAGAGCGTCGCACGGCTCCCGTGTCTGGCCTGGCCCAGTTCCTCCCGGCGCTGAAAGAATACAAGGACAACGATGGCTTTGTGCCGACAGAGAGCTGGCTGCAGCGGCGCGACCGCAAGGTGGCCGATCACAAGGCAGAGGTGGAAAAGCGCCTGATCGAAGGTCCCAAAGCTTGTGGGTGCCCCCCCCCCCCCCCCCCCCCCGTTTACCCCGAGCACATTGTGTTTGTGCATTTCGTGCATCGACTAACACACGTGTAGTCAAACCGTCTGAAGATCCCAACATTCGTGGCGACGCGTTCAAGACGTTGATCGTTGCACGGCTGAGCTACGAGGCCGACGAGCAGGACCTGGAGCGCGAGTTTTCCCGCTATGGACCTGTTGAACGAGTGAGTGCTTCCAAACACACTTCTCCACACCATTGTTAATGCATTAGGTTTCTTGCACATGAATGGCAACTGACAGCTCTCTAGATTCGCATTGTAAAGGATACCCATGCCGACGAAAAGGGCAACAAGAAGCGTAAACCCCACCGCGGTTACGCATTCGTCGTATTCGAGCGCGAAAAAGACATGAGAGGTAACAACTATCCCTGAATGCTTTCCTAACCGGTGGTAGAAGCTTTTCCCTTCTTCTTTCCCGTTTCCCCTTCCTTCCCCGAGAAAGGTACGTTCCATGGTAAGGCAGGACTGACATGGCGCGTTCTTCCTACGCGCACGCAACACAACAGGAGCCCTCGACGCCTGTGACGGTATTCGCATCAAAGACCGCCGCATCAAGGTTGACGTCGAGCGCGGCCGCACCATGAAGGAGTGGAAACCACGGCGTCTCGGCGGCGGCCTGGGCGGGCGTGGCTACACAAAGGCGGCTGCCACGGGGCCGCCCACCGGTCGTGGAGGGTTCCCGGGCCGTGACGGCGGCGGTGGGTTCCGCGGTGGCGGATTCCGCGGCGGTGGAGGGTTTGGCGGTGGCCGGGACCGTGATCGCAACGGTGGCGGGTTCAGAGGTGGTGACGGGGGCCGAAGCGGCCGTGGCTTTGACCGTGGGTTCGGCGGCTCTCGTGGTGGTGACCGTGCCTTTGGTGATGGCCCAGGCGGCGGCCGGCCCGAGCGCCGCGGCTTCGGAGCCAACGGTGGTGGGCATGATTCGCGGGACGGCGGAAGCCGCTCTTCCTTGGACGACCGGCCCAGCGGCTACCGCGAGCGCGACTACGACCGAGGCGACAGAGAACGCGATCGGGATCGTGACCGGCGCGGCGGCGACCGCGATCGCGATGGAGGACGGCGCACTGGAAGCAACATGGAGCCGGTACGACCTAGGGACCGGGATCGGGATCGGGACCGTGGTGATCGTGCCGATCGGAGCGACCGAGACCGTGACCGTGGCGACCGGGATCGTGAGTCTGGTGGGTATCGTGACCACGGCAGCCGCGACTACGACCGGCAACCGCGCGGCGACGACGACTCGCGGAAACGCGGCTTCGACGGACCCTCACACGAAGAAACAAGGAAACTGCGCCGGTACCAGTGATCGGCACGTGCGACAAAAACCACAAAGACCACCAAAACCACGCAAACAGAAAGGTAGCCAACAGGTTGTGTCTTTCCTTTTGTCTCTGCTCTGCGCATTTCATTGTTGTTATTATTATTATTCCTTTTTTCGCCAAAGGGTAAGACTCTACGACGGGGTGTTCGGCAAACAACGTCGCCCCTTCTACATGCAAAAAACGACATCACGAAAGGTGAAGGTTTGAAAATCAAAAGGGGGTATCACACTGCCTTTGACTTTGCTACCACAGTCTACGTCTTGTACCACTTTCGACAGCCACGACCCGTGTCATCCATGTCGGCCGGCACTGGAAGCTACTCTGGGCCATTCGCCAGCATGCTCGTCCTGAACACGCAAGATTTGCGTTATTGAGCTCTCATCCGGCACGCGAACATGCGGACCTTCATCTACGACTACGTCCTCTCGACGCAGCATTCCATTCCTCGTCTCTCCCTGTCATTTCGTCAACGGTGGCCTTGCCTCCAGCTTTTTTGCTACGTCATCTTCCTCGGATTCGCGATCATTTCAATTTTCATTTTCATTTTTTTATTTTCTTTGCTCATTTCCGTTGTCCTTCATTTCTCACTTGTCTTATTCATCCAATTGACGACAATAGGCAGACAGAGGTAAGGAACTGTCGTGCCAGTGTCGATTTCAGAATGAGGCTGTTGCCTCATATTATCTCTGCCAAAAAATAGGTAATCCGACATAAAGCCCAAGTCAACGGCGGCAGCCGTAAGCGCAAGGGAGCGTTCAGCGTTATTTATACTATAAGATTGCATTTGCACTATGCGCCTTGTGAATTTGCATTGCCAATGTTTGGCTACTAGTACTCTGAGATCATGATAACTTGCATTGCCCTGTAACTTTTGATCCTGTAACCAGAACGCCCATAAAACAATGAGGGAAATTGAAACAACAAAGAATTGAACCGGTCGAAACAAAAAAAATCAAAATCAAAATCAAATGTGAGGAAATGCCATCTGGAAATTAGCAGCCAACGTCATGCCCTTTACGCCTCCACAGCGTCTTCTATCGCCACGTCCTCGTCGTCCTCGGTCTCGGGGGCACTGCTGGTGGCAGCGCCGGCGCCGTTTCCGCTGGCGCCCTTGACGGACACCGGCAGCGGCGGCTGCAGCTCCGTCACCTCACCCGTCGCAGCACTCCAGTACGCGAGCGTCTCGATACGGAACTCGCTGAGGCAGATGCCAAACAGGCGCAGCAGGCGCGTCTGCCGGCTATCCAGCGTCTGGCCCTCACGGCACACAACGTAGCCCTCGGCAGCATCGTTGGCATGGCCCTCCTCGCTCTCGGGGGCCTCCTCCAGCACAACCTTGCCGCGCAGCAGACGCACGGGCATGCCGAGACGGCGCAGCTCGGGCTCGAGGGCAATGGCCATGGGCACGTCGTCGGCCTCGGCGACAACGCCGCCAGTGCTGTAGAGCATGCCGCGGGGAATGACAACGTCACGGGTGGCGACGGTGCCGGCGCGGGCGAAATCGACGGGACTGAGGCTCTCGAGGTAGGACGTGACGTCGTCGGGCTTGCGGTTGGAGAAGATCAGGCCAACGGCGCCGCGGAGGTAGCGGGAGGCCAGGCGGTCGATGCCGGGGGCCATGGCGTCCTCGGGACTGGTTCCGAGGGCGCGGGCCATGAGTTTTGTCTTTCCAAGGAAAATGCTGCAGAAATCATACAAGACAGAATTGTTAGTAGAAGGCCATGACGGCGAAGCAAATGGCAGGCCGGGGCCACATACCGTCCATCGGTCATCTCCTGGCGCACGTCCTTGACGTACTGATTGCGCATGTTGTCGACGCGCACGACGAAGCAGTGCTCAAACTCGGGGACGGCATCGCGGATGTTGTTGAAAAGACGGTCCTTGTGCTCACGGGTCTTCTTGGCGACCTGCGACATGTGCAGCACCTTTTCGCGCTTGGACTTGGGCATTGTGGCGGTAGGAAGGGGTAGAGGGTGTTGTCTTCCGTGAAGTTGAAGTCGTGGATATATTTCAAACTATTGTAATTTTGTATCTTGTATTTTGTATTTTGTATTTTCGTTATTTTTTTTGTGGATATATTTCAAACTATTGTAATTTTGTATCTTGTATTTTGTATTTTGTATTTTCGTTATTTTTTTTGTTTCCTCGTCCGTTCTTGCTTTTCGCTGGCTCCTTCCCATACTAAATGTTCCGCCGCTTTTTGGCTGGTCAACTTTTTTTTCTTATCTTATCGGGAGGTACAGAATACATATCTCGTCACTAAGCATGCATCAATCCAATTAGTGTGAAATCGTTTATATGAATGACATAAACCTCGTTAAGTACATAGTACGAATGCGAAATGTACCAGAGGAACGCATCACCTCTGCTTCTCTGTGGCATGCAAAATCTAGATGCTGACATGTATACCACGTATGGCCCCTCCTCTGGTATATAATTTACGCGAGGTACACATAATTGCCGCCTTCCCGCTCCAGGTAGTCCTTTTCAATGAGTCTTGTGGTTGTTAGCAGAGAGATCAGATGGTGTTTTGGAAAATACATCCTATGCCAAAGGCAAACACGGGTGGACTCACTTCTCAATGTTCTGCTTGATGTCGGCTGGGTCGAGGGAGCCCCGGCTCTTTGTCTGGCTGATCACCTCGGCCACCAGCTGCGCGTGCGGCAGCGACTTGCGGCTCTTCATGATGCGCACAATGGCGGCCTGCGTTTCAAACTGGCGGTCGGCCGACACGCGCTCGTACGTGGCCTTGTTCTCCTCCTTGGTCTCCTTGAGCTGAATCTGGTTGATCTTGATGCGGAACTTGGGGTCCGTAAACGCCTTGTTCACGGTAAACGTGTCTGTCTCGCCGACGTCGCGGCCCTTCGGGTGCTTAGTCAGCACGCGCACCTTGCCGCAGGCCAGCGACTGCAGCGTGCGCTTGAGGTCGGGGCCTTCGAGCGCCGTGGCCTCGCCAATCTGTGCATAGCTGAGCACGCCGCCGCCGCCGTCCTCGTCTGCCTCGGCTTGGTTGAACAGCAGCAGCACGGCCGCCTGGAAGCTGCTGACGAGCAGCTCCTTGGTGCCGCGGTTGAAGCGGGCTTTGACGAGGCAGTGGCCGAGGGTGTGCGTCCACGTCAGTTGGCGGCCCGTGTGCTTGTTCTTGTAGTACTTGTCAAACTGGTTGACCTGCTCGAGCACTTCGGGCGGCAGGTTGAGCGCAACCTCCTTGTACGACGGCCAAGCCGCCGCCGAAAGCACGCTGACCTGCAAATCGACACCTTTGCTGGTGGCTGTGGTGGGGGGCGACGATGTTGTGTCGTCCGTCCGGCCCGTGCCGGCCAGCCACTGCTTGTACGCGGCCATCTCGTCGCGCGACAGCTCCTGGTCGCGGAACATTTGCTCGAGGTTGTGCGTCAGCGACGAGCCGCACTCGGTCTTGAGCTTGCTCAGCATGTTGCGCTCGGCGTCCTGCGACGCGCTGCGGCCCATCAGCAGGCGGCGCGCAAGGTCCTTCTTGTAGAACGCCTCAAAGACGTCCTTGCCCTGGATGAAGCGGAACAGCTCCAGGGCCTGGTCCAGCTGGCGGTCCAGCTCGGCGTCCTCGTCGCCCGTGCTCGCCTGCCCGCTGCGCTCGGCGTCGATGCGGTCCTTGTTGTCCGACAGCAGCGTGGGCGGCAGCGTCTTGAGGCCGCCGCGCAGCAGCATGTCAATGTGCTTCGCGACCATCTCGCCCACCTTGGACGCGCCCGACGCCCAAGCCTTTGTCACGGCGCGGTCGTTGATGAAGCGGCCAAAGGCGTCGCGCAGGCCGTGCGTGAAGTAGTCGTCGCGCGTAAACGCATCGCGGATCATCACGTCCAAGCTGCGCCGCAGCAGCAGCAGGCGCACCACCATCTCGTCGCCCCGCGCCACGTCCGTGACGATGCCCGTGCCCGTGGCCTCGATGTACGCCTCCCAAGGCGTGCGCAGCCGTCGCTGCAGGCCGGGCAGCTGCAGCAGCAAATACAGGGAGCGCATCGTGTCGACGTCGTTGGCGTCGAGCAGCTTGGCCACGCTCTCCTGGTCGAGCAGCTTGGCGTCGCGGTCGACAATCAGCAGCCGCTCGACCGTATTGAGGAGCTGCTTCTTCGTGGAGCTGTCAAAGTTGAAGGCGTTGCAGCGGTCGGACTCGCGCACCAGCAGCGCCGCACATGCCTTGATGTACTGCCGCAGGTCGGCGGCCGTCTCGCGCTCCTGGACAAAGTCGCGCACAAATGCCTCGGACTCCTTAAAGAACAGCGGCTCAAAGAGCGTGCCGTACATGTTGAAAATGTGCAGCATGCTGACGGCGTTGCGCAGGAGGGCTGCATCAAAGGCAGCGTCACTGCGTCGGTCCTGTTCGACCAGTTGGCACATGCCCGCCAGCACCTTGTTGCCAGGGCCCTCCGGGGCAGCGCAGCCGGCTGTTGCATTGGCGTCGCTGCTCTTCTTGGCGCTGTCAAAGACCATGCGGCGGAACCGTGCAATCAGCATGTCGTTGATCTGCGGCAACGACCGCTCGTTGACCAGAAACGCCCGGTCGAGGTAGCTGAACACGGACCGAATCACAGACGACTGCTTCACCCACACGAGCCACTGCGTATGCACCGCCCGCAGCGTGGCAATGTCGGACGCGCCGAGCGTCTCCGCCCGGATGCCAGCCAGCACGGTCCCCGTCAAGTGTGCGTCGCACTGCGCTCGTAGCCGCTTGTAGAGGTGCTCGGCCTGGCCGTGCGTGCAGAGATCCTCGACGCCGCGGTACAGCCGCTCCAGCGGCACACGCGGTGTCTCGTTGGCGAAGATGGATGCCAGCGCCGCGTCAATGTCGGCGCCTGTGCGGTCGTAGTAGCTCTGCACCTGCTCCACCCGTGCGGGCGCCGACACCCGCAGGTTCTTGATCACCAGCTTCCGCGCGCCCGTGTGTGGCTGGAACGCCGTCGGTGCCGTTGCCGAGGCCATGGACTTGCGCGCCGCCGCAGCCGTGTTGGTCGTGCCCCACTGCGCTCCAGGCCCTGTCAAGTCCACCACCTCGGGCCGCTTGCCCTGTGTCTTGGCATTCATCGTCTCTGTGTTGGACTCCGCACCCGATTGTGTCTTATGCCGCTTCGCGTTGAGTGCCGACGCCGAAAAGGCCAGCGGTAGTGAGGGGATCGAGTCGACACGCTTCCTACGGCGGGACGCAGATCCAGGCAGCAAGGTATCGGGTGTTGGACAAGCACTGGCAGTGGCACCGGCACTGGCACTGCCCGAGTACGGAGGGGGGGATGCTCCGGGACGCGTCGGATGCATCGACTGCTGGAGAACTGCGGTCGCGCCCAGCAGATCGCTCTGACCGAACCGCTGACTATGTGGCTATTTGGCGTTCGATCTATCGTAGGATGATCTGTGTAGTATGCGTGTGGACGTGTGAGTCTGACGATTGTTGTGTCGGGAAACGGTCGAGTTCAAATGGCGAAGCCAGGAAGAAGCCAACTGCTAGGCGAACTGTTGGTTCTAGCAAGGCTGTCACGGTACACCGTAGACCGATAACGGAACACTCGTCCAAAACGATTCGTAGGCCGGTATTAGGTGGCGGGTGAGGACGACAAAGTACGGGAGGAAAGCGAGAATCGACAGTGCTTCGAACGTCGTTTGTGTGGAGGAGTTTCGGAGCTGTGATGTGATGCTTCCGAGCCGTGTAATCAGCTATCATAATGGGCAGCGCGGGTAGGAGCGACTAACTCCGGGGCGGCGACTTTAATAGCCCCGCTATAGACAAAGCCGCGATAGATGCAACCAATGTTATATCCGTGTTTTATTCCTTTAAGCGTGCCGGACCACCATTGTTTACACCCCTTGAAATCCATTCATTGTCTAATTCTTTTCTTTTTTATTTTCATTGTTTCTTCTGTTTCGCGTTCCCATGTCTTGAATTTTGATTTGCTCCTCTTCTGTATTTTGTACGCTTACTAGCATTTCCAAGCTTGATTATCCAACATGGCTATATCCCAAAATACACCACCCACTATGCATATGCCGCCCAACCTATTTCTCAGTTAGAATCACACAGTCATAATCAAGACAGGAGAGGATGCGCAGCTTACCCGAATACAAAACGGCCAAATTCCGCTCGTCCGTGGCCTGATTAATCAGGTCGTTGACGGTCGCCGCCACGCTCAGCGTCTTCGACAGCTTCTTGCGCACCACCTCCAGCGCCCGGTCGGCCTCCGACGGCTCGTTGAGGACAGCTCCGTTGCGAGTGTCGGTGTCCGGGTCGTCTGCACCGCCGCCTCCGCCTTCAGCCGCTGCCGCCGCTGCCGCTGCCGCTGCCTCATCCGTTCGCGAGCGCGCATCCTGCAGCTTGGCCAGACGCACCGGCGAGATCGACCACGAGTACAGTGGATCGTACCGCAGCACGTCGAGGATCGTCATGATCGAGTACGTCTCTTCGCGCATCGCGTCCAGCGTAAATTCGCAGCACCGTCGGAACACACCCTCGGTCCCTGTGATGCCCATGCCGTCCACAATGTCACGCGTCAGTCGGAATGGCACCAGCTCCGGCACCGGCAGCACGCGGCCCATCTCAAACGCCACACCCAGGTCAATGTGCACCACCTCTCCCGTCTTCGAGTCCAGCAAAATGTTGTGTCCGTGCCGGTCGCCGAGACCGAGCACGTGGCCGAGCATCGAGATGGCTGCCGTCGCGCGTGTATAGGCGAGGCGGCGCACAAACCACTCGTCCGGGTCGGGGAAGTACTCGAGGAAGAAGTACCGCATCACCGGGTGGAACCGCTCCGTCACCTTGCGGTATGTACTGATGCGTGTTTCGACCGGCCGCGTCTGCACATTCGAAATCTCCTTGCGGCACTGCGAGCCCTTGAGGTCGCGCGGGTAGTAGCGCTCGTGTGCTGGCATCAGGTATTCGTGCAGCGGGATCGTGTTAGGCACAAACTCGATCAACCCCGACGACGCTGTCAGCGGCAGTACCTTGTACGTGCGGATGCCCAGATTGCGCTGCCGACTCGTCCGATGCAGCTTGAGGAGCGCCGACACCGCCGCAAACACCTGCTCCATGATGGCGTCCTGCCGCAAGTCGTCATTGCCGCCCTTGACCAGCTGCTTGTAACGCACACCGTTGCTGCCGACAACCGTGAGGATCTTGGGGGCGCTCACGCCCAGCGCAATCGACATCGTCGGTTCCAGACGCACAATCGTGGGCACCCTGCCGACGTACACCTTGTCAGCTTCTAGCGGGATCTCCATGGTCGGCGGCGGGATCGTGTACCGTGCCAGCCCTTGCACGAGGCCGTTGCCCGCCTGTGAATCCTTGAGCGCCAGGCGGTGCCCGGCCTTGAAGTTGCTGTCCCGCTCCACCGCCAGCATGTGGTAGCATTTGCTGGTCCGGTCAATTGCCTGCCAGATGGCCGCCACGTTGGACTCGGGCAACATGAGCCGCTTGGCCACCCGCTCTGTCGCTTTTTGCCGCAGCACGGCCACGCCGTCCTTCTGGTTTGGTCGCGTCCGCACGCCCGACCATATCTGGTACATGCCGTGGTAAGGGTGGTCGCTGCAGATGCGGTACACGAGATCGAACAGAAGCTTCTGGAACAGCCCCGTCTGGCCCTGCAGCCGCGACGTGAGCTGGTTCATAAGCGGCGCAAACTTGCGCGTCGGCACTTTGCGCAAGTACTTCTCGACCGCCTCATTGGTGCTGTCCTCGCTCGATCTGTCTAGCCAGAGTGCCGTAAACCGCAGCGCGTCGTTGTTGTGCTCGTCGGACGCGGCGAGGGACAGCAGGTAGTTCTCTAGACACAGCTTCACAAATTCGTTGCGCGTCTGCTCTACCCGGTGAAGCTCCTGCTCGTCGAGGTCTAGCCACAGTTTCGCCTTGTTAAGGTGGCTTGTGTACCTGTGCCGCACCTGCGAGTCCTTGGCACCGCCAATCAACTCCCGTAGCTGCTTGACTTCGTTGCTCTTGCCCTCTCGCAGGCTCTGCAGACGAGCCAAGTCTTCAAGGCTGTCTGGGTTTTGCAGCTGCTGGTCACAGAACATGGCAAACTGGTGGAACACGCGGCCGGCTTCCTTGCCCTCGTTACGCCCCTTGAGCTCGCGGAGCGCCGGCTCAAGGTACTTCTTCTGGATCGAGTCGGCGCTCTCGAGGCGTGCCACCGACACTTGGTAGCCGATCTTCGACAAGAGATCCGAACGGCTGACGGGCACCATCTGCTTCTTGAGGGACGAGTCTCGATCAATGCTTTGCAGCACGCGGATCGAAGCCAGCATTTCGCCGTGGTCCCAGAGCGAGCTGGACGTCTCCACCTTAATGGCGGCGTCCACATTGAGGCCCAGCGCCTCACTCGGGTCGATGAGGTCTGAGAGGGCCGTCGTCACATTGAGCGACTCTTGCATGGCATGGTGGAAGCGGTAAATGCTGGACGAGAGAAGGAGTCCCTTGATCTCAACCAGGCGCGCCTCTGCCGGCGACACTTTCATACTTCCTCTAACGTAACTCTGCTCGCTGATTGTACTCAGAGTTGTTTCGCGGTAAGACAACAGCTGGCTGACGTCGTCATATCTAAAATACTGTTAGAACACACCAGTGGGATAACAAACCCGGAGAGCAAAAAAAAAAAATTTAGAAGGAGCAGGAGAAAACGTACTGTTTACTCATCATCCACTTAGAACGGTCCTCAAACTTATCTAGCATGTTCTGGAGCTCTGTTGCATCTCTCACGTTCAAAATGTCGTCAAGCTCAGTCAAGGCGGCCAGTGCGCCTAGCTGATGTCGGAGACTGGACACTGTCAGGCTTTGGCTGGTCACTTGCTTCATCGTGTTGCCGAGGCCCTCATAGACGGCCTGCTGTGCTGCCGTGAGGTCGGTCGCCTGGTGCACGGCCTGAAACGCCTTGTAGACAGTGACTGACGGGTTATCGGTGACTGCAGGAACCGGCAGATTCCACATGCCCAGTCGCCGTGCCGTGGTAAAAGTGCTGTCCAGGGACGCCGAGGTGCCATCCACACTGTGCTGCGTCTGGAGAAGGGAGTGAGACAGGCCAGACAGACCAATGTTGCTGAGCGCCTGTACGAGCGCCTGTCCATCTTTGGCTGCGACGGCGTTGTGCCGGCGTAGGTGGCTGTCGTATTGCGCACCACGGAAGGCAAGGGTCTTGCTGCCGTCCTTTTCGTACTCGAGACGGGCCAAAACACTAGACAGACTGGGGCTTTGGGGTAGCCCATAGTAAGCGTCGGGGTCGTCGATGTTTTCGTAAATGTCCAGCAAGAGGTCTGTGTGTTCGGTTGCTTCCAGATCCTTTAAGTTGACAACGCCCGAAGACCTCCGTGATGGCTTGGCAACCTCTGTGAGCGCGAGCTCGGCAAGGAGAAGCGCAATTTTGAACATGCCACACCGGGATGCCGCTTCTGCTGCCACGGACAGGTCAATATCCAGCCATTTGTGTCGCTCTGCTATGGAGTTCTCGTTGGGCATAGCCTGTGTCCGCAGGTAGACGATCGTGTTGATCAGAAGCTTAACGTTTTCCTGTGCGGTCGGTGAGGTACAGGCCAGCCACACTTTAGCGGCCTCGGAAAGGCTGCGCTTGACGGTTTGCTGCTTCTCAAGCTGGAACAGTAGGACCAGATGCACGATAAAGGGGAACACCTGCTCTGCAAAACCCTTGGCGTTGGTCAGGATGGGAGGGAGCACGCGAAGGACGACGTCGTCCGGTATGCAATGGGCCAGATAGACGGCCAGGTCTTGTGCCCAATTGACGTGTTCAATGTTGCTCATTTTAAAAGCTTCGAATGCAGCACCTTCCGGGGTCGAAAGAGTCTCGTCAAAGTCAGAGGGAGGTGTCCGGTACTGTCCCCACGACGAGGAGATCAACAAAGGCTCTGACAGGCTGTCCTGGCACGCCAGCTGCAGAGTACTGTCGCCCAAGATGGCGGCCCGTGACACAATTGTCCGCAGCGCTGATTCAGCAAGACCTGCCGTCGTCGACTCCGCATTCATAGTCAGGGTCTCAAGAAGCCGAAGAAGACCCTGTTCGGAGCTCGCAGTAGTGGCGGCACCTCCTTGGTACTGGTCGAGGCGGGACTCGCGGAGGAGGTCGTCATGGATGGTCCCCGATGCGGCAAACGACCGTCCAACGACGCGGCCAGCCCATATGAGATACTCTCTACTCAAGGCCGTTGCACCACAGCTCTTCCAAACAACGGCGCCGTGATCTCGCGCGTCTTGGTCTGTCTCGATAATGTCGGCGCGAATGGACGCTGGGACGTGGAAATCGCTACAAAGCATCCCCAGGACCAGATCACGGGACGAGTCGTTGAGCAGACGGGCTTCTTGCTCTCCGTCTTTGAAAATTTCGAGTAAAAGGGTGCTTTCCGGTGTGCCCCTTTCGGCGTTTCCAGATGCCCGGATCTGTGTAGCGGACTGCGTAATGGACTTGAATGCTGTACGCTGGACATCGTCTTGGAAGGCAGGCGAGTCATACTCACGCAGGTGTTTGGCAAACCAGCTATGGAAATGCTGCGCCTTGCTCATGGTGGCTTTGAACTGGCTCTCTTGCGTTGTGCTAGCCTGGCTAGACTCCAGGAACATGCGCAGGGAGGCTAGCATGGACACTGCATAGCCGGCGTAAAAGGAGGGGAACTGGGTAAGATGGCCCGTGCCGCGAATAATGAGATACTTTGTGATGCCGAGCGCGTCGTCTGCACATTCTGCATCCTGCACATACGGCCGGACCGAATGCAAAAGCATCTCCAGCGGATACGAGCTGGTCGCCTGCTCTCCAGCCAGGCAAACGAGTACACGAACCTTTCGGATCACGGAACAGGCATGTAGTGATCCTAGCGCTGGCCGGATGGTGTTAAAGAGTTGACGGGCCACAGACACAACTAGTGCCGGGGTCCAGAGGGTGCTCAAATCATACTCCGTGCGGCTGCAGATGTATGCCAGTTCGCGGGTCAAGAATTTGGCCTTGAACATGGGTTGCTGGTTGGGCGGGAGAATCACGGGCGAGTGGTTGAAGGCCTTGATCTCGGCCATGATATCGGCCGCGTACTGGAGGGTTGGATCCTTGCTGAAGTATTTTTCGATGGGATCTTCTTGGTCAATAATATCAAACAGAACGGCGATAATGTCTGCGAGGTGGTAGTACATGGCGTCGACAAAGCGGTCCCGGCCCAGTACTTTCCGTATGCGGCTCTCGGAGGTTGTCTGTGTCTTGTCCTTAGTCATCGCCACGTCGTGGGCCACGCTGTAGGCCATGGCCTTGGCAAACGTCTGCTGAATGAGGTCCGCATTGCTCAAGTCGAGCCGTTTCGCAATCGCAAACGCTTCAGTCTCCTGGCCGCGCATCAACATGAGCGCGGTGGCCTCGGTCTTAGCCTGGCCGATCATGTCGTCGAGACCGCTGTAACCAAAGATGCTGTAGGGAATCTCCTCGATCAGGTCACGCTCTAGCCAGGTGTACAGAAGCTGCGGGGCGAAGAGCTTGAAGAGGTCCCGCGGCGAGTCGAGTGCGAGCGCCGTTGCGACTTTGGCAAGGCATCGAGTGGCAAAGTCAGAGCACTGCTTCAAGCGGCCAGGTGTCTCGAAGATGTGATAGATACAGCGGCGGAGAAGCGTCGGCCAAGACCGCGCAAGCTCAGCCAGAGCAAGCAGGCGGAGCGAGATACCTTCGGGCCAGGTTGGGTCTGAAGGGAGGCTCTCCAGGATGTCGACAAAGAGATCATCGTGCACCTTGAGCACATACAAGGCGAAGATCTTTGGGAGGTTCATGCCAACAAAGTATTTTACGGGGATGAAGCTCGTCTGTAAAATGGACAGCAGGGTAGACCGGCACGAAGGCAGGCCGAGATCGCTGCCGTAGGCCGAGTTCACCTCGAGCAAGCGGTAAAGAAGTTTGGCGAGGCCCATCTGTGCATTTGCAGATAGGGAGTTCTTTGGCAACGACTGTTGCACCAGGTATGCGTACAAGTCGCCAATCCGCGCAGATACTTCAAGCTTCTCGTCAGGCCAGACAGAAACAAAGCCCTGCATAACATCCATACAAGTTGTCAGTGCGATCTCGCAGCAAGAGTACTCCCCTTGGCCGATAATGTCGCCAATCACTTCGACGACCTTGAGCGCGTCTTCGGGAACGACAACCAGGTCGGAGCCGAACAAGTCACGCATGAAGTCGCTGCACAGGAGAAGATCTTCGTTGGACAAGGCGAGGAATTGGTCCAGGAAGCCCTCTGGCAATACGCCGACGTTGTTTGAATTTTCGTTGATGAAATACAAAAGATGCAGCCGCTGCGTAGTATTGAGGTAGAAGGCTGTAGAACTGGTCGACAAGGAGGAGGCCCGTCGGGGAAGTGTAATGGCCTTTGTGGTGACACTGCCCTGGCTAATCGCCGACTCAAAGCCGTCGTCGATTTCCATGAAGGCGTCGTTTGAGAGGGAGGACTGCTTGGCGTTTTCTTCGTCAATGGCTTGCGACAGCTGGGCAACGAGTCTTAACAAGACGGGGTGCTCTTTGGCAAACCGCTCCGTGTCAGCAGCCGAGATTCGCGGCAGGTGCGCGTAGACTGCCGACAGCCAAACCTCAAAGAATGCCTGGTTCTGCTCGGCCTCGTGTAGTGCCTTAAAGGTCGCGTCAACCAGATTGAGCAGTCCTGGCTCCAAGTCTCTCGCAAGACTGGAATTGACAGAACTCAGTTGCGGGGCGAGTGCGGCACAAACGACACAAAAGTCTGCCAGGCTCTGCATTCGCTGCGCAGAGATCTGAGAGATGTTCTCGCCACCTTTCCGGGTCCACGCCTCGGCCATTTGGACGAATTCGTCCATGTTGGGCTGCAGCAACTCGAGAACAGCCTTTCTGGCGGTGTTGGAGCTGGCTGGGTCACGGAACTGGGACGTGGCGTTGGTCGTCGTGCCGGACGAATACTGGCAGGTAGCATGCTTGGAACGCTTGAACGGTTTCGGCGGAAGCAGCAATAGATACCTCATCATGTCGTCGCTCTCCTCCTGGTCCTGCCAGGTCTGCTTGACGGGGCCGCCGAATATCTCAACGGGGCGCTGGATTTCTTGGATAGGTGAGCCTATGCAGATGTTGATGAGGTTGATAATGTCGTAGGACGGGGCGAGGGCGGAATACAGAGACGCAAAGCCATGCTCAGCTAGGCGCAAAGATGGAATTAGACAAAACGATCACAAGGGGTTTTCCGGGTCGTCACAACATATCAACGGGCACCAATGTCGACTTACCGGGCTTCCATCGCGAAAAGAGCCACCTAGTGATGTTATTCGACGTTGTCTCGCTGGCACTGGGAAGCGTCGCATTGCGGACATGAAACAAGTGCATCATCAAGACCAGGGACGAGTCGACAAGAAGAGCCGGTCCACTAACTTCGGCGGCTGTGACCAGATTGTTGACGTCGTCCCCGATCGCATGGTACGGGATCAACTCCGTTTCCAGCATGGTGTGGACCAGGGCGCAGGCAGCACGACAGGTCGCCGGGAGACTGACAGAGCGCACAGCAATCTGCCAGACCTGACCCCAGAGCCCAGCAAGTGCCGCGTCTCTTGCGTGGGTCTGGTGGGCACAGCTAGGGGATGTGAGACACAGCGCATAACACAATTTGTGTCGATTTACGGCCTGGTGCGGACTTACCTCGAACAGGCGGTCATGGCCCATGAGCAAACAACCGCTTGTTTGTCGCTGATGTGCTGGCCAAGGCGTTGGAGAATATCCGCCAGATCGTCCACTGGTACTTCGGTCATCTGGAAGTAGAAAGGCAGGACTTGGAGTGCAGCCAATTTTGTTCCCGGGTCTGGAGAGGCCAGATGACTCCGGATGCGGCTCGGCGGTTCGTGCACGCGCCGTCGTTTTCGGGGCTGGTCGTCTGCGCCGCCGTCACCATGATCGGCCGGCTGCCTTGCATGGCGAGCATAGATGGCCTCCAGAAGGGCAATGACCTCCACGACGGCCCAGCGTCGTTCTGCGGACACGTCGTGTGTGCCGAGTCCAAAGACACGAGCATCAAAACAGCTTGTCGGTGTGTACGAAAACGCAATGTCGACAACTTGTAGCCGCGTGCGATCGTCACGCTTCGAATACTCCATCCAGAGGTTGTCCAAGACGTCCTTGATATGGTCGAGAATGCCGCTGGTTGGCGACTGGATGGCCAGAGCTTCGATATGTAGCTGCAACGTATATATAGTCCGCAGAATTTCCTCGCGGATGGAGTTGACAGACTCGCTCTGGCTAGCCGACGAGCGCGGATGCCACCAATGGCCCAAAAGAGGCATGATGTCACGGACGATGCCCTGGACCAAAGCAACGTCGTCGCCCTGGAGGTGCTGCACAATGCACCGAACGGACGCACAGGCCGTCTGCTGCAGCGTCCCAACGCCCAGTTGCCGCATTTGCAGGACACGAAGGGCCACGTTGGCGAGCTGCGAAGCTCTGGACTTGAGCGGAGCGTTCGAGGCGCTGACGAGGTGGTACATACCCTGGACGAGCGTCTCCAAAATTTTGCTAGACGCCTGGGACGAGGGCCGCGCTTTGGATAGAGTGCCAGAACGGCCCTGACCCGCCGAAAGCGGAAGTGTTCCCGGCGCCGGCGAGGCACGAGACAGCACAACGTAGGCCAAGGCATCACGATCGGGCACCTCGGCAAAGCGGTCAATGGCGTCCACGAAGAAATCCGCACACGCCAGCCAGCCCTCGCCATCGATGGCACCGAGCTGCTCCACATTGGCCGGATGGCTCAGGAGAGACACCAATGCCTTGGTGTAGTCCTGCAGGATCGGCTCGACAAACTCGTGGTCACGGCCGGGGAGCGTCTGTGTAATGTGGTCCACGATGGCGCGGGCGACCTTCCGCTTCAGACCAGAAGCACCATAGTTGACGGCCAGCCGCAGAGCCTCGGCACTTGCCACGAGGCGAGTCTCAGCCGTGCTCTTTGTTGTCCTCTTGTTGCTCAGGTAGCTCTTCTTTTCAGAGAGCGAACACTGGAACAGGGCCTCGACCAGGCTGTGATATGCTTTGGCATCGAGCGGCAGCCTGTTGGTCAGCAGTTTTCGGAACGGGCCAGGCCAGAATGCCAGAATAGGACAGTGTAATAGTATGAATGCACCTACTGTGTCGAGCCTTGAAGCTTTCTCGTGAACAGAGAAATCAAATCTGAGTTGACGTCAGTCAATACAGCCGAAGATGGACGAAGGCATCACACATCACACTCGATACTCACCCTGCAACGCTTTCAATCGCTCTGTGGAGTTTCCTCCAACAATCGAAACTGTAGAAACAGTGTTAGTCTCGGTATCACATCATGAAATACTCGATTTCAAGCTTGGTCTTACCTCGGATGGTCTCGGCATCGTCGCTTGCGGGAGCTTTGGAGCGCGACGGCGCCATGGTGCTGCACCGCTCGGGGACGGGACGAAAACAAACACAAATCACCTAGCCGGAGATAGAGTGTGAATTCATGACCTATGCCGCCAAAGGTAGCTGTCGAGAGCTTCACTGTTCGTGCTAAGCTGGCTGTCCCAATGTCGTCCCTTTTGTTTCAGTGCGAGAGCGTGCGCCTGTATGGGGAGGCTCTGGGCCGTTTTCCGGGCAAGCTGATACGTACTCGCACCACCAACAGTGAGACGGTACGTCGCTATGGTAAAAGAGAACGCTCGCGCTGCGGAATGGCGTCAAAATACGGGAAAATGCAGTCGAATAAAAGTGTATATACAGGACCAAAAAGAGGCTTCAGCTGGCGATGCTGTGAAAACAAGCATAAAAGTGTCTGTGGTGCAGGCGCAGTGGACGAGGCTCCATCGCGCCTGCTCTCATTGCCTGGCTGCAGCGCGTTAGGCAGTCTAGCTGGCTAGCTGGTTGACCGGTTGGTCGTTCCTGCCGGTTCCTTGCAAACAAAACAGGCACAGCGGCAGAATGCTTCACCGCCCTGACACACGCAGCTTGTGATTGGCGTCCGAAGGCAGGAACGGTCCACCAAGGGAGCTTGGGGTGCAGGAAGAAGCTGCCGTCAAAAAACGGCCATCAACACTAACATCGAAAGCTACGCGCGATCCGCACCACACAAAAAAGCGACCTTCACATTCTCGGCGCCCAACCACCCCCGGTACATTGAACATTATACGACTCGCCCACGCATGCACGCGTCGACACGAATTCGGACACTGTCGTTGTCTAATTGAGACGCCGAAGCACACAACCACAGGCCATCTTCCCCTCTCTCGCGACAACTCGCCTTCGATCTTGATTTCGACCTCAATCTCGACCGTCTGCCGCTGGGACCACTATGGTCGCGTCTGCGTCCGTGCCCTCGCCTTGAGTTGCCCCCAAGTTGCCCGCAATGGCCGACGTCAGCACGCTGGAGGCGCTCCAGGCCCTGCACCGGGAGTTGGTGGCCGTCTCCGAGCACAGATACGAGGGCCTCGAGGCCCTGGACGCGGGCCTGCAAGACCACGCTGGCCAGTTCAAGAAACTCATCGACAAGAAGCCACGAAGCGCCGAGAGCCGCAAGGCCGTCGAGTCGGGCAAGATCAGCATGGGCGGCGAGGAATACAGCATCAACCGCGAGTTCCAGGAGAACGCCCTGCAGCTCGCCGACGAGCTCGACCTCGACGAGATCGAAACGGCAGGCATCCTGCTCGAGGCCGAGGACGACACAGTGACGCTCGGCCGCCCATTGCTGGCGTGTGGCCTCATTCGCTTCCACCAGCGGCGCAAGTTCTTGCTGGACTGTGCACGGCTGTGCATCCGCCTCGCCGACGACCAGGAACTCGAGCCAGTGCTGCAGGCCGTGCTGGCCGACTATGTTTCCGAAAACATCTTCTGCGTGCCCGGCCCGGGCGTTCCCAAGGGCAGTGATGCGAGCAGGATTGTGCCGCGGTGCATGGCCGCCATGCAAGGGATCCGCACGTGGCTACAGCGGCTGGGCGACCGCGCCACCGCGGCGTCTGTGCTGCAAGAATCGCTGTCGCCCGAGATCAAAGAGATGTTTGATTTCTCGCGCCTCAGTCTGGTGCAGCAGCACGAGGGCGTGGCCATGATTCTGTACGGCGCGGCCGAGAAGCGGCACGTCGAGGCCAAGGACTTTACCGAGTTTTTGTCGTTTCTGCAGCGCTGGGACCGCTACGACACCCTGCTTGTCCACCTCTTCCCGACGCTGGCGCTCTACATCCGCCTCTTCGGCTCCCCCGACGGCGTCAGCGACCTGAAGCAGGCACGGCGGCTCAACGAGGTCGTCAGCAAGCGTGAGGACGACGGCGTCTGGCAGATCCCGTCCCTGCGGGCCGCCATTATCGCATGGTGGGTCGCCGAGTACAGCGGCTGGTACATGGACGACCTGGACATTCCACTCGACGACATCGACCTCGACAAGGAAGACGGCGAGCGGTCGGACGCCTTTTCCGCGTGCTTGAAGGAGGGCGCCCTCGATTTCATCCTGTCTGTGTCCTCGGACGTCGAGGTGCGCCACTGGCAGGACCCCACGCCGAGCGGCGTCCAGCTGTGGATCCAGCGCAGCTGTCCGCCGCTGGCCGCCGATTCCGTCGCCTTCTCCGACTTCTTCCGCGCCTGCGTGCTCGAGCAGCTCGAGAACTTTGTCGATGCCTTCATCTCCAACCTGCCCGACGTCATCCGCCAGCTGCGCGTCGACGAGGACGAGCAACGTCAGCTGAGCCAGGCGCACGAGCAGAGCCTCGAGCTCGAGCGCTTCCTGCTCATCATCTCACACGCCTACGAAGGACGGCCAGACGCCGGCGAGGCCTTCTGGGCCGACCCCGAGAGCAACCTGGCCGGATTCATGCAGTGGGCCAGTCACCGCGCGTCGACGCCGCTGGTCAGCGCCTTTTGCGAGATGCTGCGCTCCATCTCCAGCAACGAGGTATCCGCCAACGCCGCGCACAACTTCCTCCTCGACGAGATCAACAGCACCACGAGCATCGGCCGGATGCGTAGGTCGCAGGCCCTGACGTGGATCCAGATCGTCAAGGAGCTCGAGTTCTTTACGGGGCGCATCCGCGCGCACACCAACCCTGTGCCTGCCCTCACCTACCGGAGCGGCAAGCCCAACGACGACCAGGAAGAGGCCGAGCCCGAGTCGGCCATCATGCTGCAGTGCTACCTGCGCCTCATTGCGCGCATCTCCGTCAACAGCGCGGCTGCGCGCGTGTGGCTGCTCAGCAACAAAGAGTTCTCACTCTCCGGCATCCTTTTCCAGCTCGCCAGCCTCCCTGTGCCGGCACCCCTGCGCGCCTGCATCTTCACGGCTCTGCGTGCCCTTTTGTCAGACAAGACACTGGAAATCAGCTACATAATGTGGAGTTGTCTGGACGAGTACATGACGGGTGTTTATGCGGTGCCCGACAACATGTCTCTGCCTGTCACGAATCCTGCCAGCTACATGGATGGCCTCCTGGCCGAAGTCGGCCAGGGCTTTGAGCAGCCCTACGCCCTTGTTCAGTTCCTCTTGGCGCTCGTCGCGCCCTCCATCGACCAGTCCGCTCTCAACGACGCGCTCCCCTTTCCCGAGGCCATCGGCAGCGCCACCCGCATGCCCGGCATCGAGCCCTACGTGGACTTTGCCCTCGAGACCGTGCTTGGCAAGCTGTCCAAGGACAGCAGCAATAAGCAGCAGCAGTACACGCTGCGCCTCAGCGCGCTCGACTTTGCCCTGACCTGCCTCGACGCCTTCAACGAGGACCTCATCCTGATCGCCAACGAGACCGCCATTCCCGTCGACAGCATCATCGCCACCACCGACCTCGCCGCCTACGTCAAGCTGCACCCCTTTGCCCGCGTCATGGAGTGGGTATACAATCACAGTGTCGTGGAGGCCATCTTCAGTGCCATCCACGAGGATCCGGGCGAGATCGGCAATGCGGCGCCCGACTCGCCGTTGATTCTCGGTGTCATCCGCGCCGTCGAGCTCATCTCCAAGATTTTGGAGCTGCAGGACACCTACCTCGATCTCGTGCGCCAAGTCATCCGGCTGAAGCTCGGCGAGCGCCGAAAACCGGTCAGCGCCACCTACAGCTTCTTCGAGGAGGCCATTGCGAACCACCTCGACCTGATTGTCGATCTGGGCAACTGCTGTGGCCTCGGCCACCCGTCCCTGACGCTGGCGTGCCTAAAACTGCTCGAAAAGATATCCGTGTCGCCCAAGGTCATCTCCGCATGGAACCCTGGTCCCGGGCGCCACGCGCACCGCAACAAGGCCATTGTCGCGCTGGAAAAGGACGACGAGGCCGGTGTCATTTCGGGCGTCTTCGTCTCGGAGATGATCACGCCGCTGGACCTCGGACTGGAGGCCGATTCGCCAAACTACAGCATCAAGACGTACATTCTCGACTTCCTGTACTCGTGCCTGCAGGCCTCGCCAGACCGGCCCACCATTGCCCACCTGCTGCTGGGCTTCAAGTGCGGCGTCGACAGCTTGAGCGTCGAGTCCGGCGGCACCTTTGACAGCCGCACCTCGCTGTTTCACAACCTGCTGCGCGTCCTCCTCGAGGCCCCCTTTGGCGACGACAACCTCGGCATGCGCCAGTGGCTGATCCTGCTCAAGCACAAGGTCATGCGCATCTTCCAGGTCCTCTGGCACTCGTCGCTGTCGTCCGCCATTGTCCTGGCCGATCTGCGCGAGAACGACTTCGCCTTCCACCTCCTCATCCGCGAGGTCGTGCTGAGCCAGGAGATGCCCTGGGATGGCATAGCCTCTATGGCGCCCGAGTTCCCCACAACACAAGCGTCCGTCGGGTTTATCGAGTTCTGGGCACTGCGCGCTATGACGCTGGAGTACGTTGGCATCGAGCTCTGCAGCGTATCGCAGAATCGGCTGCCGAGCCTGAAGCGGCGCATCTTTGACGCCCTCAACGGCAAGGTCGTCGACGACAACAATGAGCCCATTGACATTCCCACCGTCTTTGACTTGTATGACTTCTTGTCCAGCAACAGCGGCATCTCCCACTGGGACGTCTCAGCGCCGCAGTTCAAGCGACTGCACGAGCTCGACCTCGGCGCATCCATGGACGAGACAGCGACGGGCGGGACGCTCTACGACCTCGACAAGGCTCGCGAGATTGCCCTGCTCAAAGAATCCGAGATCATCAAGGCATCGGGCTTGACCGAGAAGGCGCTTGGGGCTCTGCGCGAGGAGCTCCAGTTCGAAGAGGCCGTGCTGCTCGAGTATCTGGCCTTCCTCAACCGCCAAAAGCAGCTGGGTGACAACCTGCAGGTGGTTCTGCACGCCTGGGCCAAGCTGCTGCTCGTCATGTTTGAGGCCAACGAGTTTACCGGCGCCGCACAAGTATCGTTCTTGCTGCAAGCCCTGCAGGCCATCCTACCGGGCCTTGAGGCGTCGAGTGCGGACAACCCGGTGCAGGCGCTCGAGCTGGCGCGGCTGGCCGAGGTCCTCTTGTTCAAACTCTACGCCGACAAGAGCCTCGCCAACGGCAACAACAAGAGCAGCACCAGCGAAAACGGCGACGACAAGGAGGGCCGCCAGATGAGCAACCTGGTCAGTGACAAGCTGTTCCAGCTGTTCCAGATCTGCCTCTTTGCCACGTCCAAATGGGTGGGCAAGGCCGAACTGCGGTCCGTCTACTACAACATCTGCTACCGGTATATTGCCGGCATCCTCGACGCGGACAACCGTGACTTCCAGCCGACTGGCTGGCAAAAGGCCAACAAGACCGTCAGCGTCTGCGGCGAGCGCGTCCTCAACGTGGTCTGCGACGACGCCTATGGAAGCGACTCGTCCACGTGCCAGACGTCGGCCCTGGTGCTGCTGGGTGCCCTCGTGCGCCTCGGTGAACACGAGCACGATACGCACGTCGTCGAGTCGCTGAACCGCCTCAACTTTATCGGCGTGCTCGTCGACTCCCTCAAGTCGGTGCTGCAGGACGGCCTTGCCGTGATCCAGTCTGGGCGCGCCGACCAGCGCCTGGCCCTCGACGCCAAGCTGGCGCTGCTGCTGCAGCTGTGCCAAACGCGTGACGGCGCCAAGTTCACGCTGCATGCCAACCTGTTCCGCGCCATTGAGCTGTCCAGTCTCTTCTCGGCCGACCCCGAACTGCAGGTCGATCCCACCGACACGGCTGCGCTGACGCAGCACTACGGCCTGCTGGTGCAGGTGGCCCGCATCATCGGCGCCGCCGTCGTCAGCCGCGGCTCGCACAACATCCTACAGGGCCGGCGGTTCCTGTCCGAGCACCGGATGTTGGTCATGCACGTGTTCAAACGGTCAGCCGGCATCGGTCCGGCATCGTCACGGGCACTCGACGAACGGGTAGAGGACTTGGCTGAGGCGTTTATGGTGCTGATCGTGGCGACTGACTTCCTCGAGGTAAGCTTTTGTTTGTGGTCAGGATGCAAGTCAAAAGCTGTGTATAACTCCCGACTAACATATTTTCCCTGTAGTTTGAGGACGAGGCGCCGGTACAGCCACAAAATAACCCAACACGGATATTGTTTCACTAGGGGCAAAATAGAAGAGGACCCTGCGAGACGTGGATGATGTCATTGAAGCGTTTGGTTGCTGTTTTGCCTGTTTTCTTTCCTTGTTTTACTTTTGGTTTTCATCTCACTGTTTGTTTTACACGCTACCTGTACGTCTGGAAGGCGAGGCGAGCGTCCAGGGAAAATATCGGATGAACGGTTGCAACTGTTTTGATCTCTGTTTCTTGATAGTCGTGGATGTTTGTTTTATTTTTTTTACTTTTTTTACTTTTTCTTATATGTAAAAGGGCATGATAATCAAATGCTTTGTTCTCTACTAACACAAAAGAATAATAAAAGCAAAACATCCGACTTGACTCGTTTCAGACATACACGATAATACATTATTAGTAAAAGTTGGATGGTTACAAATATTCTCTGTCTACTCTATAGACACAAAACCAGCGCAATAGGCAATACACAAAAGACTAATGTACTTAATGCAAGAAACAAGGCAGCCGCCCTTGAACCAAGAGCCAGATTAAAACATACAACCGTTATTCGCCGTGGCCATGCAGATTAACCAATCCGTTGGAACATGCTCCCGAGAAACGCAACAATATGGAACACAGTACACAGATAAATCCCAACAAGTCGCACCCCAACACCATCCCAATGCTAGCAATTGAACGAGCCATCGAAGAGACGCTACGCCGGTTTTCGCGGCCGCAACTTCAGCTGGAGTGGATAATACGTGCGCGCCAACTTAGCGGTCGACATGTGTGGTGCCCGCATCTCAATTTTCGCGCGGCAGATGGGACATATGCGCTGCTCGGTTGAATGAAGAGAGGAGAAGAGACACTCGCCGCAGAAGAGGTGTCCTGGACTATGTTAGAGACAGGCTGGCAAACGAAGGAATGCAGGAAACCAACAAAAAAACAAAAAAAAAAAAAAAAAAAAAAAAAAAAACGTAAAAAACGTACCACAGTGTGTGACCGTCATGTCGGTCATGTCGTCCATGCAGATGACGCACTGCAGACCCGACAGCTTTACGAGATTCTTCTTCTCCGGCTGGGCCTCGCCCAAGCGCCCTGCGGCCCCTCCGGTCTCCTGCCCCTCCGTTGCCTCCACGATTTCGTCTTTTACGCCGACCGTTTGTGGCCGGTCGACATCGACTAGGTTGACCATTTCCACACCACCGTCGTTGTCGTCGTCAGAGCCAAATAGGTCATCATCGAGTATGATCGGCTCGTTGACTCGCGGCCGTTTGGGCGAAATGCGTGGCCGGCTGGACTGGCCGGTGATGTTGTTGTTACCGGTACTGCTGCTACTGCTGCTACTGCTGCTGGCTTGGCTGTCGCCGTTTGCACTGCCACTGCTGTTCCCAACCGACGCCAGGATCGTGGCTATTGGGGGCAAGGCGGTGCTGGACGACCCTACCCCGGGGTCATTGCTTCGTCGTCTCTTCGCTGACGAGCGGGGCGCGGACAATGTTGCCGCAGCGGCAGTAGGCGAGGGCAGGGCGTTAAACCCGGCCCGAGTTCGTGACCACGAGGGCGTGGGCGTCGCTGTTGAGGGTACAATGGGGTCCCCTGGTAATGGCAGAGGGAACGGGGCCGCTACAGCAACAGACTGTGACGCGGCCCGGCTTCTTGTCTGTGGCATGGTGTCGTCGTCGGGGCTGAGATTTATTCGTTCGGATACGCGCAAAGGTGTTCCTTGTAGCGGTGTGTCATTGAGGATGGACGGAGAAGAGAAGTCGCCTTGTCCTAAAAGGTGGAGGTCGTCGTCGTCGTCGTCGTCGTCGTCTTCAATGTGAATGGCTGAGTCAGCGTGATTGAACGACTGAGGAGTCAGATGTGGCAAAGCGGCCGCAGATGTGCCGATATTTCGTCGATCGAGGACGTGTTGGTCGCCTCTTGGCTGATTCCTTTGGCTGCTGAGAGAGAGCTGAGGCCTGCTCGCTCTGGGTACTGGTTGCGAGGCAGGCTGTGCTAGCTGCGAACTGCTCACCGGTTGGCGACGGGCGGGAGGATGGCGTGAGAGGATATCTTCGTCGTCGTCCTCGTCGCCAAGGACCTCGTTGCTGTAAGCGTTGCCGGTCTCTATGTTGGCAACCCGGTCGACGTCAAAGAAGTCGGAGAAGTAGTCGCTGTTGACGGAGTCGTCAACGGGGAGGAGGTCGTCGGACTGATCATTCGTAGGCACCGTGTCTTCGTCGATTGAGCGGCTGCGGTCGAGTGCGAAGATGTCTGGGTGGTGAGGCGATGTTAACAACTCGGTCAAAATGGAGGGCATAGAGATATAGCGCGCCGGTGACCACGCGCGACGAGCGGGGAAAGAACAAAGAACAAAGCAAAGACGACGGGCAAGAACCAGGGGCCAGGACGCGAGGCAGGAGCGTGAGGCAACGGGGGACTGAACAGGACCCGCCGTGAAACGCGCCGTGAATTTGCAAGATGTTGCTGCGAGGGTTTTCACAGGGAAGTCACGGCTCGTGTGCGCCCCGCCGACTTGGCAGCCTTTTGCACCAATAAATTCGGTTCAAACGTACCTTCGGTCGAATCAGCGGCAAGAACACGTCTCGCCATATCCTTCGGACACCGTAGGACACATGGGAATGACGAGGAAAGAGCAAAGGGCTTGCGAAGCACGAAGTGAGTGCGATGGCGGAAGGAGGCAGATTAGCGAAAGCCAGGAGAGAGGAAGAGCGATGCCGCGCGACAAAATAGGCGACTGCGTCTCCGGAGCCTCTAAACTGCCCTTGTTTTTGCCCCAGAAGTCGGCGGAAGTGGCGACTGGGCCCTCGACCGCTAAACAATATGTGATAGCGCGCGCTTCGCGTGTTCCAGCGCCAATAGGCGCCGGGGTTAGGGTTCTGAATCCGGTGGCCAACACTACCACTCAATCACCGGATTTGTAATGTATTTAACGGGGCTTGTCACGACAGAGGCGACTGCGGGCTTTGGCAGGGCCACGGTAATATGGAGAAGAGAGTGTAGGTCTTGACACCGACGTGTGAATACAATACGTGAATGAACCAACAGATGGCAATGTTGCTTTGAGGCTGGCCGGAATACAGAGTTCAGTGTGTCACTCATCTTTGCCTTACAATGGAAATCTAGCAGCTGCCACTGCCTTCAGCCGATTACAACGATTTGTGAATACTGAGGCCATTGTATTTTGATTTCCCGGACAAGATTGATTTGTAGTATGAGACGAAATGGCTTTTCACGTCGCTGTCATAATGTTTGTGATTAAGATATGCTAATTTGCAATATACCTGTATATGTATATGAATATGCATATAAGCGATTTCTCGTGCATATACGAAAATGGTCAGAACAATCAATGTATTTTAGTCAAGAAACTCGGTTTTTTTTTGATATTTTTTTTTAAATAAAAGGAAGTGATTCTATCTCCAAGTCTTGACCAAGATATGAGTCCCGTCCCCGTGTCATCGAGACGTGCTTCTTTTGTCTATCACACTAGCAACGGCGTGCGGGCCGCGAGACTTTTCAAATTCTTCCTCTACAGACGGCAGTTCACAATGTCGACGACTAGTACGGTGCGTTAGTAGAGAACAGTGGGGTAAAGATGGACCAGGGCGAAATCCATAAGGACAAAACGGATGGGGATGAGCATACAGGCAGGCTTCAGGCTGGCACCGCCAACCAGGAAACCGTCAATGTCGGCCTGCTTGGCCAGGTCCTTGCAGTTCTTCTCGTTGACACTGCCGCCGTACAGGATCCGGGTGGCCTCGGCGACGGTGGGGCTGACGTTGTCCTTCAGCCAGCCGCGGATGGCAGCGTGCACGTCCTGGGCCTGTTCGGTGGTGGCCACCTTGCCAGTGCCAATGGCCCAGATAGGCTCGTAGGCAACGACGATCTTGGCCCAGGCCGCAGCGTCAGTGCCAAGGGCCTCCTTGAGAGCGGCCAGCTGACCCGTGACGACAGACACGGTCTGGTTGGACTCGCGCTGCTCAAGCGACTCGCCGCAGCACCAGATGACACCCAGGCCGTTGTCAATGGAGTACTTGGTCTTGGACGACACAAGGGCGTCCGACTCGCCGAGCAGGGTGCGGCGTTCCGAGTGACCGAGGATGGTCCACGTAATGTTGCTGTCGCTCAGCTGGTGGGCCGAGATCTCACCAGTAAAGGCGCCGTCCGGCTTGTCGAAGACGTTCTGGGCAGCGACCTCGATCTGAGCCTTGAGGTGGTCGCGGACGAGCAGCAGATACAGGGAAGGCGGGGCAACGACGACCTCTAGAAGAGAAGAAGAAGTGTCAGAGTAATGGGTCGAGAAACAAGTACCAGGACGAAGCCTACCAGACACTAAAAATAAAGCCCGACTACGTACCGACATTCTGGTCCAGGTTCGACTGGTTCAGGTTGTCAACGATGGCCTTGATGGACTTGATCGTCCCGTTCCTAGAGCACACAAAAGGCAATGGTCAGCGCTGGCCTAGCTCTAGGTGCCATAGAGCAACACATGGCGCTGTGTCGAACAGCTCTCCTGTCGAAGCGTGAAGCTTTTCGGACATGCGGGGTTTCTTTTCCGTGCTGGCAGACAGCCATGACAGGCTGGACAAGCTCAACCGCGGGGCAGAAGCATGGGCGGCACGTACATCTTGAAGTTACCACCGACGAAGAACTTGCGAGGAGACATGATGGGCAATTGGGTTTGGTAGTGCTTTGGGTATCAAAATGGTGAGTGCCTGGAAAGGTCAAAGGTTGCAGATGAGGCAGGAAAGAAAAAGAATGGGTCGGCGTATTAAGACGAAGAGAAAGCTGGTGAGCTTTTTTCGGTAGGAACGAGCCAAAACGACCGACGCTAACAACCGCCCCTTCCCGACTGAGCAACACAGCACTAGTGGTCTTCCAGCTCAGGCCATGGCTGTAAACAGCAATTGCCAACCAAGTGTAACTCAGAAAGGGCAGCCACGATCGGACAACCGACGCGCTTGGTGCTTGGCCGTTGTACAGCCTTCTACGGAGGACAATTGCACGCAGTAAGATGTCTTACATGGCGGGGTAGCTTTCGTAGCATCATGCTGTGAATGGGCGATATCACCAGGAGAGTGTCTGTCCCGCGCCCAGCGGTGAGAAAATCTCGAGTGATGTAACCAGAGTATTGCAGAGCTCAAGAGACGCTGTAATTACCTCTGCGTTATGTAGTCTCATTGTGCGCTTTATTAGGAAAGGGCGAGGCGAGGGGCCTGATTCGCCGCGATAACACATGCAAGGAAAGGACGATGCATCACGCGTCCAGGCTTACACGGCAGGTGCTATTGGGCCATCCATACTCTGCCGTACTTCAGTCACTGTGGTGTGAATTGCGACTGCCCCCAGTTGCGCCCTGCGCGCTAAAATGCGCTACGGTTTTTAGGCTGTTTTTACGCGTTCTTTGATGCAAGGGCGACTGGGTCGCTCCTCAGTCGCTCCTCCCTGCAAACTACATGGTCCGTGCGGCAGGCGCAAAAGACGTTGGAAAAACCACGTCCAAAGCACAAAGACATCCCATCACCACCAGCACTTTGCAATACACAGCGACAACACAACGGCACCAACAGCGATTCCCATTGACACCGGTTAGGCTTCTGGTATTTCTCTATCAGAAGCACGTACTTTCAAACCCTAGGTTACCCAGAGCTGCTGCGACTAGGTGTTTCTGATCTTTGCCATTGCATCGACCCCGGAAGGGTCCTCGTGATGCCAATTGGCGGGCTTTTGACGCACAAACCGGCCTCGTCGGCAGCGGCATCACCATGATGCGCCCTCTGGGCGGAAACCCCGCTCGAGGCAGCTGGACGGCGGCATCTTTTGTGCGGCTAGCAAAGCACCGTGCGCGCGACCCGCAGCGGACAGTTCCGATATTCGTCCGATGGCAGTCGACACAAACCGAAGAGCGCAAGACGCTCGCATGTAAGCAGACGATGGGGCACCGATATTGCTGATGGAAATCACGGACAGACGACTAACGGCGAGCAGTAACTTCACAGGCGCGGCACAACGAAATTGGGATCCAGCACGTCAGCGACCACATTTTTCGCCAAGTCTTTCCCCAGGGTGGCAAGCCTCCATCGCCTGAACTGGTCGAGCTGGCAAGGGACCATTTGCGACGCCAAGACCTGCTGGGCAAAAACACCGACAACACCGCACCGATTGCCTTTGACGTTCCCCCGCTGCATGGCCAGACGCTCGACGAGCATTTTTTCAAGCTGGGCACCGACGCCGCCGAGCCCTTTTTGGGATATGCGAAACAGTTTGCCTGTGCCAACACACAACCGAAGCCCCGGAAATGGGTACGGCGCAGCGGATGGACCAAGTACTACCCAGACGGGCGGACCGAGGCGGTCGATGCACCAGACGAGGCGATGCTCGTGTTCGACACAGAAGTCATGTGGAAGGAAAGCCCATTTGCTGTTATGGCGTGTGCCGCTAGCCCGACGGCATGGTACGCCTGGCTGTCGCCGTGGCTGCTCGGCGAGACGGAGAACGACTGCAACTTGATACCGCTGGGCGACCCGACAAAAGACCGCATCGTGGTCGGCCACAACGTCGGCTACGACCGTGCGCGTGTACTTGAGGAATACGATCTGAAGCAGTCTCGAAACGCCTTCTTGGACACCATGTCGCTGCACGTGGCCGTCAACGGCATGTGTTCGCAGCAGCGGCCGACATGGATGAAGCACAAGAAGAACCGGGAGCTGCGCGACCGCATTGCCAAGGAGACGGACAATTTCGAGCTGTCGCAGCTGCTGCAAAACAATGCATTGCACGCGGAGGAAGAGGAGCTGTGGGTCGACCGCAGCTCGGTGAATTCGCTGCGCGACGTGGCCAAGTTCCACCTTCACATTGCCATGGACAAGACTGCGCGCGACGAGTTTGGTGAGCAGGACCGCGAGGGCGTGCTGAGCAAGCTGGACGAGCTGCTCGACTACTGTGCGGCCGACGTGGCCGTCACGCACCGCGTCTTCCAGATTGTGTTTCCCAACTTTCTCGAGGTGTGCCCGCACCCTGTCAGCTTTGCCGCTTTGCGCCACCTCGCGTCCGTCATCCTTCCCGTGAACAAATCGTGGGAGTCGTACATTGCCAACGCCGAAGCGACATACCGCCGCCTCTCCGATGCCGTCCAGGAGCGGCTCGTGACGCTGGCTGAGAAGGCGCTGGAGATCCGTGGCGACAGCGACAAATGGAGCCAGGACCCGTGGATGCAGCAGCTGGACTGGTCTGGCCAAGAGATCCGCATGGTCAAGGGCAAGAAGAAGAACGACCCGCCGCGGCCAGCAGCACGCCAGAAGAAGCCCGGCATGCCGCAATGGTACAAGGACCTCTTTGCCAAAAACGACTCGCCCATCAACATTTCGGTTCGGACGCGCATTGCTCCGCTGCTCCTCCGCCTGGCCTGGGACGGCCACCCGCTCTTTTGGTCAGACAAGTACGGGTGGACGTTTCGTGTGACGCGAGAGGAGGCCGCTGACTATGACGAGAAGCAGATGCTGCGATGCGACATGGCCGACGAGCCCGTGGAGCTTCTCAGGAACGACCGGCGCTATGTGTACTTTAAGCTGCCGCACAAGGACGGCCCCACAGCGCGCTGCGCCAGCCCCATGGCCAAGAGTTACTTGGCGTACTTTGAAAAGGGCACGCTGTCGTCCGAGTATGCGTATGCGAAAGAAGCGCTCGAGATGAACGCGTCGTGCTCGTACTGGATCAGCGCGCGCGACCGCATCATGTCGCAGCTTGTCGTGTACAACGAACAGCTGCCCGCCAGCGCAGCATCGCCACCCGATGATGGATCTGGGTTCATCTTGCCCCAGGTCATCCCCATGGGTACCATTACGCGGCGTGCCGTCGAAAACACATGGTTGACGGCCAGCAACGCCAAGAAGAACCGTGTCGGGTCGGAACTGAAGGCCATGGTGCAAGCACCGGACGGCTACTCGTTTGTCGGTGCCGATGTCGACTCGGAGGAGCTGTGGATTGCGAGCGTGGTGGGCGACGCGACGTTTGGCCTGCATGGCGGCAACGCGATTGGATTCATGACGCTCGAGGGCACCAAGGCGGCTGGCACTGACCTGCACTCGCGAACGGCGGACATTTTGGGCATTACACGCAACGACGCCAAGGTGTTCAACTACGGGCGCATCTATGGCGCAGGACTCCGGTTTGCGGCACAGCTGCTCCGGCAGTTCAACCCGTCGCTGTCCGAGGCCGAGACGATTGCGATCGCGACGAAGCTGTACTCGGCGACCAAGGGCACACGCACGACCCGCCGCGCGCTGTACAAGCGGTCGTTCTGGCGCGGCGGCACAGAATCGTTTGTGTTCAACCGCCTGGAAGAGTTTGCCGAGCAGGAACGCCCACGCACGCCAGTACTAGGTGCAGGCATCACAGAGGCCCTCATGGGCCGGTTTATCAGCAAGGGTGGCTACCTGACGTCGCGCATCAACTGGGCGATCCAGTCGTCTGGGCAGGACTACCTGCACCTGCTGATTGTGTCTATGGACTACCTGATTCGGCGGTTCAACATCCAGGCACGTCTGGCGATTACGGTGCACGACGAGATCCGGTATCTTGTGCGCAACGAAGACAAGTACCGCGCGGCCATGGCGCTGCAGGTGGCCAACCTGTGGACACGGGCCATGTTTGCGGAGCAGGTGGGGATCCGTGACCTGCCGCAGGCCTGTGCGTTCTTCTCGGCCGTGGACATTGACCACGTGCTGCGCAAGGAGGTGGACATGGACTGCGTGACGCCGAGCCATCAGACCGCCATTCCGCCGGGCGAGAGCCTGGACATGCAGACATTGCTGGACCGTGGCGCCGAAGCGTTCTTGGACCCGGCCATTGTGCCAGACGCGCAGCACGCGCCGCAGCTCGAGGGCATTGCGTACACGCCGCGCAAGCCGGTGATGGAGACGCTGCGAGAGCAGGACAACAGCACGACGGACGTGGCGTTCATCCGGGCTCAGATCACGGCCGACGAAAAGGAGTTGAAGGACATTCTTACCGCGAAGCGCAAAGAACTCGCACCGACGTCTACGAGCAAGTCGTCGAAATCCAAGACGACGGCGGCGGCGGGGACGGCGGCAACGACGAAACGGTCGTACTCGAAGCGGTCTGTGTTCCCGTACTATGCCAGCCCACAGCTGATGCCGATGGAAGAGCCCATCTCGGTGACTGAGGCGCTGTCCTTTGGCGGCAGCGGCGGCGGTGGCCACGACGGCAACAGCAGCCGGTTCGCACAGGTAGTCGACAGCAGCTACGACGACTTTAATTTCGGCGCTCGCAACAGCTCGCCCAGCAACGGCAGCGGCAACAGGTGGGCGTGGACAGCCAACAGCGCCGGCGGCGGCCATGGCAACGCCCACGGCAAGTATGGCAAGGTGTCGACACGCGGCTCGCGCATCTAATGGTCTTCTTCTTCTCTGCTTGTGTATATCATTCTACCTGTGTACATTGTAATTGTGTATGATTACGAGTGTTACGTTTCTCTGTTGTCGATTTCTTGATACCTGTATGTTGTATAATTCATAATCATTGTCATTGGGTCTGCTGCTGGGGTCTGTGTTGTATGCAGGGGGTATTGAGGTTTTTCTTTTGCTAGTGTTGTTAGTGTTGGAACATACCCCGTGTTTCGCAGTTTTGTATTGTCCCATCTTGGCCATGTGCGCTTCGTGGACCCAAATTTGTGTACTCGGAAAACAATAAAGAACAATGACGTGAAGGGAGTTCATGGCAAAGTCGGCAACACGGCAGGGACGGTATGTCAACGCAGCACGGACCGTATTTAAGGTGTATATCGTACAAAGAGAAAGGAAACATATCGAATAACCAAAATCATATATACAAAAAAAAAAGTAAAATAAATCCTTGATATCAGAGGATGGCCATAGCGCACTAAAGCACGTTATGGCGGACGTCGATACGTCAAAATGTCAAAGAGTGAGGGAAACTAGAGCTACCTGCTCGTCAACACTGAAAATAAACTTTTGTAAATGCGCTTCGAGATGATTGTCCTCTGGTGTGGACCTCGTAGTGCGTTGCCTTGCTGCTTTCCTTCGCTCTTTTTACCTATGATATACACAATTTAGAGATGTATGCTATGACAGCGCAAATCCGAACTGTGTGTCTGTGCGTAAAACCTGGGGTTGATTTCCTTATGTATGGAGTCCGTCGTAGTTTGCATCTCGTGAGCCATTACGAAGTACTTCTGTATCTTTTTGTGTTTGCCTTTTTTTGTCTCTTTTTTTGGTCCGTGTCTGCAGCACTTACGCTACGACCAGCGAATCAATGCGGAGTTCTTGGCATTTACCTAGAGTGGAAAGACAGTACGACGTTGGAGGTATGTAGCACGGCGTCCTCGGTATGTCCTCTTTATTTGAGTTGTTGTCAACAGGAAAATTGAACTATTCCCATCAGCAGCTGACTACGAGATAGTTTTAGAAATAGAAATGGAAATAAAGAAGCATGACAGAACGGAATGAAACCGAAGAGATGCGAAAAGACGGAGAAGATGTACGGCAGACCAACGAGCAGGGCCAAGACCGTTATGCAAAGGTGAACAGAAGACGAGCAACTGCCAATATATGTCGCCATCTGGGTTGTCGCGCAGGATTGTGACAGCTTGTCGCCCGTCGTTCTGTCTGGGTATAGCTTCGACTGGAAACATGTGGCATTGTCGAGTCTTTTGAAGCCAGTGTCAAAGCACATGGCAAGTTCGTGCGTGCTCCGCATATGCGAATACGTTGCGCTTTGACGATCTTCGTTTCTCTAAGCGGTCTAAATGGCTCTGGATAGCATTTGCGTCGTTTTTGCGTAGCCAATGCAAGGCTCTAGTTCTGCACGCTGCCAATATCCGAGCCTGTCATCCTATTTCTCCTCGAAGACCAGAGTTTGCCAAATCTCTCACTGGCTTTATTCTGTATTTGCGATTTTTCCTGCGACTCCAACGTCCTTCAGACTGAATCAGCAAACCAGACGAGTCTAGGCCCATGCCGACCACCGACGGCAAGGATAGCGCAGCATTTTAGTCGCACTTCGACCAGCACAGGGACCATGCCAAGCAGTCGGTTTCGACGCCCCGTGCCTTGTGAACCTAGTTTGCTTGCTCTCGGCGATGCTTGTCTCGAGCGGCCTCTCAAGTTGATTCCCTTTTGCATTGACTGCGAATTCATATCTCGCCGTCCGTTCCTGCCTCAATTCGCGGGTGCACTTGCCCGCTGCCGGACTTTGTTCTTGCCTCTTGCGCCGGATCTGCCAGTGCTTTCCCGTTTGAGACATGCAGCGCACCAAAAAGAGGAAACACCGACCCAGTCCGATCTGTGGCCCTGCCAAGACTGGTCGACGTGCAAGCTTCCTCCCACACGCAAAAGAGGGTCAGGGCACGGGTGTCTCCAAGTGCTTCTAGGTTTATACATTTGCGCCGACAGACTACGACTTTCATGGCAGAGAGCGCAGTGTTTCGAAACGCTCGGGTCACGTTCCGCTATGGGGCCGCCCAGGCACAGGGACGGAAACTGCAACCCTTTCACGGCAATACGGTTGGACCTGCTGCGGGACGGTTTAGAGTAAAAGGCAAAACCGCAAAAGGGAAAGAGCGCACGTTTCGTCAAAACGTGGCCGCCACACGTTTGATTCACAAAGAGTAGGAGCGACCCCCAGCACGACACTGTTCCTGGCATCGATCGCTCCTTCTTACCCGTTCCCTCCCGTCTGGAGCACTCTGTAATTACACTCTTACTCTTTCCTCGGTCGACAAGGGGGAGCCACACATCCCAACCTGCCTCACAGAACTAAAAGTAACCTCTTCCAAACCCAACCCTCTTATTGCTTCAACGCGATGGTTTGTCCATTGTCATAGCCCGCAAGCTAGTGCAGTCAGCGCACAGAGTACTCGTCAGAGTCCAAGTCAGGTCGTTGCCTCCGCGGAGGCAAAATCTCTCGCATTCGAATATTAATTCCACGGGCGCCGCCGACCGTCAACTCTCCGGCAAGCTGGATAAAGCAGACTGGACCACATACGGTTATATTGGGTGTTTGAGGTCCAGCTATGATCAACCGCTTGCGTTTGGCGTCTTCCACTCGTCTCATCGTCTCGTCTTCTCCCTAGTCGCTTTGCTAGCCTCTCCTCTCATAACTGCTTCCATCCACTTGTCGGATCGTGTTCTCTTTCTTTTCTCTTTTCTTTGATGTTTTCTTCCTTTCCCTTCCTCTCCACCTGGTTCCTTGACGATTGTCTCTTTGCCTTTTACAACGTCCTCTTTTCCTCCCTCTCCATCCACTCAAACTCCCTCATTACGTGCCGTGTTTATATGGGCTAAACGAAACGGCCCCCCGGTAAGGGGATTTTCAATCTTGTCTGTTGGCCTCTTGATATCCATCACGCCGCGACTCCGCTCTCCTTGCGTGGTTGTGTTATCTCCCTCCCGTCATTGTTTATTTTAAGCGGTACAGCGACGCTGTGCGTCCATCTATTTTTTTTTTTTTTTTTTTTTTTTTTTTTTTTTTTTTTGCCTATTTCTACAATACCCAGGCGAGCGTGAGACGGACGGGACGTGACAGGACAGGGAGAGAAGAAGAACAAAGGTAGCGGCTGGGCCCTGTATTCTTTGGAACTCTTGGAAATTCATATAAAACACCACAATGGACAGCAGAATGGCAGCAGCGTCGTCGCCGCCTGCATCGTCGGGGGCATCGACAGATTCGGGTGAAAAAGCAGCAGAACTGACGGCGGCAACCCCATCTCGGCTCTCCCGTTTCTTCGCGACAAGGCGGAAGACAAAAATGACCGCCCTCGCTTTTGTCATTCTCGGCATCGTCGCCATTGCCGTCGCTGTGCCGGTGACCGAGCACGCCAAGGTGTCGCACAGAGCGCAGAATACTTTCATCTCTGCAGCATCTGGTGTGACGTTACTCGTTGACAACGACCTTTCTGGTAAGCAATCCGTCAATCCGTGTTGGAAAACGTGTCCTGCGCAAACTGCACCCTCCCCCCTACCCACAACGAGATGCGAACGCCATGTGACTGACATTGTGATGTTGTAGGCGGTGCGTCAACTAGACCTGCCCTACTGTTGCTGAGCCCACGCAACTATTTCAGCGCCGAAGCGGACTGCAAGGCACTTGGGGAGGAGCTCTGGGGCGTCGGAGACAGCTCAACTGCCGCCGTCAAGAGCATCCAGCCCTTGCTGGACTACCTCGTGTACTTGAGCCAAGCCGGCCCGACCTCCCGCTTTTGGATCAGCGCCACCCAGGATGCTACCGGCAATAGCAGCTCTGCTGCGCCGGCCTCGTGGCGCACCGTCGACGCCAGCGGCAACATTGCCGCCTTTAATGGCAGCGAGGTCGTCGACACGACCAACGTGACACTCTCAGCGCTGTGCACGCAGTCGGCACCCTATTCGAACCGCTCATCTGTGAACACCGACCCGGCATGGACCGTCTCTGTTCGCGCCTCGGTCGACCGTCCTGACAATGGCGCCAACGGCGTCGCACAGGTCGTGGGCCGCCGTGATCACAACTCCTTCCGCTTCCTTGGCCTCCGCTACGCGCCCCAGCCAGTGCGGTTCACCTACTCCACGCCCTACTGGAACCGCACCACCAGCGCCACGTTCAACAGCACCTCAACCACAAACAACACTGTACTGCCCATCGTCAACGCCACGAAATCCGGCTCGGCGTGCGCGCAGGCAGGTGGCGTGGGTTCTGAGGACTGCTTGTACCTAAACGTGTTCACTCCCTACCTGCCGGCCCCTCAGCAAGGATCCCTTTCGTCGCCGGCTGCGTCTGCATCCACACCGGGAGTAGCGCCGGCGTTGCGCCCCGTCATGTTCTGGATGCACGGTGGCGGTCTGACGGGCGGCACTGGCTCGGATCCGACCAACGATGGCGGCAACCTCGCCTCGCGCGGTGACGTCGTCGTTGTGACCATCAACTACCGCCTCTCGACGCTCGGCTACCTGGCTCTGGATAGCGAGCATGGTGGACTCAACGGCAACTACGGCCTCTCGGACCAGATCCTCGCACTCGATTGGGTCCGTGACAACATTGCGGCCTTTGGAGGCGATCCGGAACGCATCACCATCCTCGGCCAGTCCGCTGGTGCCGGCTCCGTGCGCGCCATGATGGCCTCGCCGCTGGCCCTCGGCAAATTTGCGGCTGCGCTGCTCATGAGCAACCTGGGCGGTCTCAACTATGGCACTTCGTACTCCGAGTACTACACCATTGACAACGTCATGAACGCCTCGAGCAACGCCGTCCTCCAGGCCGCAAACTGTACAACCGGCGGGGCCGACGGCACCGCAGCCAACTCCACAGCAGAGGCAATTGTCGATTGCCTGCGCGCCATACCTGCAAAAAAACTCGTTGGCCTCAGGGCGGTCGCGCGCTTCATTGTCGTTGACGGCACGTATATCCTGTCGGACCAACTGCAGCTCGGCGCAGTCAACACGACCGTCAACAACACAGCGGCGCCGTACAAGCTCATGATGGGCACCATGCGCGACGACGGCGCCCCTTTTATCGACTTTCCTTCCCAGCAGGCGTCCCTCGCCGACGCCACGAGCGCTGAATCGACGTACCTATCGTCACAAGGCTACAAGAACATCTCGTCCGACCTGTTTCCCATCCCCACGACCAATGTCAACGCCACGCTCGACCTGTACAACATGAGCTCGCGTCTGTCGACCGACGCCGTTTTCCGCTGCATCGACGAGGCCACTGTCTATGCAGGTCTCCAGAGCGGCATCTTTGACGCAGCCTACTACTACGAGTTTGACCGCTCGTACCAGACCACGGGTTGGCCGGGCACCAACGTCTGCGCACCCGACGCCACCGATGCCCACCCATTCGGTGATCCCAGCCTGCCCTACTTCCGCTGCCACTCAGGCGAGCTGTACTATGTGTTTGGAAACGTTGCGCGCATGGGCCTGCCCTTCCGCGACGACGGCGACCAGCCCTTTTCGCAGTACGTCCTCGATAGCTTTGCCGCCTTCGCCCGTACCTACTCGCCCAATCCGGACGCCGACTTTCTCACGGCCCGCGGCTTCACCAACACGACCGCCATGGTCAAGGCAAGCGGTGCCTGGACCGCCTCGACCCTGCTCAAGGGCGTGTCGGTGCGTCTGCTCGATTGGCCCGCCAGCAGCCAGGCCGAGTTACGCGAACAGCCGCAGTGCGAGTCGCTGGGTCTTGGTCTGTATTACTACCTATAATGATGATATGATAATGACGGGCAAACGGTCTCGCTCTTGTGCGGGCGAGTTGGAGTTGATGTTTCTGTACGTATAGTTCACACAAGGATTCACAATCGGAGACAAGATATTACAAACCGAAGCGAATCAACGTAAAAGACGGTTGCTATATTTTGCGGTGAAAAGAAGTTGTCTCGTCGGCAAGAAAAGCCACCGTATCCTAAAGAAGGAGCGAATATGTGGCGGGTCCTTCCCTCCATGCAAGCAAAACCATCGACAGTGTTGCTTCAGTAGTTCATTTTATGCTCCTTCCGTAAATGTGAATGTTTTCGTCTGGCTGCCTCGTTCCTTCCCTCTGGATTATTCCCCCTTTTGCCCTCCATTCTTGTTCCTCGTCTTTCTCGTCTTCCCCGTCTTTCTCGTCTTCCCCGTCTTTCTCGTCTTCCCCGTCTTTCTCGTCTTCCCCGTCTTTCTCGTCTTCCCCGTCTTTTGCGTCTTTTGCGCCTTGTCTGGTTTTCATCTCTTCTCTGTCTGGTCATTCACCGTCATCCACCGCCGTTTGCATCCGATCATCGTGTGGTGTACGGATTGTTTTGGGCAATACCTGCCATGAACGAGTACAGGATAGGCCGACTCTATTGTCTTTGCAGAGCGAGTCTTGCACATTGGACCATCGTCCGTCACCACCCACGAGTCCGTCGTATTCCACGCAATAATTGCCTCCCAGATGCTACCGTTGCGAAAGACTAGCTCGACGGCCCCAGCCGTTGTGAGACCACTTGGGAGAGACATGATCTGGAAAAAAAAGGTGGTTCTTCTCCGGGTTGTTCACAACGAATATGCACAGGCGGCGGAACAGAGGCAAGTTTGGTTGCAGAAGATGGTCTGGCAGCGCAACCTTGCTAACCGAGATGACTTTGTTCTAGGTATCGAGACATTGTGGGGGAACACAAGGAACACGAAGATCCACCACATACGCGTGGGACTCGTTCGGCTCGTTTCCCACTGGTCTGTCTACTGCACAGGGTACTGTGAAACGGGCCTGCTTCGTTCTGGGAAACCAAAGTCAACACCCAAGGAAATGCAAGACGGTGCTTGAATACGCGGATGAAGCGTGTCCTATCCCATCTTGCCTTTTGCATCTGCCATGATATTGCAGTCGTCTGTCGCTCCTGGCAAATCGCCTGCCAAGTGGAGATTCTCAAAAGCTGATAGCGAAACGAAACGCCATTCGCTTCGTCGCTGCCCACATACAAACGTATTCTGGCCCAAGACGACGGCTTACCCCGTTCCCAGTCTTGGTGGAGGGTGCCGCCCGTTGGAATCGCGCATTGCATTCACCCCTGTCGAGCTGAAATGAAACTTTTGCACGATGCAGCCACAGAGACCAGTCTTTTCCTGTGCAGCTTCTCATTTCCCCCCACCCGTCGAGGGGAATTTTTGTCGACCGTTTTTCTGAGTTCTGCCCTTCGCCGAGACCATTTGACTTTTGAACCATGGCTGCACATACTGCGGCCCAGGTACGAATTCTGCTTTGTTACATCCACCACTAGAACTCGCTTTACGCACATCTCGCTGTGCAGGTGATGAAAGAGACGACTTTCCGCAAGAGGGGGCTCTCATCGTGTGGAGCCATTGCCATTTCCACGTCTAGTCCCCCCTGTCCTTCTTTCTGCGGCTCGACATACTGTAAGATACAACATGCAGGTCTCGGCAGCACACCATGAGCTTTCGGGAGACGAAGCCGGTCCTGACGTTGCGTCAAGTTTGACGAGATGTGTTTGCTAGCCCGGATCTAGCCTCCAACCTCTCCACCTTTCTGCAACGGCCAGGCCACGCCATCGTCTTTCGAATCATCATCGTCGGCGGCCACTCGCCCCTCGTTACGCCGCAGGCACAGTACAGAGTGCCAATGAGCGTTCCTTGAGGGGCATTGAGCACCGCTAGAGGCAACCTAGCGAAAGGCACTGCTGCAGATTTATCCATTTGCTCTGATTTCCATAACGAGAACTCTTCCTGTACCCACAGGTCTGCACTTCGGACCATGCATATCATCGACGAATGGCAATTGGAAGTGATTCCCAAGTGCAAGCAACGGATGAAGCTAGAATCATGGAGAATATTTTTGAGAGAACGGAGTAAAGAGGACAAAAAACAACAACAGCCAAACCACATCGCAGACTGGTTTCATTCATGCAGGCCATTCTGCTATCCAAGATGCAGTCGACCAGCCGACACTAGAAAAGCGCTTCGAGGAAAAATTCCTAGTTGGTCATACAAGGTGGGGGGGACAAGAACAGGAGCGTGTATGTTGGTAGGAGGAAGCTGGGCAACACGACTCCACCGTATATGCACGGGCCATGGCGACATGGCAGTCTGACAGTGGCGTGGAAAGCGCATTTGAACCATCGTCTTGTTGATAGCAGTAGGTAAGTTGGTGCCAATATCTTGCCAGCGGCCAACAGCAGGTTGCAGACATTGATTATCAACCAGTGCACACCAGCTGACTCTGACAGTCGAGTGTTACACCGCCAAACGGGCATTGGACACGAACAAAAGAAACGCAGCGATTGTTAACAACATGTCTCAACTGCTTGTTGTGGGAGTTTCTCGAAAACATCTCGACGTTTGTTCGACATCTCGATCGATTTGACGATCAGGCAATTCGAACCAGCATTCTCGCTCCATCTCCCTTATCTGTCCCGGTTACGACGTATTGCATTTTACGTTGCGCTTTACAAGTTTGTACTGCACTACCCTAGCTCCTAGTTTGCACATAGGCACAAGCAGCTTGCAATGTGGCTCCGAGACACGCGGTGCCCCGATTCGTGTCTGCCACTAGCTTGTGCCATCATCCGTGAGGCAGGGATCCCCAACATCGCAGAAAAGCTCTTTGCTGACGAAAACATATGATAATCAAGAAATCGCCAAACATAACAGCCCCTACAGAATACCAGTGCCGCAATTTCCACTCCCATCTCGGTTCTCTGAAATAGCGAATAGCCACCGGCCGTCCGCCCCTGCCTCTGATCGACACGATTGACGGGTGGCTTCCGTTAATCCATGGCAAATACTCCATACAAATGAGATCGGTGTAGCACGCCGTCGAGCAATCGCCACATCCAACATCCGCCATCCCCTAGTCCAAAAAGCCTCCCACAAAGAGCCAAAGTCTAACAAGATGCGCCAAGCCTGTACGTCGTTTGTCGTATGTGGTACGGTGGTAGTGCTCTTTTACGGAGGACAGTCAAGAGTCGCTACATGGTAAAACTCTGCCTTTCATGCTGGGTAGCTTTCGTCCACCATGCAATCGCTGCGTCGCACATCCTTGTCTCTGGCGACCACATCTTTCCCCAACGAGTCCGTGTGGTTGCATCCCCACCCTGGTACGCCCACTGTTGTGTGCTGCGAAAACGACGGAAATTGTTCGCCAAATGCCCAAGTCACGGATGGCGTAAGGGACTGAGCACAAGCGCTGCAATGAGACCACTGCACCGTAGCTGTGAGCTTCTGTGTGCTTTCGCCATCGACGGAAACCAGAAGCCGTTGCTTTCGCACTTTTGGACCAAATTCTACTTTGGGCTACATGCGCTCGTCGTTTTTGTTCTCTTGTCTTCCCTCTTTTTTTTGTCATTTGGCTCTCTTTTCTTTTTGCAAAACGACCACCAAACTTCCCTTTCTCGGCATTTGCCACGCCTAGCCATCGCAATCGACAGGAGTTTTGCAGCAGGTGAGACATGGAGCGGCGACCTGATTAGATCACCAATGCAGACTGCTTCCCTCCACAAACTACACGAAGACGCACATGTGTTTCCGCTGCCCACGTCTCGATCTTCGCCTTTCGCCCTGTCATCTCACACATTTCTCCCCCTTTGATAAACCTAAGGTCTGAGGCCGCATCCCGCAGAAATCGCTTGAAGGGATTGCTCTCCGCATTGGACACCAGCGCATTGATGGAGACACACTGGACAACTGCCGACGACAACAACGCCGTCGCAATTAGCACTGCCACAAGCTCCGCGATGGACTCCCATCCGTATGACGCATCGGTCATGATGGCATCTGGCGCGCCTCTGATGAACGGACTGCTGACCAGTGTACCACCTGGTGCTCCTGGCACGCTCAGCGGCCCAGGCGGTCTCACGCAGCCGCATCATCTTCCGAACCAGCCACCGCAACAACATCAGCAACACCAACAGCACCAACAGCACCAACAGCACCAGCAGCACCAGTCGCTCTCTCAACCTCTCCCGGTGTCGCAAGGGCACCAGATGCAATCCCACCCGGCCCAGCCTCTCCATTCGCAGCCGCTTCAAGCGCAGGCCCTTCAAGCGCCGCCGCCCATCCAGACACAGACGCTGTCGGCGCAACCGTTCCAGCAGCAAGCGTTCCAGAGCCAGCAGCAACCTCCGCCACCGCCGACATCCTTGGCCAGTTCCGGGACTACCACCAATACGACAACGCCGACACTCTCCGCCTACGACGATGGCAACGCCAATGCTTCTAACACGAGCCCGAGCGACACGTCGCAGAACACGAGCCAGGAGAACCGCTCGCCCATCGGGCAGCCTTTCACAGCCGTGCCGACAGCCTGTTTAGGATGCGTAAGTTGTCCTACAAAAAGGGAAAAAGGCAAATGAGATAAGGGCGATAAAACGAGGGCCACCGTTCTTCGCCAGCTGACATTCAATTCTGTACTGTAGCGCAGCAAGCACCTGAAGTGCGACGGACAGGTCCCTTGCTCCCGCTGCAAGATGGCCGAGATGGAGTGTGTCTACATTGCCTCGCGCCGAGGCTACAAAGGGCCACGGAAGTCCAACAAGCGGATGAGGTCGTCATCGCCGCCACCTGGCTCACTGCTGGGTACAAGCATGGCTTCGTCTGCTCCGGACAACTGCCCCATGCTTCTCGGTGCAGCACCACACACAGCCTCACCCCAGGACTTGGCCACTGTGTCAGCCGCATTTGCACAATCCACTGGAATAGGACCCGCCACGTCAGGATACACGACCGCCAATGCCATCGGTACGCTTCCCCCCGGCACAGTCACGTATCCCGGAACGGTAGCCGGAACGTCTGCATCTCTGTCTTCTACGCCGGCAGGGTCTGTGTCCCAACAGCTGAGTCTTTACGGGAACGGCTACGGCGCCAACGGCAACGTGGTCCTTACCGGAGGTCACTTGGCACCTGTCGTGCCAATTGAGGACCGCTGCTTCGACGCCTTTTACCACTACTTTTACGGCGGCCACCCGTTTGCGCTACCCAAGGATGTTATGTTATCGCTTGCCAGGGACAGCTCGTCCAACATCGGCCACCTCATCGCCGCCATGCGGTACATCGGCTCCCTGTACATCAACGCCGGTCCGGCGCGGGCCATGTTCTTTGACGAAGCCAAGCAATTAATCTACCTTCCGTCGTGTCCCAAGGACGGCTTCTTGGTGCAGGCGATGATCATGTTGGTTGTCGGGCTGGATGGTAGCTGCGAGCAGGAGCAGGCACGTGAGATCCTCAGCGACGTCGAGCGGATTGCGCTGGACATTGGCCTGCACGAGCGTGGATTTGCCGTGGCCAACGGACGAGGCAACCCCATTTTCGAAGAAAGCTGGCGGCGCACGTGGTGGGATCTTTTTGTCGTCGACGGCATGGTGGCCGGTGTACATCGGGTGACCAATTTCGCGCTGTTTGACGTTCCCGCGCAAGTCGGGCTTCCGTGCGAGGAGCAGCAGTACCTGGCTGGAAACATTCCGACGCCACTGGCCTACATTGAAGACTTTGACGATCGCTTGTTCAGCGGCGAAGACCGGGAGTTCTCGTCGTTTACGTACCGCATTGCTGCGGCGCGGATCCTCGGCCGCATGATGCGGTGCCCGCCGATCCTGTTCCCAATGGACGAGAATCTCGAGAAGATCGAGGCGATGCTGTCCAACTGGCGGATGCACCTGCCTGCCAGCAAGCGGGACGACCTGAACAAGCACTGTCAACTGGACGAGATGATGTTCCAGGCCCATTTTATTACCCATGCGTAAGTTGGACGGATTTTTGCTTTTGCTTTTGGTTCTGGTTCTGGCCCTGGCTCTGATTTGGATTCCCTCGTCGTCGTGTTGTGCACATTGCTGATCTGACGTGCTGTCTTTCCCAGTTGCTCAATCATGTTGCACCAGCCGCATTCGCAGCTGGACTCGTCGCCCACGCGCAGCGTTACGTCGTGCGCGCCGCACAGCCACGTGCCCAGCGGTGATGCCTTCAACACGCACACGCGCCACGCCATCACGGCTGCCTGTGAGATTAGCAAGATGGTTACGCAGGCCGTACCGCTGCTGTCGCACACGCATTTCTTTACGTGTGTCATCACGCTGTCGTCGATTGTCCACCTCAGCAAGTGGGCGCTGTACTACATCCAGGACGAGGAGGACCTGCGGGAGCAGATCCGCCTGAACATTGGCGCGCTCAACAAGCTCAGCGACGTCTGGAAGGCGGCGAATACGGCGAGTGGGCAGGTCAAGGGTGTTGCTCAGGAGATTTACCGAGCCAAGAAGGCGCAGCAGATCAACCCGGCCTTCTGGGTCGGCTTCACGCAGGAGGAGATGATCAACAGCCTCAACACCGACGAAGGCATCATGAGCGAGTTTGAGACGCTGCTGCCCGTGGCAACGCAATGAGCGGAGCGAGGCGGGGATGGGTTCGGTTGGGCTTAACGTTTGCTTTCGGTGTGCGCCGTATGGGTATCATATCTGGGATATGATTCGGCGCGTTTCGTGCGTCGATGTATGTCGATTTTTTGTTCTCGTCGTTGCATTTTGCTGAGCGGAGGACTTCTCGACACCCTCCATGGAGTACCGGGTACACTCTCCTTTGCATTTATCACATGTCGTTTTCCGACATCCACGTACAATGAAGTGAACCGACGTCTGCGTCTGTGTGCTGTCTCATCTAGTCGTCGCGAAAAAGAAGAGAGGATTGCGAGGTGGGGCCTTTCCGTCATATGTATATGACACCCTGCTGTCAGTCTGGCTTGGAAGATGGAAGCATGGCTGGATATATATACTCCGTTCGTGTGCGTGGAGAAACAGGTGTGGTGGGCGAAGAGGAGGGTGTCGGCAGGCAGTTTACACAAAGCTGCTCCGGACTAATCCGGATCTGACCTGCCCCTGTCTCCAATACGAAGTTACGAAGCAATACGGAGAACATGCACAAGGACATGTGCTGGCTGCTGTTCCTATACAAAATACAAAGCCGGCCCGTTTGAAGTATCTACTGCGAAGCATCGGGCTTCCTCTGCTCCTTACATGGTACTTTGCAGAAGCGGCAAAATGGTACGTTTCCAGCGCATACAGGGGCTGCTAAAGCTGGGTTCTTTTTTGATAAAAAGTCAATTAACGATCGAAGCCGGAATCTCGCTGGTGTTTTCGCTTTTGCCGGGGTCCTCACAGTCTTGTTCGCCGACCTCCCAACTCGGGTGCATGAGGTGGACTGTGGAGTTCCTTGGATAATAGGTTTTGAATTTCGGGCTCCATTCTTTTTAGGGCCCTGAACGGTTACGTCGACCAGGGAGCATAGAGCATCCATACTCCCTACCCTAGCTGCATCAAACGTCGGCGACCATGCAATCGTTCATTGCTGGGACGTTTCATCCTGTCTGCAGCAGGCTCCATCGGAAAATATCCGGCTTTACAAACGACCCTCTGCAAACCTCTACATCGACTAATACTACGGAGGACTCAATGGACGGCGAACGGGGCATCGGGGATCTGACATGCGGATATGCACTGTCGTATGTGTTGTAAGCGACGGAATAGCACAATCTAGCTCGCAAGACGGCAAACAAATGTTAAAGCAATGGCAAGATGATTTAACTAGACTGTGAACTATCTATAGCTCGCAACTGTCCTGAACACCACTCAGCCCTTGCATTTTGACACGTCCCTCCCCTCAAAAGACCTTGTACTTCTTCAAGAAGTTGTCAATTGCCTCGGCGGCGACCGGCTCATTCGTCTCAAGGGCAAAGTGGCCCGTCTTGAGCCACTGCAGCTCGAACCGCTTCACGTCGCGGCGAAACGCCTCGGCACCTGGCGCAATGAAGCACGGGTCGTTCTGGCCCCAGAGCGCCAGCACGGGCGTGTCCGCCACCCGCAGCAATTCCTGGATCTTCGGATACAAGGCCACGTTGGTCTGGTAGTCGTAGAACAGGTCCAGCTGGTGGTCCTTGATGCCCGGCCGCTCCAGCAGCGCCTGGTCGAGGTGGTACGTCTCGGGCGGCACGTCGCGGCCGCCGTTGGGCGCGCCCTCGACGTACTGGAAGCGCGTAAAGGGCAGCGCGAGCGCAGCCTCGCCGAGGGCGGCGCGCGTCGCAGGGTCCGCGTCCTTGGTCGGGCCCGACTGCCAGTAGGCCTTGATGGGCGCCCAGAAGTCGCCGCCCAACCCTTCGGTGTAGGCGTTGCCGTTCTGCGTGATGACGGCGCCAATGGCCTTTTTCCTGCCCGCGGCCTTCTCGTTCAGCGCGAAGCGGAACAGCGTCGGCGCGCCGTAGTCAAAGATGTAGGCGGCAAACTGGCGATTGTCGGCCGCCAGCTGCAGCGCCTCGACAAACGCGCCAAACGTGGTGGCCAGGCTCGCAAACGTGTACTCGTAGTTGCGCGCGGCCGGCACCTCGGTGAAGCCAAAGGACGGCAGGTCGGGGGCGACGACGCGGTAGCCGCGCTGGGCCAGCAGCGGGATCAGGTGGCGGAACATAAAGGACGACGAGGGAAAGCCGTGGAGCAGCACGATGGTCGGCGCATCCTGGCCGGCCGCCACGTCGTCCGCGGCCACGCCCGCCGGGTTGGCAAAGCGGTAGAAGACCTTGACGCCGTCGGCCTCGACAAAGGCCTGGTGGGTCGAGGGAATGGACATGGTGGATGTGGTGGGTATGGATAGCAATTGGGATGGTTCCAATGGGGCGGGCGTGCTGTTTTCGCGTGCTCTGAAAGCCAATGTATGAGCGGGCGATGGATGGAGATGGAGATGGATGGCCAACAGAGAGTGCTTCGTCGAGAGAGGGCGTCGTTGCCTTTATACTTTTGCGCTGGAGAGCTTCGCCTGGTCACACCGGGCATCGCCTCTTGTTCATGTCGTCATCTGCTTTGTAACAACAGATGGCAACGGGGCCGCTTCCTCGCACACTATGCCTCTTCTGTGTGGATTGATTTGGCATCGTTGGCCGTGACGTCGGATGGAGAGAAGCAATGACAAACCAAAGGGCGTCGGTTTGGTGGAGCGCAATAGGGGAATAGGGAGGCACTTGCTTGTGCGGCGTTTGTCATATGGGGCAGGTACGAAGAGGACATGTTGCGCGAGGGAAGGTGCGCGATGCGATGTGTCGGGGCTCGACCAAACTTTCCTAATTGGGTAAGGTCTGGCCATTTAGCGGGTTTCCACCAACAACTCGCGATTCACCTGATTCTCAGCTAATTTTCCTTCTTATATTCCTTAATAATCCACGATTGAGTAATCCACGATTGCCTGGACACACGTGCTGCACTCTCCGTATTTGTCTCAACGGTAGAACATTGTGTTCATGTCATACCCTTGGCAGATCGTGAGCAGATGCCGAAGTACCAGATGTGGTGTGCCGCTGATAAAGGCACGAAAAAGGCGTCGATCTCCTTGAATAGATGAATGGGTATTTGCATTTGCTATCTTACATTATGTGTACACCATGTGCGGCCGAGCTGGCAAGAGGCGGCGGAAGAGGATTTGACGACCGTCCAGTGCCTGTTGGTGGCTGCATGCCCTCCATCTCCTGCCATGCGACTCGTAGCCGATGTTTGTTCCTTGTCCGCTTGTGACGCTTTTCATGGTGGCCCTCGCGTGGCCCCGTTTCGGTCGCCTCGTTATGATGCAACGCACAGAACCTGACCGCCGACCTTTTTTTCGAGCGCCTCGCGCACCTCGAGGATGCCCCGGTCTGTGCTCACAAATAAACACTCGCCCAACGAGAGGCCCTTGACCATGCCCTTGGGGAACCCGCGCGTCACCGTTTCCAGGTCCTCCAGCGACATCCACACCAGCCGCGATGGCTTCGAGTACAGCTTGAGCTTCTGCAGCACCGGCTCGTTGTTCCAGTACTTGAGCCCCAGCCACAGCCGCCGCGACGCAACGTTGGCCGACGTCACCACCTCTTCCACGTGCGTGCCGGTCAGGATCGCGGCCGGGTCCGGCGGCGTGGGCCCTGCGCGTGTGACGGACGACAGGAATCCTGCGCGGTGCAGTGCCAGCACGAACCGCAGGTTGTACTTGTTGTTGGCAATCGACGTCAGGCCGAGCCGGGCGCGGGACGCGTTCTGCAGATGCGAGCAGGTGTGGGCGATGTGGAGGATACCCATTGTGGCGGTGGGATATGAACGTTGTAGGGGAGAAAAGGTGTCGACCAGCAGTGGTCAGGGCTCCGTCGCGGTCGTCGCTGTCGTCGCTGTCGTCGATCGGATCAACGGATTCAATGATCACGAGACAATCTGCCGCGGTTAGTGAGGGCCAGACGATGGGTGGAGGGCGGTCGCATGCGTACAGTAGAGTAGGCGGCCAGTTCACTCGTCGTGGCGCGGTGCGTGGTGTGCGCCGTGTGGGTCGTATCGTCGTTTCGTCGTGCCGTCGTGGGTTGAACGTCAACGGAACATTCCACGCATCTCGACTTTTTGCTGCTCTGAAGTTTTTGACCTGAACTGTCCGACTAGCAATTAAAGCGGGTCCATCGCCTGATTGGCCAGTATTTGGTAAGCACGCTCAAAGTGGGTCGTTCTCTTTAGCTCGCTCTCCGCCAAACGATCGGCCAGGCACAGAACTGGCGATGTGCTCAGAATGGCGTCAGTACGAACTCTAAGGTCGAGGTAAGCTGTGAATTATGCCGTACTGTGCCCCCTGTCTTTTAGCTAAAGTCCGATTTAAATCTCCCCTATCGTCACAAGGTTCTTCCCAATGGCCCTGTTCATTATCATCGCTGTTTCTTGCTCATTAGATACAAACAGCGTTGTTCAAGACCTCCATATTGACATTGACAACGAGTACGTTCGATTCCTGCAATCCGGAGGGTGAGAAGCTGGGACCCAAAGGAGGAAGCGATGGATGGGCACTCGAGGGAGACTATGCAAGACGGATGAATGATTTGTATAGCGTCGAGCAGATGCGACACGTACTGCTAGGCAGGTGATGAACAGAGATGGCTAAGCGTTCGTGTCACGTATTACGAAGCGTTGAAAAGAGGATACTTTATGTACAAGCACCGAAGATTGTATAGTATTCTAGTATTCACTACTGTATAGAGACTGGTCCACACACCTTGTCGATTGGATGCCTAGCTTTGTTGTGGATGCCATATATAGGGCACATTCTCGTATTAATCAGTATGACCGTCAACAATTAACAGCACGTTGCATCTTAGGAAGGGCCCAGGCCAGGTATCGTACAGTTCATTCTTTGTCACTCCTTCGTCGATGGAGCTCCGCCCCAGCAGCTCCTACCTTTGATCTTCAACCAGTCCTTCGAAGACGCATACCCACTTTTCCCCTCAGCTACCGCTTTCCATTGGCCCGTCCCGCGTCTTGTAAGCGCCGAGTTGCCCATTCGGGACAGGACTGCACTCAATTGTCACTGGACGCCCTGGACAGACCAGCAAATCACATCTCATCACAGCATTGAAAAGCAGGTGACGGCTGTTCCCAGTGTCGACCATTCCATGGTGTGATCGGCAGCGTTGTAAACAGCCCAAGTGGCCTGGGCCAAGTGCCGCGCCAGATTTGCTGTTGGCTGTGACGTGAGTTCAAGGTCGTTTCTCCTTAGTCGGCCGTTGGCAAGCGAACTGTATGCACTGCGGTTATCTCGTCTGTGGGCCGCGACCAGGGGTGGTACAAGAAGACGGAAGAGAGGGAAGAGGAGAGAGAGATTGGGGGGAAAGAGGGGGACAGGTCCCGTCATATCGTCACGCTCTTTTTTTCTTCCGTCTCGCCTCTCTTCTTCCTCTCCTTTAAACCTTCCTTTGTCTGCTCATTCTTCTTCCACCAATTACCCTTCCATAAACTTCATTTTCTGTCTGCTTTCGCCCTCGTCCACGATCGCAACAATGGCGACGCGACCGGGCGAAGAGAACGTCGCGACGCTGTAAGTTTCTCCCCTGTCCCTTCCCGCTCCTCATCCGCCCCCCGCTCTTAACCCGCTCGAAGCTCGCTCACGCGTGCAGCTTTGGAGACATACACTACTTTTACGGCCCCGAGACCGACGACCCGCCGCACCACCGCTTTAACAAGGGCTCGTACGTCTATCTCTTTGAGAACGCCCAGGAGGGCCGCGCGCGCATCGAGATTGCCAACCATCCAGGCACCGAGCGACAGGATGCGTTCGACGGCTTCCTCGACGCCACCGCCGTCACCTACTCGTACAAGCACAGCTGCATGGTGTCACTCGTCGTCATCGCTGCACCGCCCAACCAAGACGAGTGGCACCTGCCCACGTACGACCCGTCCAACCAGAACATCTACCACTACCAACTGCACGCCGTCGACATTTACTTTTGGACGCACCTCGACGCTCTCAAGTTTGTCAATGGCGTTCGCCGGCTGCTGCCGACAAACCAAGTCGACATCCGGGACGAGCCGGCCGTCCCGGCGCCCCCACCCCCGCCGCAGCCGAAGCATTACCCAGCGCCGACGAGCGACAACAACGGCAACGGCAACGGCAACGGCAACAACAGTGCCGGCCCCGCCATTGGACCGGGCGGCAACAACGGCCTTGTCCATGTCGTGCAGAAGCTCGAGACCGTAGCCATTAATGGTGGCCCCGCAGGTAGTACACCCGCCCCACGGAGCGGGCCGGTCCCGGCTGCCGAGCTCTCGTTTGCGGGACCGCCCACATCTGCTGTGTCGGACGAGAGGGGAGGCTCAACATCGCCTCCGCAGCGGCAGCCAGCGCCCGCTGCCTTTGCCTACAATCCGGCGGCACCCGCCGCCCCAGAGACCATTCGGCCACGCGAGAAGACGCCGCCGCCTGATGACGTCGTGGCCCAAAACCCGCTGCAGCAGAGACTCTACCAAGACGCCACCACGCCGTTTAGCCCCGGCTTGGTGGTTCCCGCTGGTCTGGGTCCTCTGAGCCCCGGAATCCCCCCGCCCTCGCTGCACGCGTCGCCTGGTGCACCGTCATTCCCCGCCCCGCCTGCCTACACCAGCACGGCCCCTACGCCCGCAGGCGTTCCACAGCAGCAGCCGCAGCAGCAGCAGGCACAGCACCCCGGTCTCGTGCGCGCGGCCACTCTGCCAGTCGCCTCGCCCTCGCCCTTCAACCCGGCCGTCAGCTTCCCTGCCTTTTCACCGCCGCCCACGACGGCTACCGCTCCACCGCCCTCGACCACCACTGCTGGCGTGGGTGGTGGTGCTGCCAGTGCAGGCACCACGGCGGCGCTCTACCAGGCACCGTCCGAGGCCGGTTTCAGCAACTACAATTACGGCAAGGCGGGCGGCAGCGCCGCCGGCACAACCGACTTCTCCGTTCACCAACAGCTGTACCGGCCGACGCACGGCGAGGCCGTGTCGCATACGCCCAAACAGGAACCACGGGGCAAGCTGGAGGAGACGGCGGGCCGGATAGAAAAGGGCATGACGGGGATGCTCAAGAAGTTTGAGAAGCGGTTTGGGTGAGGTGAGGTGAGCCGGTGGCAAAGCGTGTATCTTATGTTTGGTTCGCCATTATGTTAGTGTCTTGGTTCTTTCCGTGTTTTGTCTGTTCCTGTCGCTGTCATCTTTATTTCTGAGACTGGAAGCGAAGACGCAAGAGTTCAAGCATGCATTCGGATCCATACAGCTGACGTGTCGAGGCCTGTGAGACAAAATCGTCTAACCGAAGCGTTCTCACAGTTTTGTCTTTTTGTCTTCTTTGGAGGTCCTCTCACAAAAAGCGTTTGGGGCACATCTTTCAGTTCTCTTTACGGCGAGGTAAGATAACGGTGGCAACAAGTACGAATTATTGCCTCTGCATCTCGAGGAACATGGTAACCCGACAGCCAGATTTGCCTAGCTCACTCTCTGCTGGCCGCCATCATTGGTTGAATTCCTAGTGCTGACTGGTTGGTAACTGCTCAAAGTCCGTGATCCTGCCAGCACTGCAGAGTCGCAGGGACGCTGCCCGTCTGCGCAGGTCTGACGAAAAGTTCCACCGCTGACGGCTGGTTGACCGTGAGACGCCAATGCCCGAGTGCCCGTTTCCTTCTTCGTCCTTCTCCTCACCATTTTACTTCTTGTTTTTTTATCGAGTTTCGCTGCCAGTCTCGCCTGGTTGCCGCTCAGATCTGCACCGTAATACAGCGTAGGCTCTCGTAACAATGCGCAGACACGAATATCGCCCCCTGCGACCTCAGGCTGAGTTAAGGCCGGTGCCGCGAAAGATCGTTTGCCATGTATCAGAGGCTCGGGAGAAGCACACGGAAACAGAGCTGCGTAGCAAAATCTCGAATTGTCAACTGTTGACCTCGCAAGCCTTTCCGCCGGTGCTTTGCTCTTACCCGCTGCCACTCTTGTAGGTTCACATAAGTAAAGAACCGTGCGAAAACGACGCCGCCGTTCGTTCCTCCCCCAATGTCGCGGTCCTGTGGCGGTGGCTGCTCAGAAAATTGCTGCACAGCCTTCGCCCAGCCCCATTGCTCTCTGGCCTCCGCCAGTGGTTGCCACTTCACGGAGTAGTTACAGTTAAGATACCAGTTTAGTGGTCACGTCACAATTACAGCACAACATATGGAGCCTTTCGAGGCTGGCTGCCAGGGGTTGCTTTTTTGCGCTTTTTGCCGGCACTGGTAAAGCACCACTGTGTATCTTAGCAATCAACAGCACTTTTGAGGCGCGTTGTTTTCACCTTCGTGCCTTCCGTTTTCCTGACCGACGCTCTTCCTAAACGACCTCTATTTGAAGAACTCGGAAGGCACGACTGTACCGCATGTGTTGCCAAGCTGACTGGCACCCGAAACATTTAAAATGCAGGTGCGACCTTCGACCGACGACCAACTGAAAAAGTCAAGCGCCAGGTAATTGCCGCGCTTGCCCTGGCCTGGGCCGACCGCCACCGCTTGAATTGCCGCCCTACTGTTGCGCCAGCAATCAGAGACAATTGTAGCCGTTGAGGAAGGAACGCCCATCAACTCTCCACCGTTGAACACGCACTATCGCCAATGAGATTCCCAAAACGGCCTAGCTTACCGTAAAACAGCCCTAGTAGCTCCCGCCCTGCCCCAGTTCCTTCCATCGTACATCGTAGCCTACTCTGTTGTACTCTGCGTCTGAATGGGCCTGCTCAATGGTCCCTTTCGCGTGCTCTTTGTTTCCGTCGTTCGAGCATGCTACCAGCACGCTCCTACGCGCAGGGAAATGGTGAAAGTCGGCTGAGAAACAGAGCTTTGCATCGTCAGAGACGTGGTGCTCTGTCTCCATCTGGCAGGAAGTCCTTGGCTCTTCAGCCGCTCGCACTTGCCAGGCTTGTTCTGCATCTCACCTCGACCCGTCACTCTTTCCAGCCCAGGCCCAGTTTGGTCCAGGCCGACGAGTCGGCCCCGCTGTACCTGCCTTCTCTGTCGCAGCTCTCTTGCCTCCTGGCCCCTGTCGGACAACACCCATTCCTTCCTTCGTTGACTTCGTTGTCTGGATCTCACCTGCCGTCGCTTTAGTTTCCTCTTTCCTTCCACCTGCCTTCTATGCCTTCCTTCTTTTGCTGTTTCCATCCCTCTCCATTCTCTCCAGCATCTTCGGTTTGTCGTTCGTGACAGCGCCAATCTCGGATTTCTTTCCCTCGCACACGCTCCGCACCAACACCTTTCCCGTCCCTCCTCCCAACCCCTTCGTTTTGCCTCATCAATCCGGTTTGCGGTGCTGATCCCGTACCCCTAGCAACCTGCTCTCGTTTGCCCACGCTGCGCTTGCCGCTCGCTTCCAGAGGAATTCCCAACGACTCACTGCTGACGACAACAAGCATCTATCGAAAGATTCTTCTCATCCATTTTGTCTCGCTCTCGTCCAATTTACGTTCTTTTGCATCCTCGATTTCACTTGGCGGTTATATCGACACAGAATCGACAACAATAGCGTCACAGGAGAGCAACCAAACAGCGAGGTTTCAGGCGACCAAAGAGGGACGAAACAAGCCGATTCCAATCTTGACGCAACCCACAGCGACAGCACGAGGAACGAGACTGCGTTGTCGATTTCGACCACCTCGGCCTCGTTGCGCCATGCATTAGCCGTTCTCGAGCGGCACCCAACACCGTTGTCGACTTTACTTGTATCCTCTCTCTCGTCCCACGGATTTGACTTGTTCAATCAGCCCGACTGTCGTGACCAGCGTGTCCAACTTCCCAGCTTCCCAACTTTCTCCCACGATGCGCATACGACACGACGTTCGCGTTGGGACAACGCTCCACTTTCGAGACGATTCAAATCATACCGCAAATCGCAAACCTGCGATTGTAAGTAGGAACGTTTTGGGGAGAGTTTTGGTGGCGGCGGCGGCTCGAGAGCAACGCGAACAATTTCAAACGCTTCGCAATAAGTGATCTGTATCATTATAGTGGTTAACACAAAAGCTAGATCATTGCCGGCATTGTCGGTGCTTTGGTCGTTGCAGGCTTTTCCTGGCTTCTCTTTTCTCGGTGGCGCAAACGACGGACTGCAAAGTACTCGCGATCAGGGCGCGACGACAATGACCACGGCGAAGCAGCAGATGGCCCCGCGACCTCCGAAACGACAAATGCCGCCTCGGCGACTAGCAACAATGCCTCCACAGTTGACCGAAATACAAGTGTACGCTCCGTGATGACGTTGCCGCCGTACCGCCCGAAACCGCTCGAGAACGAATCGGTGCTCGGCCGCGAAGGCGAGCGGGACGGCATCGATGTCGTGATTGAGATGCCCACAATCGAGGATGAGGAGGTATTGCGGGAAGATGAGATGGATGCCCTGTACCAGATCCGCGTGGCCCGTCGACGGCAGATTGACGAACGCGAAGCTCGCCGGGTTGCCCGGCGCGAGGCTCGCGCACGAAACGACCAGGCCGCGCTGCAGGAGATCCGAGAGCAGGCGCGGGCGGCATCGTTGAACAACACGCAGGAGATTGAGAACCTGCGGGAGGACCACACGCGGGCGAAGGAGACACGAACGCGTGCCGTTAGTAGTGTCAGCTACGCCGACCTGGGTGTGGCCCGTCACGACGGCACACGCATTCGGGCAAACAGCTCGGAAAGCGAACGCGTTGGCTTGCTTAGTGACATGGCCAGTGTAGGCACCACGTCGGCCCAGTCCCCGTCTGCCACGGCACAGAACTTCCCTCGGGCCTCCATGCACGAGCGCGGCCGCAGCGGCAGCTCGCTGTTGACCCTTGTCACGACGCGCAGCAGCGATGAGCAGCCATCCGCGCTGCATCTGCAGCAAACGCTGACAACAGGGACGACACGGTCGAGAGCGAGCTCGACCGGCCCGCGTGACCGGGCAGGATCGAGCCCCGAGCTGATTGATGCGTCCGAAGCGGCCGGCCTTGCCGATGCAAACGACAGCGGTCAGCATCCCACCGGCGCGCCGCCACAGTCGCCACCGAGCTACGACGAGGTGTCGCTCAACGACCTGACGCCGGCGCAGTCCCGCGCAGAGAGCCCGTACCCAGAGCCGCCGCCCGACTACCCCGGTCCGAGTCCGGGTCCGGGTCCGGGTCCCACAGAGATGAGGAACCGGCGGGTGTCTGCGCACGCGGCGGATCTGGCCGCCGAGTCGTCTGCAGCGGACCGTGTTCCGTCGTCGACAGTTGTTCCGTCGCCCGAGAGCACGGTCCGCAGCAGCAGCCATGGCAGCGACGACAGCGCCAACCGCCGCGTATCCCGCAACAGCAGCGTCCTCCCACAGCTGCCCAGCCTGCGCCTGCGGCAACTGCCACAGATTGTCATTGAGCCATCGAGTGCGGCGCCACAACAGCCGCATCCGTAATCTCGGAGGCTGCTGTGGCATTCGACATGAATTCTATGCTCTGTATCGTCTGTGACGGACGTGACGGACGTGACGGACGTGACGGACGGCCATGCGACTACGCGACATGATGATTTGGACAAATGTACGGCAATGTACCAACGAAGTACATATTTCGGTATTCATTTGATATTCTGCTTTGGAACGAGCGGTTCCTTGGGTTAGTATGGCGTTTTCCATTGGAGCATCTTGTCCTGGTTTGTTTCAAGTTGTTGTCTTCTATTTTATCCCCCCTTCTCTTATACATTTGCGTCTTTTGCTTCATACACGTTCTGGCTCCCTCCCACCGAGCCTTGTACACAGCGTCAGGAGTCGATCGAAAGAGAAATCGGTCCGTGATCGTGCTCGTTATCCCCCCCTTTCTTTATTGCACGACGGGAACGACAGAAAACCTTCCCACGATTAATACAACATCTATGAATATATCACCATCCTAAATAAACTCTCGGTGCAGATCCAGAATAGTAACGTGAACATATAAAATTCAAAAGCCTGTTCATAGTGTCGAGGTCTTTGACATATTTCATAAGCGTAGTGGAGACCGACGAACGGATGCTGCGGGCAGGCCCGCACTGCCAGCTCAGTGAGGCGTGGCCAAGACTCCACCGATATTTTAGTGGACAAGGTTGGGCGGGGTCAGGCTGCTGATGAGTGTGCTGGTGTTGCTTATGCGCTGTTGGCGGGGCGCTAGCGAAAAAGTACAAACGTCATAAAGACTTTGCAGGGACGAGAGTGTCGCGATACAGACTCTACGCAGACGCTCAACTTCACCCCATTCCGTCTTTTACGTTGGCATTGTTTGCTTCCTTTTCCTACGGAATCTACCCCACAATGCATCAACGGCCTCTGGCGGACCCCAACAGCAAGGACGACCTCCTCGTGCCGGCCGACGCTCCCTTTGCAACAATGATGACGAACCGCACCGGTTCTCCTGCGGCCGATTTCAGCGCGTTTGTCGCTCCGGATCCGGTGGACGCGGGTGCTGTCTACCACGGCGATGCTTTTGGCAGTGGTGAGAGCCATGGCGCCAATGAAAGTGGAGGCCGTATCGAGACGACGGCGGAGGGTCGCAGTGCCGTCGAGTTTTTTGACGATGTCTTTGGCTCATCGCCAGACGATTACCATCGCGGGCCCCGACCACCGTCCGGTGCGGCCACCGCGTCGTTGCCGACCATTCCTGCGCCAACTGATACTACGCGCACTGTGCCCGCTGTGCCCACTGTCTACCAAGACAGCCACCGCCACCCGTCCGACATGAACCGCCTCGAGCAGGAGCACAGCACGTCCGGCTACCGCGACGGCATCAGTGCGGGCAAGAACGCCACGCTCCAAGCCGGCTTCGATGAGGGCTACTCGCTGGGTGCGGCGATCGGCGGCGTCGTAGGTGAGCTCCTGGGCCTGCTGGAAGCGTTGGTCGTGTCGGGTGGCGAGGACGACGAGGAGACAACCTCTACCTCCACAGCCCCCACAACCACAGAGGATGCAACTGGTGCACATGACGCAGATCCTCTGCCGGTCCTCCTCGGCCGCGCCCGTCGCGACTTGACGGCGCCGTCCATCTTCTCGCCCGGCTACTTTGCAGCCGACGGCACGTGGATATACGATGTGGAGACCATTGCGCCTGCTGGGGCAGACACCGCCCAGGCCGGTGCGGCCGTCCACACGACCATCTTTGACGTTGCCAACGCGCATCCGCTCGTCAAGACGTGGCGCGGCATCGTGGACCGGCAGCTCGCGCGTCGGCGCATCCGCTGGGGCAAGGCCGGGGACGAGGCAGCCTTTGCCACGGCACTGGGCCTCAAGGACGAGGACGAGAACCATGGCGGTGCTGGCGCTGCCGGCGAGACGTCGGCGACCGACGCAGCGCCTACAGCCACACCACGGGCCCCGGCTAACGACGCCTCGGCCCTGGATTGGTGAAAGGCACCCTTGCGGATACAGAGACCTACAAATACAACGACTGCTGTGTCAAGCACAACGCTACGACGCGACGGGCCAGGCATGCTACTGGACCTCTGAGACGAACGCCCTTCTTCCTGCTCTGTCCTCCGAGACGAGCGGGCCGAGATGCATGGCGTTGGCTGGGTGCCGCCTGCAAGTCGCCGTCACCCGCAGACCCAGTCATTCCGTCATTCGGCTGTTCTTAACTAGCCCAGAGGGTTCGGAGAGGCCAGACAGCTCGGTGGCAATGCATTCCACGGCTGGCCATCGTCGCAGGCTCCATTTGTTCGGTGGTCTGATTTGCAGACACAATGCCACTGATGAACAGGAGGCAAAGGCGCACACGCGACCTCGATGGCCCATCGTTGCGACCCGTCGACTCCGGACACGCTCGCATTTTAATGCCAGCTTGACGTTTGAGGCGAGGCTAGGGACAGATGCGCACACTCAGCCCACTGGCTTAGTCCAGTTCTCGCCGGTCTGGGAGGAGGACTGCGTTGAGATATACGGCGTATAATTGCTCTAGTCGCAACTAAGATTTAGTGACTCGCACTTTCCTTTCACAAAGCACGAGCTTCGCATGGCCTAACTGGAGCTTGGCAATTGGGGGTTTTACAGGGGTAGCAGCTCCACTGGGGCCTAGAACCGTAGCTGCCAAACAAAGCATTCTTACGACGTCAGGTCCTAGGCTCTGCGTTTAGAGTTTTGAAGGGAAGGAACAAGGAAAGGGGGAAAGGACTAGGGGGAAAGGAATAGAGGGAAAGAGGAACGAGGAAAGAGCAACAAGGGACAAGGGAAAGAGCACGGCAAGGCTTATTGCACAATTCAGGAAATGCTTGTTTAACAGCCGGCAAATGAAATCAGGCACCAATTGATTGGGGCTTCCAGTAGGATGATATATGAAGGTACGCCACGTAACAAAAACACGACTCTTGTCCTTTCGACGACGTAAGATGCTCTGCCGCGTTTTTGTGTTTTCTCCAAATTGCCTTGCTGCATACGCGCATTGACGTCATACGTAAACGGGCGAGGCAGGCGCAATCCATCAACCTTCCAAACCGTATAAAGGAGCAGGTGTCTCATTACAATGCAACTGGCAACCAATTGAGCAGGAAGGTGCATTCAAGACCGTGCATTATTGACGCACGCAACGCTCGGAAAGAAGAAGCATTTCAGTCTGTTCTTGCCGCCTACAAAACGAAGCGAAGGAAGCAACGATCGGGTCCTAGCACACAAACCAGGCTACATCGCAGACAAGTCTAGACCTAGGAAGCTCCGCACCTTCCGCCCACACAACCAAAACATCGAGCCTGATATCGCCTAGTGCTTCGCGGTTTCGGCAGGTGCGACTCAGCCTTTGCAGGCCTCGTGGTCTGTCCACTGCTGTCCTTACTTTTCCTCCTCTTCAATGTTCTCGAGACATTTCTCCCCTGTCACATCGTCCTTTTCTTCCATTTGCCTTTCGCTTTGCAGAATCTCATCAGCGCCACCGCACATTTAGTTGATTAGTCCGCTTGTTCCGCACTGGCGCTCGTCATCAGCTACCGAGGGAACAGCACTTGGGGGACAGATCGTCCTGCAGTGGCCGTAACGCTCGAAAATCCTAACAACCCGAAAAAAGAGGAAGAAAAATAACAAAGAAAAACGAAAGCAATCCACTCAAAACGCTCGCTCCAGCACAAAACATTTGAGACACCTTCATTCCAGTCCTCCCCTCAACCACCACAGGACCAGACTGCCAAACTCCAGAATCCCCAGCTCCCCGGCTGCGGTGGCAAAGTCTTAGCTCTAGTTGATCGGCGATACGAAAAGTACTCGCAAGGCGCCAAGACACAAAGGAGCAAGAAGAGACCCGATAGGAACGTCTCCCATTCCAGGCACCATTTTCTTCGTTTAGACAATGGCCGATCTGTACAAGAACGGCGGCGTCGCGCGGGGGCAAGCTGATGGCTCACGTCCACTAAGCGGCCACAGCCCAAATACCTCGCCAGATAAATCAGCGGCGGCAGAAGCAGAAGCAACAACAACTACAACACGAGGAAACGCCTTAAAAACAGGAAACACAGACACAGAAACATTGCCACGACCTTCGCTGGCACCCATTGACCAACGACGGCCTCACTCGCCGCTCCCGCCGGACCAGCGTCGCCAACACCGTCCGAGTCACGAACGTCTCTTCAGCAGGATGCAGGAGGACGACTCGCTTCACTATGACCCTGTCAACCGCGAAGGCCGTTCGGCCAGCGTCGTGCGCAATGGCGACGGCTTCATCGCCTACCCGTCGCTGATCCCGCCCCTTGTTGAGTCACCAGGCGGCTCTGTCAGCAACATCAACAACAATGTCGGGCCCCGCAACGACTACCTAGAGGCCTATCCGCGGCCATCAGGCACGTTTGAAGGCCGGCCGAAAGCCATCTCCGACCCGCCAAACCCCGAGACCGTGGCCGCGGCCGGTGACAACGGTGGCGCACCGCTGGCTACCGCAAGCACCGCCATTGCCTCCTCCGCCGTCACACCCGGCGCCAGGAAGACAAAGAGCCATGGCTCCAGCGGATCGCGGCCGTCCAGGCAGCGCTCGTCCACTCTCCCCATGCCACCCACACGCCGCAATTCCAATGTCGCGCTCGTCCAGGAACTGCGGAGGACGTCCTTGCTGCATTGGGGCGATCTCATAGAGGCCCCTGCCTACGAGGACGAGCCTACGGCGGGTGCAGCATCACAAAATGCATATGAAGGAGGACCCAACCTCGAAGCGCAGCATCAGTCCTCGTTGGCTGCATCGAGCCAGACATCCGAGCCTAAATCATCTGCTTTTTGGAGAAGAGGGAAAAAGGGCAAGCTGGGCCCCCTTCACCCCGCCTCGCTCACCTTCCTCAACTCCCAATCCGCCAAGCGCGATGGCCGCCTTCCCATCTCCGTCAAGGACACAAGCCACACTGGCGTCCTCGCTAAGGCTGTCGGCGCTGCCGTGCGTCGCATCACGCCGGGCGACAGCAGTGGCAGCGACGAGCAAAAGAGCGAATCGGAAACCGACGAGGTCGATGAGCCCGACGACGCGGCCTACACTGCCGCCCAGACCAAGGCCGGCATGTCATTGGCGGCCGCCGAGTTCAGCCGTGTCTCCCGCAGCCTCGCTCACAAAAAAGCCCCCAGGCTCAATGTTGTCATCATGGTTATTGGCTCGCGTGGCGACATTCAGCCCTTCCTCAAGATCGGCAAGGTCCTCAAGGAAAAGTATGGCCATCGCGTCCGCGTTGCCACCCATCCAGCCTTCCGCGAGTTTATCGAAAAGGGTGCTGGCCTCGAGTTCTTCTCCGCCGGCGGCGACCCGGCTGAGCTCATGGCCTTTATGGTCAAGAATCCCGGCATGATCCCCAGCCTCGCGACCGTCCGGTCCGGTGACATTGGCCGCCGTCGTGATGCCATGGCCGAGATGTTCGAGGGCTTCTGGCGTGCCTGTGTCGATTCGACCGACGACCCCAACGATGTGCGCAACCTCAAGCTCGTTGGCGACAAGGAGCCCTTCGTTGCCGACGCCATCATTGCCAACCCACCGAGCTACGCTCACATCCACTGTGCCGAAGCCCTCGGCGTCCCCCTCCACCTCATGTTCACCTTCCCCTACACGCCCACGCAGGCCTTCCCCCACCCCCTGGCCAATATCAAAAAATCCGCCGTCGACCCAGGCTACACCAACTTCATCTCGTATCCCCTCGTCGACATGATGGTGTGGCAGGGGCTGGGTGACCTCATCAACAACTTCCGCGTCAAGACCCTCGACCTCGAGCCCATCTCCACAATCTGGGCCCCCGGCGCCGTGTACCGAATGCACGTGCCCTTCACCTACCTCTGGAGCCCCGGCCTTGTTCCTAAGCCCACCGACTGGGGTCCGGAGATTGACATTGGTGGTTTTGTCTTCCTCGAGCTCGCGTCGTCGTTCAAACCGCCCGCCAGCCTCGAAGCTTTCTTGGCCGCCAGCGAGGAGCCCCCCATTTACATTGGTTTCGGCTCGATTGTCGTCGACAATGCCGACAAGTTTACCGAGATGATCTTTGAGGCCGTACGCATGTCGGGTGTGCGCGCGCTCGTCTCCAAAGGCTGGGGTGGCTTCGGAGGCAAGGGCGACAACATTCCCGACAACATCTACATGCTCGAAAACACACCGCACGACTGGCTGTTCCCCAAGGTCCGTGCTTGCGTAATCCACGGCGGTGCCGGCACCACTGCCATTGCCCTCAAGTGCGGCCTGCCCACTATGGTGGTGCCCTTCTTTGGCGACCAGTTCTTCTGGGGCTCCATGATTGAAAAGTCCAACGTCGGCCCCAAACCTGTCCCCTACAAGCGCCTGACCGCCGAGCGCCTGGCCGACGGCATCAAGTACCTACTCTGCCAAGAAGCCCGTGACGCCGCGCAGGCCATTGCCGAGTCCATTGAATTAGAGGGCGACGGCGCCGACAATGCCTGCACGTCCTTCTTGCGCACCCTCGAGCTCGAAGGCCACGGCTCCATACGCTGTGCCATCTTCCCCGACAAAGTCGCCGTTTGGCAGCGCAAGGGCTCCAACATCAAGCTTAGTGCACTGGCTGCTGAGGCCCTGGTTGAAAAAGGCTACATGTCCTACAAAAACCTGCGTCTGCTGCGCCACACCGAATGGAACGACTTTGAAGGCCCCGGTGAACCCATCACCGCCATGTTCGGCTCCCTTGCCCGCTCCTCCCGCGCCATCATCAGCGGCCCTTTCTCAGCGGCCAGCCAGATCATCCGTGGGGGCAAGAAGAAAAAGAAGGACGCCAAGGAAAAAACGGCCCAAAAGAAAGCCCAAAAGGAGGTTGCCAAGCAGCAACAGGTCCATGATGCCGACAGCGATACACTTGCCGACGACGACTCAAGCTCGTTTCAGGGTACGGGAAAAGCCGAGGAGGGCTCTTTTGAAGTCGTCTTTGCTGCCGTTGGACAGAACATCGGCCGATCTGCCAAGGCTCTTGTCATGGCGCCCATCGACGTGTACTTTTCGCTCTGCCAGGGCTTCCACAATGCGCCTCGTCTGTACGGCGACGACACAGTGCGGCGGCCCGCCCATGTCACAGGCATCAAGAGCGGCCTCAAGGCGGCTGGCAACGAGTTCATCTTTGGCATATACGATGGCGTCACCGGCATCGTGCGTCTTCCTATCCGCTTTGCGCGCAAAGGCGGCGGGATCCACGGCTTTGTGCGGGGCGTCGGCATGGGAATCATGGGGTTTGTCCTCAAGGACATTTCTGCCATCATCAGCCCCTTTGGCTACGCCCTCAAAGGTCTAGCCAGACAGGCCGAGCGTGGCAAACAGCCCTTGCTGTACCTGCGCCGCAACCGCATAATGGAGGCCCAGCGGGACGTGCGTTCCATGGATGCGCAAGAGTGGAAAATGCACTTGCAGAGGGCATCGGCCGGCTGGGAAGCGATGCACGAGCTGTACAGGACGGTGCATCAGGGTGGCAGCAGCGAGCACGCCAAGCGGCACGCCCAGAAGGACACGAATGCCAACAGTGCCGCCGACGGTGCTAATGGCACCAGCTCCCTCGGCGCCGTGGCCATCCATACGCCCGCGCCCAGGCGCGGCAGCGCCGACAGTGTGTTCCAGCACCATCACTACCACCCTGTCGGCAGCAGCGCGCGCCAGAGCCTCGAGGACTTGGATTCGGCACTCGAAAGCGCCGATCTTGCTGCCATCGTGCTGGGGGCCATGCGCCGTGGTGAGACGCTGGAGAGTGTCGTGCGTGGTCGCTACGTCGGTCCTCGACCGTATAAGAAGCGGCCCTGTCACCGGGACTGCCGGCCTAAAAGCGGTCTCAGGGTGGCCTGCCGCGATCAGCTATCAAAACAGGACAAGGAGGAGTGTAATGAGGAGCTTGAGTGCAAACCTGCCGTTGTCGGTTCATGTGATGACGATGACAACAGTTCCGCAGGGGAGGAGGACCCCGAGGAGTACGCATCAAGAGCCCGAGCGGTGGACATCGTGCTGGCGCAGTTAGGTCCGGACGCAGGGACGGCGCACGGCCGTGTCGACAAAGAGTCGCACAAGATGGAAAGGCTCAGAATTCTGCAAAAGGTGCGCGACGAAATGGGCGACCCGGGCAAAATAAAAGCGCCCGCGGCGTCGACGACGACCACATCTACAGCAACCTAAGCCAGCAGATTACCCAAAAATGCCGAAAAAGGGAGAAAAGAAAAAATAAAGAAGAAAAAATCAAATAAAGCCTGAAAACAACAGAAAGAAAGATACCCAATCTGGCAACAGAAAAAGAAAACTACACGTTATATGTTTTGGATTTTATCGGCACATACTCGGAGGCTATGTCTCTTCATTTCGTTTTGGCCGCGTTGGGATGTTGCTACATCATTTTTGTACGGAAGTACTATCTCATTTGTTTTGCTTATTGTATTATTTGCATGGAGTTATTTACACCTATTTTCTAGAATTTGCCATGGTCATATTCAATATCCCAGCAACTATAATTTTGTTCATCTCGGGCTTCTTTATTTAACTTATATTCACAAAAATAGTCAAAAGAAGACCTGCATTTTCTATGTCGAAAACAAAGAACAAAAACGAGAACAAACGGGGTAAAACTCTACAAAGCAGACGACGAAAAACGAGAATATAAAATAAAAGAAAATCTGACATCCAACACAAAGAATCGCCATCGCCCTCTCAACCTCCGTCCCCTCTCAGCCTCCGTCCCCTCTCTATCTCTGCCCTGGCAACGGCCTCGGGCCGACAATCTGGCGCCGCCCTGCACCGATCCCCTGGCTGCCGCGGTTCTGGCCGTCTCCGCCGGTGTAGCCGCTCCATTGGTTGACGTCCCAGTGGCCATCGATGCCGTCGACGTTGTTCGCCTGGCGCGGCGCCGCTGCCGTCGCCTTTTGGGCCTCTTCCCACTCGCGCTGGCGCTGGCGCTCCAGTTCCATCTCACGCTCCAGCAGCGACTTGCCCGCTGCAGGGCGACCGCCAGCACCCGAACCCGAGGTGTTGTTATTGCTGTTCGCAGGAGGCGCGTTCCTAAACGGCTGCCTCTGCTTCATGAGCGGCTGCTGCTGCTGCAACGGGTTGTACGCCTGCTGGCGGCGGCGACGGTCCTCGGCATCGTGCTCGGCCACACCTCCGCCGAGCAGCTCGCGCGCATACGTCGGCTGCGGCGGTTGTTGCTGAAGGGGCTGTTGCTGTTGTTGCTGCTGTTGCGGCTGTTGCTGCTGACGGGGCGGCAGGGTAGGCCGCTGGGGTGCAGATGCGTAGGATGACGGGTCGGGCAGCGGGCGGCCGTGACTCTTAGTCAGTTTGTTGGGCCCTTCGCCGGTCCGCTGGGCACGCAGCGGGCTGCTGGCGCCCGAATTGTTTACGTTCTCGTTCGACGGCGGGTTCTTCTCGCCGGTACGGTGGGTCCGGATCTTTTGGAAGAAGCCGGTGGGACCCGACTGCTGTTGCTGTTGCTGCTGCTGAGGCGGCGGCGGTTGCTGGTACTGTTGCTGGTGCTCCCCTGTCCTTTGGTTCTGGAGGCGAGGCGGCAGCTGCGGCTGCGGTTGCTGCTGCTGCTGTTGCTGCTGCTGTTGCTGCTGGTAGTGTGACCGCGGATCGGGCAGTGGCCGAGGCGACTTGGATGGTGGTGGTGCGTGTGGGTTGCTCTGCTGGCGGTAGGATTGCGGTCCAGAGCGAGGCATAATATCGTCGTCGCCGTCGCCGTCGCCGTGGTGCTGCGGTGGACTCAAGTCAGATTCTGGTTGCTGTTGCGGCTCTGCATCGGCAAACCGGTGTCGACTCTGGCTGCGTGGTGTTCGCAGAACTTCCTTGTCGTTCTTCGACCACGACTCTTGGCGAACGGGGGGGCTGACCTGGAGGTTTGGGTTGGCAGCCCGTGGCCGGCTGCGTGAACGAGCCCCGCGCGACTTGGAGCGGGCACGGTCGTCGTCGTATCCGCCTGCGGCCGGCCGGCCGGAGGAGCGTCCCTGGCGCTCCTGCTCGTAGGCTTGCTCGCGCTGGCGTGCCAGCTCCAGCTCCTTTTCGAGTTCGCGTACGCGGTTGCTGTAGGCGTCGGGGGCGGTGTCCTGTGCCTGGTCGGCTTGGTACTGGCTGAGGAACTGGCCGTGCAGGCGCGGGTCGCCGGCGCCGCCAGGCCTGCTGCCGCTCGCGCTCTTGTTGCTGTTGCTGTTGCGCAGACGCTGCTCCCGCTCCTCGGCCAGGCGTGCCTCGGCCTCTTCCTCTTCACGCAGGCGCGCCTCTTCGGTCAGCTTCCACTGGCGCTCCTCCTCTTCCCACTTGCGCTTTTCCTCCTCGGCCTTGCGCTTCTTCTCTTGGCGCTGGCGGCGCGTCTCCTCTTCCCAGCGCAGCTGCTCTTCTTGGCGCGCGCGCTCCTCCTCGGCCTCCTGCTCGGCGCGCTGGCGCTCTTCCTCCTCTTCCTTCAGGCGCGCCTCTTCGGCCTCCTTCTCTCGACGCAGGCGTTCCTTTTCGGCCGCGTTGGGCACAGACGGACCGGCGCTCGTAATCTGGCGGCGGCCGCCAAAGGAGATGCCCAAATTGCCCTGGCTGGCGCCGCCCATGTAGCCGTACTGGGCAATGTTCCAGGCAGGCGCGGTCGATCCCTCGAGTTCCCGCTTGCTCCAGCTGCTCGTATTCGTCGGGCTCTTGCCGGGACTGGTGCTGCGTTCACGGTTCGACGAGTCGTTGGCCTTGGTAGGGCTCCAGCGGCCGGCCACCGAGCCCTCGCCGGTGCGGGTGGGCGCAAGCGGAGTGCGACCCGTGTAGATGGAGGACATGGGGCGGCCGCTCGTGGGTGTCGTGCCGCGCCCGGGCGGGCTGGCGGGTGTCGTTCCCGAGGCGCCGTAGCCTGTGTTCTGCGGGCTCGAGACACTGTTGCGGTTGGCGGCGTTGCCTGAACGAGGGCCGATGGCGGTCGGGAAGGCGGAGGGGTTGACGCGGTTGGCGGCGCGGCTAAAGGCACCGAGACACTGCAGCACCTGGGCGGGATCCTTGGCCTCGTACAGGTCGACGGTCAGGAAGCAGTCGTGCTGTTGTAGATTGAGCGGCGGCGCTTGGCAGGCGCGTAGGAAATGGGAGATGTTCTCCATCTGCACAAAGGGCATGGCGGACTGCTTGAAGCGGATGCCGGGCGGCGGGATGGCCAGGTTGGCGAGGCGGCAGAGGGCGGTGCCGTCTTTGAGCGCATCGAGCAGGTCCCCGGCGGCCAGCTGCTCGCCGAGAACGCCCTCGATCCAAGAACGAGCCTCACGCGCGGCGCCTGGCGTGTATTTGTCGAGGCGCATTTTGCGCAGGTCGCCGTCGAGGGACGTGACAGACGCCATTGTGAGAGGAGGGGGTGTCGGGGGGTGGTCGATAAGTTCGGGCTCGTATGCTGTCGTTTGGTACCACGCGTCGGTGTCGCGGGCAATTGAGAGGCTCAAGAGTGTGCTGTGTTCGTCTTTGCAATTGTCTCGTCTGAAATTGAAATGGAACCGTGGATCTCGCCGTATATCGGTGGACAGCTGGTGCCTAGGGGGCAAGGCGATGAAAGGGGCGCGGTTCTCGTAGCTCGCGTTCGGAACGCCGGTGCGGCGTCGGGGAGTCTTGGGATCGCTCACTCGATTGCGGGGGGGATTGGGTTGGGCGCCGTCTTGGTTGTAGAGTTGAGGTTTTGTTTCGGAGGATTTCAGTGGTGGAGATGTTTAGAAGTGGGATTGGGAGTAGGGGACAGGGAGAGGAAGGAGCGGAGGAGCAGAGGAAAAAGAAAAGAAAGCAGTCATCGCCGGCAGGAGTGTCCCCAGTTGCGCCTTCTCTCGTTTCTTGGTTCTGCGCAAGAGGAAGGCGAGCTTGGACTGCACCGCTAGGAATGGGTCGTCAGGCAAGAGCCTGCAGAGCGAACAGGAAGCAGCGTTGGGTTGCGCGCCGAGGGACCGCCCGCACAGCGCACTCCAGACGCTGTCGCTCTTTCCCCGCTCTGCTGGAAGCCACACCCGAGTGACGTGGTTGGCGGCCACAGTGGGGGTGATGCGAGTACATGCAAAAGCTAGTAAAATGGCGGGAGATCAAGGTACCCGCTAGCGCCGGTTGTCCCAGCCACAACAGGCAAAAGTAAACAAATAATAAAAAAGGGAGAAATAAAACGTAGAAACCATACATCTGGTAAAGATGGTCGCGACATTTTGGTTGCATGTTTGAGACTCTGTGAGATTCTGCCCTCCCTAGTCGAGCCTTATGTTGACGACAACCGTGGAAACCGCCCGTCTGGATGGCATTGTGAGGCCGATCTGTTGTTGAGGTGTGTAAACAAAATAAGAAATGGAGATTTGCGAACAAGTTATAAGTCAAAGACGATTTTGATTGTTTTGTTCTTCTTCACTTTCGCTCTCCTTTGCTTGTTGCTTCTTACATGCACTCTGCAATGAAATGCCTCTGTGTGAGTCCCTATATCTCGGGAGCAACCTTATTCTTCGGTGCAGAAGTCAAATCTTGTGGAAGACAAGATACATCATGTTCCATAGAAAACACTGGTAAATTATGTGCAGCCACTCAGCCAGCATAAGCACTTGGTACGGTGGAATCGAATAGGTGCGAGAGTGTTGAATTTGCAAAGTAGGTGTTTCTTTACAACTGAACGTTACAAGGTAGAAACTCAGCTTGGAAATACACGGTGTTTTTTGTTTGACTTCAATAAAATAAGATCAACAATCGCAAAGAGACAGTGACATAATGCACAGATAGATATTATAATAAACGAGGGACATGACAGAACCTTGTTCGGGTGAAGGAGAATCAATGCAAGAATGAGTAGAGACAAAGTGATGGATTCTGCGTACGAGAAGCATCTTACGGCAAGGTAAAGGAAACAAAGTATGTCACCAACCTCTAGCTCTACCCGTCTTCTTATGAGGCCCCATCGTGACGCACAATATTATACTATTTTATAATAAACAGATCCGTGGTGGGCGAGCTATGAGAAATTGATATAAACTGGTGGGTGAGGCTGCATGAATATGCGCAAATCTCACTCAGGCGAGCGGAGTTAACTTACAGCGCTTTTACAGCATGGTCTAGGCGCCGAATGCCTGGAACGACCACTAGGATGACGACACTTGCAGGTCATTCCGCTGCTGCTATGGACGGCATGTCCCCTGGAGCACGTTCTGTGGCGACTTTTTAGAGGAAATGCCACGTGCGCTAGTCCCACTTAGGCAATACGTTTTGCTGCATCCAAACGCTTTTTTCAACGTCCAGTGATGATTTGTCGTCACGTCAGTCTTTCCCTTCGTTTGGTCTCCTTGATCGTCTCCTTCCTCCACCTCACACAACACACTCTGCCAAATGTCTGGCAAATTCTCTCCGTTCTGGAACACATGGTACCATTGGAAGGCCCTGCGCCTTCCATGGCGGAAGCAATTCATGGCCGGTACGTCGTTTTGTTTTGTGGTCGTTGTTGTCGTCTTTGTCGACTGTGTGCTAACAACTGCAGGCCGCGACCTGGAGGGCAACACGTACTGGGAGTTCAACGACGTGCGGCACAGCCAGTCGGCAGCCATGGCCAACGCGCGCCCGGGCGACGGCATCCGCATGCGGCGCATCGTCAAGTACCCGCGGGGCACGCACCCGGGATCCGTGCAGGTGTCGCCGCAGTGGCACCAGTGGCTGCGGCATGTGCGGGACGACGCGCCGTCGCTGCTTGAGCAGCAGCGGGAGGTGGCGCGCCAGGAGCAGATGAAGGTGCTGGCCGCGCGGGCGGATGCGCGGTGGGCGGGTGCCCAGCGCGTGGATGGGCCGGTCGAGCCGGACGCGCTCGGCGCGGCGGCGGCGGCGGCCACGCAGGAGCTCGGCGCGTCCGCGCCAGCAGCAACCACCACGTTGCCGGCCGCCGACCAGACGGTGGCACCGTCGTCGACCGATGCAAAAGCAGATGCAAAAGCACAAGCCGAACCTGCCCACGCGCATGCCACGCAGAAACAACAGACACAACAGACACTGCGATGGCCGCAGCAGCAAGTAGCGCCGGCAGACGACCCGTGGAAGCGGGAACAGCTGGCGCACGGTGCCCTCGGCGAGTCGTGGCAACCAGCTCCATGGTCACCACCAGCGAAGAAGCGGTGAGAGAGGGTGGTTTGCCGTATGATTGTATCATAATAGTTTGTTGTTCATTATCTATCTCATAAATTCATAGGCTGCGTTTGTTGTGATACCCCCCTCGGAACAGTCCATCGCCCAGCGTTTTCGTTCTCTTCACACCTACAAGTCCCCCGTCACCATTTCGGGTTCGCCGGCGTCCATGCGGGCCAGCTGGACCATGGCCAGCAAGCGGCGACCGGAGCGCTGCAGCAGGTCGCGGCCGTAGGCCTCGACGGCGAGGGCCGATTTTCGTTTTGTCGAGGTGGCCGAGGACGACGTCGTGGCGCTGCGGACCCGGTTCTCGCGCGCCCGCACACCCGTCTCGGCGGCCACTTGTAGAGCAGGAGACCAGAGATCGTCTCTGGTGCAGGCATTGTAGGAATCGGCGGCCTGTGGGAGCGCCAACGACGGCTGCTGCTGCCAGACGATCCGAAACAGACTCTCGAGAGCCAGGGCCATGCGCACATTCGCACTCAGCAACACCGTGTTGGCGGCAAACGGTAGGAAGCAGCGCTCCAGGACACACGGGGAGACGGCAGCCACAGCCGACGCCGCTTGAGAGGCGACGGGGTCGACAATGTGCGGCTTGGGCACCGAGGCGGGGAGGTACGTGAAGAGAATGTGGCGCAGGAGGCCGACAAAGACGTCGTCGGGGGAGGGCGACGGCACGGTGCCGGTCAGCGGGACGACGGACGAGGCTGGCGGGGCAGGCGGCGGCGAGGCGACAAAGGCGGCAAAGACGGAGATCTCGGTCTCGCGCAGGACCTCGGCAAACGAGCGGTAGACAGCGTCGGCGGTGGCAAAGGCAGAGGAGAAATGGACAGACCCGAGGGCCACGAGATAGAAGAGCCGGCGACGCAGCGGCAGCGACTCGAGGAAGCCAGGATGCGAGCCGACGGCATCAGCGCTGGCCTCGAGCGTTTCGGAGGACACGCCGCGTTTGCTCGTCTTCCCGGACGCCGGCTTGGCCTTGTTCCTGTGAAAGGGAGACGGCGAGGGCGAGGGCGAAGGCGAAGGCGCGGCAGACGACTCGGGCGTCGAGGGCGCAGACTCCTCATCGTCGCTGTAGTCGCCAAACTTGTCATTGTCGAGATCGAGAACACGTTTGGGCCGGGTGTAGGTCGAAATCGAGGCGGACGCTGCGCTTGTATTCGCTGTCGCTGTCGCAGTGGCTGCCGCGCCGGTCAGGACGGTCTCCTTGTCAAAGACTTCGCGGGCCAGTGCCGGCTGCGACCCGTCAGCCAATATGGCCGCGGCGATGCGGCGCAGGTGTGACGTGCTGTGTCCGCCGGCCCCCCCGCCGGCCCCGTCTTCGCTCAGATACTGGAACAGAAGTGAGTCGTACAGGACTCCGTCGTCGTCGTCATCGTCGCCGTCGTCGTCGGCCAGGCGCTCGGCCAGGTCGGCCTCGATGACGTCGACCATGAACGTCAGCCAGGGCCGCCACGTGCGCCAGCGAGCGGGTTCGCGGACGCTGCAGCCCAGCGCCCAGGCGGCGACGCGCCAAAAGCTTTCGCCACGCATCCAGATGCCATCGCGCGTCGCCATGCGGCCACTGACGGCGTCTTCGTCGTTGTCTTGGGCGTCATAGTCGTCACGATCGTCATAGTTGTCCTCTTCGGCGTTGTGTGCGTCAGCGTTGTTGTTTTTGTCGCCACCGCCACTGCCACTGCCACGCCCCCTTTGGTCGCCCATGTCCATGTCGTCGTTGCCACGGTCTCGATCGCCGCCGCCGCCAGCGCCACGTCGCCGACTGCCGCTTTTGCTTTTCCTCTTCTTTTTGCCGGTCCCTGCACCCCAGCCGCCATTGCCGCCGCCGTCGTCGTCGCTCCACGACATGGTCTGGCTGTCGACGTACTCGCCCTTGGTCAGCGAGGCACGCAGCTGTCGTCGTGGCCGGCCAGTCCTGCCGCGGCTGTCGCCCGCGGCTCGTGCTCCGGCCCTTGCTCGAGCGGCTGCCCTAGCGGCTGTCGACGTCGGCTGTCCTTGAGCATCCCGATACGCAAAGGCCGTCGCCATCTCTGCGCCCACTGGCCCGGCCACGCGCAAGACATGGCGCAGATACTGCATGGCATGGCCGGCCACGCGCAAGTCCGTGCCGTCCTGTGGGCGGGTTGTGTAGGCTGGATGGACCGCAAGCGAGGCCAGGACGGCCAAGTGGCTCGGTGGGGGGAGCCAGATAGGTGTGGGAGTGGCCTGGGCGGCGGTCGCCTTTGTCATTGTCGTCGTCGTCGTCGTCGATGCTGGCAACAGACTCTGGCCATCAGAGCCCCCAGCGGCCGCGAGGCTCGTCAGGAGCTGGATTGCCTCGCCGTCTCGGCTGTTAGTGGGCGAGCAACGCCGAAAGCATAAGGGATACAAGAGACACAAACATACACATCTTCTCTTCTAGAAACACGCGGATGTGGTCCCGCAGCTGGTACGGAATGTCTCGCACCGGGCGGTAGGGCGAGGACGATTTCGACGCATCATCGGGCGTGCGGTCCTTGTCATTGTTTGGATCGGGCTGTTCCTTTGCCTTTAAGTGCGGGCTGCCTTCTTGTGCTGTGCGAAACGACGCCGTCGAGTCTGTCGGAGAGGCCATGCTGTGGGTTGGGATGCTGGTCTGTTGCTCACGCTGGCGTCCAACTAGGAGCTGAATGAAGGCGAATGCAGCCGTGGATGCCCGTGACAGCAGACGCGGGGCCGATACTTCGCGTAGCTCTAGACGCGTTCCAATGGGGCGTGGTCAGGTGACTCTAATTAGTGTGGCAGCCACTGGAAGACAAGGCGTTAGCGCTTTACATGCAGCGTCGGCCCCTGTAAGTGGAATGCCATGGCAAGAATTGCATCTTCGCAGCAAGAATCCCATCTCCGTCTCCCTGCCTACCAACTTTGGGAGGCGCGCCTTCTCGTTTCCGCGTTCCTTCCGATCCGGTACTTTGTCCTCGTTACCGACGTCCCTTCCTCTCTTCTTCCTGCTTTGTCGTTCTGCGCCTTCCTCGCTTCCACTTGTTCCTTCCCCATTTCCGTCAGCCCTATCAAAGCGGCACGAACCTGCCTTGTAGCAGGCAGACTATTGGTAGACAGCATCGACGGTTTCGATGGAAAGTGCAACATCCACCTGCCGTGATGTACGGCCACAATTTCGTCGACGCCATTGTGTCACGGCAGCCAAAATCAAACGGACACTCACTACTCTACTGATTTCGCCGTACATCGTTCCTTTTATTTGGTGGACTACGCCCTGACTTGCGCCCTCCTTGGCGCCAATTACACGACAGATGCCAAGATCTGCAGTGACGATGACCAGAGTACAAAGTGAAACATAGGCCGGGCCCAGGCTGGGGGACTTGTGAGGCGGCGACAAGAGTGATGCGACTATCAAGCTTCAGTCAATCTACAGACCATCTACGACGCCCTCTGTACAGAAGCTTTCTCAAGATGGCTGCATCCGGGCCACGCCCTAACAATGCTTGTGTACATTTCTGGAACTGTATTTCGTAATTACGTGGCAACGTGCCAAGATAGGGGGGAGCCAAGCCGTCGTACATACATCTTGTGAGTCGGATGAAAGAGAGAAACGGAATCAAGACGAGCGAATTTGCGTGCGGGATGAACATCGTCGCCCAGTGAAGGTCTGGGTCATCGTCCCTTTGTCCTACCGAGCAGAGACGATCTATGCTTGGCATGTGGCCTTGGCGGAAAAGAAAAAAATAAATGGAGGTAAGGACGACCGTGACGCAGGAGAAAAGAGCCTCGTGAGGAAGGACAACAGGCGACGAGGAAACCAGTCGCAGCCCACTGGCTGCGTGAGACAGGCGTCGTACTCGGTCACTGCGGCAGCTCGTGCTTCGGCTTCCGCGGCGTTTCCTTTATTATCAATGGTCTTCCCTTGGATTCTTCCCCGCGACGGAAGGGGGGGCGAGATGCCCGAGTCAGAAGCATGGTGCGTCCGCGTGAAGAAAGTGTTGGCCCACAGCGCGTGGGGAGACAATAGTAAAGCGAGAGCCAACATGAGAGGACAGTCAACCGGATTTGAAATTTGTATTACGGAGGTAATGCTGGGTTGACGATGGTGGTGAATAATAGGAGAGAACGGGTGGGAGTAAGGGTGAGAGAGACAAAAAAAAAAAGAAGAAATGTGACCCCCATGGATTTTGGCCCAAATTGTCCGAGTGTTGTCCCGCGCTTCTTTTCCTTTCAGTCTCATCGCCCCGCCATGGCGGTTTTGTATTTCTGCAGTTTGCTCAGGGCCGGCGCATTAGCCGCGGTGTTGCATTTATATGCCAAATGTGTTGACTTGTTCGAATGCGTCGTCTGCGACGGTGAATCCGAAACGGAGCAAACGACATAACGGTGAGCGGTGGGTGAATGGGGATAATAAAGGTGCAAGCGCAAAATCGCCTACGCGCGTCATGTCGGACTGTTCTTGAACTGCCGCTCGTTGCCTTGTGTCTCTTTTGATCATCGGCCCTTTCGTATCTTGTTGTCCGTTTTCTCGCCCGCCAAGAGTAAGTACCCCTTTGACTTTATGAAAAGAGTAAGAAGGCGCCGCACATCCGTATCACAGACATGTCGGAAAGGGAAGAGAGTAGCGTAAGACGAAAAGGCCTCTCAAATACGAGCGAAGTGCCAGACCCTGTCGCGACAAGAGACTCGCGGCCATGCCTTGCTCGGGCAATGTTGTATTGTGTAATGTGTAATACGAATGTGAAATGTGAAATGGGCAAACTGCCAATGTGTATCAGTCTCTCTTCTTGTTCACCGCAATCCTCCACGGCGATAATAATGATCATGAACTCGTTAATCGGGAAAAATATGTCACGCAAACGCAACCGTAGGGCCAACAGTCTGGAGTGGCAGAAGAGCAATGCAGTTGATGCCAACAGAATAGAAAAGCAATGAAAAGCAAATGAGAGCAAAGGCAAAGCAAACGCAAGGTCAAAGCAATACAACAAAGCCGAAACAACAAAAACGCGCCTCTGGGGGACAATGGTGTCCGGTCCTCCCGACCCTTTTCTTCCCTAAATCCCAAACTTCCCAAAGAAAACACTTTTTTCTTGCAATACTCCTATTCTTTTCTTTTTTATTTCTTTTGACCTTTCGTACTTTCGCGTTGGTCGGTGTTTGTGTTATCATTGAACAGCTTACTCAAAGACAACCTCGTGCCAGTCGTGCTTGCTCTCGTCGAGATGCTCGCCCCAGTGAACAGGACCCAACTTGAGGATCCGAACGCCCGTCGATGTCGAGTTGCTGCCCGAGCTGCTCAGGCTCGAGCTGCGGCGCTGCTTAGCATCGACCACGGCAGCCGCAGACTCCGTGGGTGCAGCGACTGTGGCAGCAACCGGGGCAGCATCCGTCTCGGGGGCCGACGCCTTGCGCTGCGGGTACGAGCTGGACGTGGCAGGGGCAAGCGAGAGGAAGAACGACGGCTGGCGGTCGCCAGCGGGCGCAACGGTCTTGGCCTGGCCGGCCAGGGCCGCGATATCTTCGGGCGACGAAGACATTGAGTGTGTGAGTTTGTGGTGGTGTTGTGTTGTTCTAAGAGGAACAAGACGGACAGTGGTGAGGAGTTCGAAGTTCAAAGCTGAAAGATGAAAATTGGAAGTTGAGTGGACAATGTTGTTTGGCTGTAAAGAAGAAAGAAGCAAAGACAAAGAGGAATATATAAGAGGGCGGCGGCGGACAAAAGGGGACAGACAGCAGTTATAAACAAAACGTGTGCGAACAGGCCGTCAGAAGATCATTTGTATCCTCAGCCCCGGTTATAGCGTCAGCCTAGTTTGGCAGTGCTCTGGGGTCGTGAAAAGGGCCTTGGTCTGGGAAAGAAAAGAAGGCAAGTGATGTGCAAAAGAAAAAAGGAAAATAATATCCTGCACAAGAACGGAGTGACGAGAGACAAAGACGGTCGGCCACTGATGAGCACTCAATAACTAGTGCTTCCGCAATTCAGCCCTTTATTCTTAGACACCTCTCGCCCTCTTCGCATTTTATCTCCTTTCGTCGTTCTCTCTCTGTCTTTCGTCGTTATTTTCCACCGTAGTGACGGGGAGGACCTTCTGTCTCACTTCACTTGACAGCGAACGGGAGACGGAGAGAGAATGACGAGCAAAGTGATGGATGGGTTGCTGACAGACCCCCGAACCCCTAGCCGTCAGGTCTAACGGCGCCAAAACGGGCCAAACTAGGTCAGACAGCATCCAGTAACCGAACAAACAAAATGGCTGGTCAGAGGACGATGGAGCTCCGTTCCTTTTTGCTGTGCTTTCAAAACGGACGGCCAAAGCTACTGAGTTTGCCGGCCTCGTCTTTGTTGTGTGGAACGTGGTACATTCCACCGCACTCTGTTTCTCGCCTTCGTAACCCTGTAAAAGACTGTTGAGAGGACACTTTGCAACCACTAAAAATGATGTACCTCAACCGACGTCCGCTTTCACATGCAGGTGGGTTGCCGAGACAGATTGCAATGGCGACGTTAACAGGCCATGTGTACGGAGCCACAATCCTCTCGTCCATCACTTGACGTTCCGTTCGTATTTGTACACCACCAAGGCAGCTGTCCGTTTGCAAAATTGAAACGGGGCTGGCCTAATAAGTTTGAGGCAGACAAGACACGACAGCCCTGGACAGGAGGTATACGATGGATAGCCACACCCGTATCACACAGCTCAGGGCTAGGGAAGAGAGCTCCAGCGGCCGAACAAAATCACACGTGCGGCTGCCATTGGCAGGAGCCACTTGACCACCCACCGAAAGTGACAAAACGAAACCTGACGGCGCCAGCAACATTACACAGACTGATGTGCTTATACAGCAGTTTTGTAAAATTAGAACAGAAAAATGACAACCGACACAGAAGAAGCCATCCAGGCAACAGGTTGAATGCCATCGTTAGCCGCGTTCACCGCTCGCTGGTTGGTGACCCCCGCGAGGGCGGTAGATGGAGTGAGGGAGAGAGACAATTAAGCAAATACAACGAAGTGAATCAAAGTGAACGTGAAAAAAATGAAAATAAAAATAAAACGATAAAATGAAGACTCCGCAGGCAAGCAAATAGGCTGTGCATAAGCAAGGGCAGAACGAGAGGGGCAAAGAACGCGAATGTTTGGAACTTCCTTACCTCAATGAGCGAGTCCAGTCTCCTTGTGCAGGTATCTTACCTTGTTATCTGCGAACCTCAGTTCTTACACGCCGCAAACATGGGTATGCATGTTGTATCTCGTGTCCCTGATGCGCTTCGCAAAACTTGTTGTTTTCGTAAATTGCCAATATGTCGTCCTTGTGGAGAAGGGGCACACAGCACAAGTGCAAAGGCTTGGTTTAGTCCATCTGCCTGCGATTTCCAACACCTCGGTTCTATCCATCTCATCAACAAGATGCTTGATTGGGCATCTCGGTACAAGAAGAAGATTTCCCGGGAGCAATGGAAAGTGAAGGTACAGGTCTCGAAGCTCCTGCGCGTGCATTGTAGCTGTGAGTTGGCGGTTTGGGACAGAAAACTACCCAACCTGCCAGCAATACCAATCTGCACAGGTTTCCAGCAGCCACCTTTTGCGGGGTATTACCAGGGGAGCCAGGTGTCCTGGGCGTCGTCTGGACCTGGAGGAAGGACGAGCTACGGCCAAAACGAGCCTGAGGTACCTTAGGACCACCGCATGATCTTTGCTGTCATGGGGGGCACCTTCTCGGATGGGGACAACAGGGGTGTCGTCTGGGGTGTCTGGGCCTAAGGCGATGGTTTTGATTTTCTTGTTCGGCCATCTTGCTCTATATTTATTGTTTCCTTTCGGATCCGTCTTTCTTCGACTCATTCGTTTTCGTTGTCGGCGTAGTACTGACGCCTGAAACATCCTGAAGAGGCGTTAACAAGAGAAGTTCCGAGGCTAGCCGGTAAACTAGAACATAGATGGTAGGAATAAGCACCGTGAAATCCAGGGCTGTCATTAACAGTGCGGAAGAAAAAACACCGGCCTATGATGAGAGTTTGTCGAGTCCACCGAAAAGAAAAGAGGACTGGCAAAAGTCGCCGACATTGTGTACTCAAGATACGAAACCCGGGGGGTAAGAACGTTAGGAAACGCTGAAGGCCAAATAGGAGGTCGTAATCTCAATTTTCTTGTCAGTTGACCGAAACCGAACCTCCGGGTTTTTGGATTCAGTCCTCTGTCTCGCGGCGTTTAGTGCGAGTGTTCGGTAGGTCTTCAGCGGGCGGACTGTCTTATTTTGCATGCAGCAGGTAAGAGAATAGGACAAAAAAACCGACACGAGTCTACATTACTATAATAGGTTAGATCGTTTTTAAGCAACGCTTTACCTAATCGGGACAGACGCTAGTCTGAATTAAGACACCGCTTTCGGGCCTAGGTTTTCAGGCATCAATTTTCTGTTAATTCGTGAAATTCAAACAAATTCAAAATAGCCTCATCTGGCCAGGGCCGCCCGCCACGTCCACTCCCAGCCTTAATAACGCGTTGTTAACCCATTCGCCTGTATGACTGCTGCTACCTTAGTTGGTATAGTATCTATCTCCCGTTGAATAAACCCATTAAGGTTTACGGTTGTTTAAAGTCTATAGATCTCTCGTAGTAAGTTATCTTTCGTTGTAGGAAAAGGATTTGTTTTTGATAGACTGTTTTTTATGTTTCGTTAGACCTTTTTAATAGGGTTAAGGTTTGGTGAATACGGTGGTTATAATAAGTTATTTTATTATCCTTCTTGAAATTATATTTAATAACTCTTTAAACTATAATAAACACCTTACCGTTCTTATAAACTAATTAAATATAGTCTTAAATATATACTTCGTTAGTTTTACGTATAACGTAGTATTTATTTCGACGGTTTATTATAAAAGAACTCTCGTTACTTTAAATAATATAATAGTAATAGGTTAAAGGTTAAAAAGTATATATAATACATTAATATAATCTTTTAATAATTTAAACCGTATTAATAAATAAACGACGAGTAATTATACGACGTTTATAATTAACCTCTTTTATATAACGGGTTATCGTACGGATATAAAATTAAAAAAGAACGGTATTTTTAATTTATTTAAACGTTATTCGTTTAAATATATAACCTTTATTAATAAATTAAATAACGACGACGAGGTAAATATTATCGAAACGTACCGGACGACCCGGTAGTTTTATTATACGTTCTTTTTAACTTTAAACCACCTTAACTACGGTTAACTTCGACGTAGTAACGATATAGTATTTAAAGAACTTTTTTCGAATCTTTTCGTAAAAAACGTTCTATTAATAGTACGATAGAATTCGTGACCACGACGACGTCAACAGTCTACCATTTAACTTCTAAAATTCTGTTGGATCGGACGGTTGTTCGAGAGGAGGGGAGGAAGGAGGGTCGGTAAAAGGAAGAGCAGGCCGTCTAGCAGATGGCCTGTATCGAAACGACGACTGCATAGTGTTTGGCTGGCTGGTATGGTCGTATAACGGTAGGAATGTAATGGTGGCCCTGATGCCTTTTGTTTTGAATCTCCACGACTTACACGCGTTGGCCACTTACACGCGAATGTGGCGGATGTGGCTAAAATTTCGGTCACGTTTTGGCACACGTGACCGGCAAAATGTAAGCACTAGTCCCGATTAGGTAAAGCGTTGCTTAAAAACGATCTAACCTATTATAGTAATGTAGACTCGTGTCGGTTTTTTTGTCCTATTCTCTTACCGAGTCCTCTGGCGCATTCGTTTCTGAAAGATCACACCAGGTGTCAGCTCACACATACTTTTCTTTCTCGTTCACTTTGAATCATAGCCAACTAAGTGCAGTCCGTCCTGCAAATGGGCGCACTTTTGTAGCTTCAGCAACAATCAGACGAGCTGGCGTTTGGAAGACCTCGGAGATGACCGGCTTAATGAATGGTGTGATTGACTCCCAAATGCCAACTGGGTTGAAAACTTGTTGCTTCAGGTAGACGCCAACGAAAAGATCATGATGGCAGCGGACTGTCCTGCAACAATAACCTATCTAGTCAGAATGAGCAAAAGAAACGTGTGTGACGATGAACGACCAGACAACACACACACAAGAGGCAAACAAAATGCCAAAGAGGGTGTGCAGACTGTTAAGCAAACACCCGTGCTGAATGGAGACTACGGCACGACGGTGGCACGATGGGCACCGGCTCGCATCGAATGTCCTGATTGGGAGAGCTGCGATAAGAGCTGCAAAGAGGGTGTGTTATCGTAGCTGCGCATGTTTAGGCCGGGCTAGGTGTCGCTGTAAGAAACGTTGTCGAAGGATGCAGGTTGCATTTGTTGATTTGGAGGAAGAGGTGACGGAGGAAGCTGCTGGAAAGGAAGGCCATGGCGACAACTCATCGACGTTGGGATTGTGGACAGAAGAGGAAGGAGTGCCCGGGTAACGAGCTGTGTTCCTTCTGCATTTGGCTTCATCTTCGTTCACCATTCCACAGACGTTTACGAGAAGGTGCGAACCGGGCGAATCAACCTGCGGGTCATTTCAAGGCAAGTGCATGCGGGCGTGCACAGCAGTCTACGGCATATGCGAGCATTACGGTCACAATTGATACAGTGTTGGAAAGGAAAGAGCCACAAGTCCTTTATTTAAATTTCTCGTCATTCAAGGTACAAACAGGCAAGAGCGCAAAAGATGCAATTGAAAAGAGCACACAGCAGCAGAAACAAAAGCCAAATAACAGCAGACGCATAATCAGATAGACGGCATGAGCTTGCCGGCCAGCAGTATAAGCAGGAAAAGAAAGAAAAGAAGCAAAATAAAACAACCAAAAAACACATGTGGCAATCTGTAGAATCGAAACAAACACATCAAAGTTCTCACGCATCGGATGCTCCTTCCCGCTTTGGTGATACCCGGCCCCCTTGGCTTTTGTTATCGTCTTGGGGCAGTCGCGGGCCATCGTTCGGTGCAGTGACTCCTTCTTTTTGCTCATTTTTTTTTTTTTAAAAAAAAATCGGTTTCTTTTGTTTTGTTTTTCGTTCGGCCCTTCCGTCGTCGGCCTTGCAGGGGCGGTTCGATCAATCTGGTCTGGGGTTTGCTCCTTCCCGCAGCGGTCCTGCCTCCCCGTTCCGCCCCTTATGTTGTCTAAGTACATGGAAAAAGAAACATCTCCTTTCTCTTCTCCTATCCGTCCACGCAAGGGATCTTCCAGCGGTCCCGCCTTCCCGTTTCCTGCTTCCCGTTTTGTCGCGAGCAAATATAATACAAAAAAATGACAGATCAAAAGAAACGTCAGATAATGGCGACACGTCACCATGTCCCTGGCTTTTCTTCTGCTTCCACGCTCCTTTTTGATATTTTTTGATGGAAATAAAATAACAAGAAAAGAGCAAGCAGCACAAAAAGTAAAAGAAAAGAAAATGGCAGAAAAACAAATCGATATCTCGTCCCCGTCGCTGTCAAATTTTTTGAGGATAAAATGTATCCCGAACTTTGGAACTAAAGAGTAAGATAGTTGGAGGAAAATACAGAACAAGGAAGAAGGCAAAGCTCTTTCTCTATGGGGTGGTGTATTTGGTGACAATGAAATTTGTAAGAGAGAAAAGTGAAAAAGGCAGCGAAGAGCTGCAAGCAAAACAAGAGCGTGTAAATGCACAAAAAAATAATCCCAACCGGACAAAACCCTGTTTGTCGAAATAAAGTAAACGAGATTTGAAAATGTGAGGGGCACGACACGCAGCAAAGCCAGACAAAGTAAGAGCAGCATCACAAAACAAGGCAGAAAAAGAACAGCAGAGAAGGGGCACACGAAAGAAACAGAAAATGCAAGGCTAGGAACTAAAAACACATTAATTGTTGTTTGAAGGGGACGTGGGGGAGTACGAGTTCTGTCCCGGCGGCGCACGGCCAGGTGTTCTCGGAGAGAACGTGGGCGACGTCGGCGAGTAGCTGGGGCTCGTCGGGGACGTCTGCTGGTTGGGCGACCGCTGGAACGTCGGGCTCGTAGGAGAGTACGCCTCCGGCGACGTCGGCGACCACGTCGGCGAGGCCGGCGAGTACGACGGGCTCGTGGCATGGATGTTGGGCGACGCCGGGCTGTAGTTGGGGCTGGCCGGCGAGTACGACGGCGACGTCGGCGAGTTGAACTGCGCAGGCGACGTCGGGGAGTAGTGGCGCGCAGCCGAGGGCGACGCAGGCGAGTAGCTGGGCGACGTCGGGCTGTAGTTGGGGCTTGTCGGCCGCATCATGGGCGACGTGGGCGAGAACGACGGCGACGACGGGCTGAACTGCGGCGACGACGCGAACCGGCCGCCCATGTCCATCATCGGCGACGTGGGCGAGTAGCCCTGCGCCGGCGACGACGGCGAGTAGCTGCCGTAGCCGCTGCTGAAGGGCGACGTGGGCGACGTGCTGAAGGGACTCGTCGGTCGCGGGCTGGCGCCCGAGTAGCCGCCAATGCCGCCAAAGCCGCCGCCGCCGTACTCGGTGCCCAGACCACCAGCGGGCGTCTCCGAGCCGGCACCCATAATGGGCGAGAAGTTGCCCATCGCGGGAGAGCTGATGCTCAGATAGCCCGAGTCGGCCAGCGGCGAGCCCGTGTCGTACGGCGTGGCCGCCCCCTCGAGCTGGCTGCCCTTGATCGTCAGGCCGGGCATCAGACCCATGCGCGAGTTGTCCGAGATGACGGTCTCGAGCATCTTGGGGTCCAGGAGCACCTCAAAGTGGCCCGTGCCCATCGGCGCCAGCTGGCCCAGCATGACGTTCTCCGAGATGCCGCGACAGTCGTCGAGCTCGCCGACGGCCGCAGCCTCGAGCAGGATCTCGACCGTCTCTTCAAACGAACAGCGCATGAGCGCACCCGTGTCGGCGCGGTTGATGCCGTGGCGCGTGACCGCCGCGATGCTACCGCGGTAGGTCATGACGTCGACGAGCAGCGCCAGATGGCGGTGGTTGACGTACGAACCGTCAAAGGACAGCACGGCCGTCAGCTCGCGCAGCAGCGTCGACCGCGCCGCCTCGATGCCAAAGACGTCCACAACCTGGTGCAGGTCGTTGGTATACGTGCGCTTGGGGTCGACGCCGTCCACGGCCAGCACAGCACGCAGGGCCGAGCCCTCCGTGTCCAGGTACCACGCCGTACAGCGCGGGTCGTCCTTGGCGGCCAGCAGAGCACCGTCCTCGGTGGTGATCAGCATCGTGTCCTTGTTCAGGAACGCACGTTCGATGCCGGGTACACCACGCAAGGTCAGGGTGTCGAGCAGGTGCGTCTCCAGGCGCTTGAGCATGACGTCGTCCTCCAGCTGGCCCTCCTCGTCCTTCTCGTCCGACTGGCGCACCGTCCGGATGCGGATCACCTGGTCGTCGGCGTTGTTATCGCTGAACACGACGCCCAGGTCGCTTGGGTACTCCTCCTTGATGCGGTTGGCCACGTCCTCGATGGACAGGCCCTTGTCGAGCATCTTCTGACGATCAAGCGTAATACGCAGCATCCACCGCGACTGCTGGTCCAGGTTGGTCGCAACATCCTCGGGAATGAGAAAGTACGATTCCAGCATGTTCTCGTCTTCCACAATGTTCGTCCACCGCACGTCGGGGTCGTAGTAGATCTCCGTCACGGCCGTCACCGACCGCAGGTTGGTGTGCTCCACAATGCTGCGGAGCTCCTTGGCGCGGTCCTGCGTCGGGTGGCGGCCGTCCTCGTCGTCCAGGTAGACAAGCATGGACGGGGTCTTGATGTTGCTGGCCACGTTGAGAATTTCCTTGAGACGCGGCACACCGAGAGTGACGTTCTTGGACGACACACCGGCAAAATGGAAGGTGTTGAGCGTCATCTGGGTTGCGGGCTCACCAATCGACTGTGCAGCCAGCACACCGACCATCTCACCGGGGTTCACCATGGCGCGCGCCCAGCGGCTGCTGAGCTCGCCCATGATGTGGTCAAAGGCCAGACGCGTGAGGCGCATGTCGACAGCAAGACGCTTATAGGACAAACGCGAGCGCAGCTGCGCCTTGATCAGGATGGTCGAGTTCTTGTCGGCCTCGAGCGAGATGGGGTCGCTGCCGCGGACCACCACCATGTTGTCCAGCGCCTTCTTGACGGCCGGGATGACGTCCTGGGGACGCAGATCACTGCGCTGGGCGTCGTCCAGCTTAAACAGCTTCTGCGCCGAGTTGATGATGCGCACAATGTTGAGAGGCAGCTGCATCATCTCCTCGTCCTTCTTGCCCAGGATGTTCGTCAGACGCTTCCTGCTGACAGACCGGATAAGCTCGCGGTCCGCGATCAGCGCCTCGTACTCGGCGTCGAGCAGCTCTTGCGCCTCGGGATCGCCCGCAATCTCGTTGGCATACTCAAGCGCATCGAGCGCCGACGAGCGCGTTGGGCTCATGACATCCAGGCGGAAACGCTTCTCGTAGGCAGGAAGCGACATGTTCAAGAAGTCCACGCGCTGCTCCTCGATCTTCGCACCGTCGAGGCCGTCCTCACCGTAGACGAACTGGATGATGTCACCCAGGGAGTTGCGCACAGTACCGTCGTACTTGGCGCTGACGTCTTCCAGGGCCTTGACCAGACGACGCTGGATGTAACCCGTTTCGGCAGTCTTGACCGCCGTGTCAATGAGACCCTCACGACCCGCCATGGCGTGGAAGAAGAACTCGGACGGCGTCAGACCACGTAGGTACGAGTTCTCGACGAAGCCACGGGCCTCGGGCGAGTAGTCGTCCTTGGTGAAATGGGGCAGTGTGCGGTACTTGAAGCCGAAGGGAATGCGGCGGCCCTCGACAATCTGCTGGCCGACCAGAGCCGTCATCTGCGAAATGTTGATGGACGAACCCTTGGAGCCGGAACGGGCCATGGTGACGGCGTTGTTCAAGTCCTTCAAACTCTCCTGCGTCGTCGTACCGGCCTTGTCACGGGCCGTGTTGAGGGCCTTGGAGACCTTGTTCTCAAACGTCTCACGGATGTTCATACCGGGCAGAGCCTCCAGCTCGTTGGCGGTCGCCTGGGCCGTGAGCTGACGCACCTCCTCCTTCTGCTCATCGATTTGCGCCTGGACCATCTCAATGGTCTTCTTGTCGGGAATGGTGTCGCCGATACCAATGCTGTGGCCGTTGTGCAGCAGCCAGTAGTTGACGACGCGCTGGCAGCCATTCAGGAACGCCATGGCAGCGTCGGGGCCCAACTCGTTGTAGCAAATATGGATAATACCGCCACCAGAGGCGCCGACAATCTTCTTCGTCATCAGACCGTACATAAGCTCACCGGTCTGGATCAGAATACCATCGTCCTTGAGAGCCATGTCGTCGTTGCCGGCCTTGAGGCTGACCGTCTTGGGGATGACAAGACTGATAATCTGCTTGCCGGTCCACCGCGGGCGCGGCTTGATAATGGCCGGGCTGGGGATCACACCATCCCACTCGGGCACCCAGAGCATGATGTCCATGACCTGCTCCTTGGTGAGGAACACGTCACGGCGACAGAGCTTGTAGGCGCCTGCCAGCGTATCTTGCACAATGCCCATCAGCGGGCCGTTGCGCTGGGGCGAGACAATGTTGAGCGGCACCATGCACAGCTCCTTGACTTCGGCACGGGTCTCCTCCGTCTGCGGCACGTGCAAGTTCATCTCATCACCGTCGAAATCGGCGTTGTACGGAGACGTCACCGACAGGTTCAGACGGAAGGTGGAGTACGGCATAACACGGACACGATGACCCATCATGGACTCCTTGTGCAGCGAAGGCTGACGGTTGAAGATGATGTAGTCGCCGTCAATCAGATGCCGCTCCACCTTCCAGCCGTACTCGAGCGAGATCTGGCCCGCACGACGGTGGTGGCGCAGATCAATGCGCGTACCGTCGGAGCGGATCACGTACTTGGCACCGGGGTGCTCGTTGGGACCATTCTGCACCAGCTGGTGCAGGCGGCTGATGTTGTAAGGTGTAACAGTCTCCGGGTACGTGAGCGTGCGCGCAATGCTGCGCGGCACACCGACCTCGTCGAGCGAGATGTTGGCGTCACCCGTGATGACCGTACGTGCCGAGAAATCGACACGCTTACCCATCAAGTTGCCACGAAGACGACCCTCCTTGCCCTTGAGACGGGCGCGGATGGCCTTGACGGGACGGCCACTCTTTTGCAGGGCGCGCGGAATGGCAGCAATGTCATTGTCCATGTAGGTGGCGACGTGGTACTGCAGCAGCTGTTCGAAATCGGACGAAATGTGCGCGGGCGAACCCTCGTTGATGGCCTGCTTGACGTTGGCGTTGGCACGAATAATGTCACCCAGCTTGAAAGTCAAGTCATCTTCGTTTCGCATGCCGGTACCGGTGCCGTCCATGGAGATACTCGGACGCACAGGCGGGGGTGGGACGGGCAGGACCGTGACCACCATCCACTCGGGACGGGCGTAGTCGACATTGAGACCCATGTCACGGATGTCGGACGTGCTGATGCGGCGCATGATATTGAGGGCCATCTCGGCCGTCAGCATCTTCTTCTCCTTGACCTTGCCGCCCTCGTCGCGTTCCACCTCATAGTGCGACCACAGCTGCAGGCCGGTCTGGCGCACAGCGGGCTGGGTGTTGCCGCAGCCGCCATGGTTGTGCGGCGCCTGCTTGCCCAGCTTGCTGCCTGGGTTGGGGTCAAATTCGTCGTCGTTCTCCGACTTGGCCTCGTTCTCGCAACGCTTCTTCTTCTTGCAGCACTCCCAAACGCGCTGGAACCGAGCCTTGGGGTCGCGTGTGTTCACAGCAGCCAAAAACTCAGGATCCGTCTGTAGTAAGGGGGGGACAGGCGAAGAAAAGAAGTTTCAGATTAGCACAAATTTCACCCAGAAAGAAAGAAACCCAAAAACAAACCCGGGACGTGGCAAGGCAGGCTTGCAAAATGAAACCATATCAAAGACACGTTCCAGGGGAATTTGCTCTCAAGTACTAACCCGATCGGCGAGAACCATGCTGCAGTTGTGGCAGACGATCTCGAGGACCTTCTTGGTCTTCTTGATGAAGCCCGGGTGGTAGACGGGCTTGGCCAGCTCGATGTGGCCAAAGTGGCCGGGACACTCGGACATGTTCTCGGTACACGTCTTGCACTTGAAACCGCGGTCGACGGAACCGAGCAGGGGGTCGTTGACACCGCCATCACGTGGCTTGGTCTTGGTTTCGTCCATAGCCTCCGGATAGATGATGTGCGCGACACTCATATTCTTGATCTCTTCGGGAGACATCATGCCAAACTGAATCTCCTCAATGGTCTTGAGGGGCGCACTCGAGTGCGCAAAGTAAAGGTTGGCCATGGTTGCGGTGGTCGGGGCGCAACGCGCGTCGATCGATGCGGTCGCAGAACGGGGAGGAGTGGACGGGGCTTGTCGTCGAGAAGGATGCGCGCAGCGATGACAAAATGGCGCGAGAGATCACAAAAGGAGAGCGTATGTCGAGACGCGTTGGAATAAAACGAGCACGAAGAACGGAGATGACCGACGTCAAGGTGAAGCGTGAGGAAGCCGAGAAAGAACGGTGAAGAAGACGAGGACGAAAATGACAGAAGAGAGGTCGGAAAAAAGGGAACACAAGGACCAGAGAGAGAAAGGAACCAACCCTGGATTCGTAATGTCGTGATGCGCGCGAACGCGAAAAACACGGTCGTGAACGAAACAACAAAAAAGAATGGCAAGGATACAAACGGACAACCGTTGCGATGCGAGCGCGGTATGCGAGAAGGCCAGAGACGAGCCGGGCCCCCGATCACGATGTACGCGTCGATGGTGTTGATCCTGGATGAACGATGGCAGCCGAGTGCGCGCACCGTCAAAACACGGCACACAAAACAACGTCCTCAAGCCCAAACGACTTCACAGACAACCCCCCGGGGCCCCAACAGGGAGCGAGCGTGCCTCAACGGCGACGAGGAGCTGAAATCGGCGCCAATGTGTCGATAAAACCGTGCGAGGCGGCGATGACTTGTCGATGAGATGGTTTCGTGGTGTTTTGATGCTTTTTGCTCTGTCGCTCAAAGACGAATAGCGAGACAAAAAGCCGTCAGCGCTGGTCGTGGCAGGCTGAAACAATGGTAAAAAAAAGAGAAATCGATCGCGGAGAGATGAACGACGCGGTTTTCGATGGCGAAGACGCGCGGGCGACGGTGGTGGAGGAGGGGAGGGATGGCGATGCGGATAACGAGGATGTTGCGAGAAGGAGAAAGTGAGGCCAAAAAAGAAGCGCTACGCACGGCGAGAGGGCAGGGAAAAACTTCGCTCCCTTCCTCTTGGGAGGCGTTGAGCGTGTTCCAAAAAGTCGCCTAGCCGAATGAGGCTTAGCCTTTCTCCTTTTTGGAGTCTGCTAAAGGAAATCACGTGAGATTAAGGATACTTTGGAGGTACATGGACTGATGGTTCTCAAGTCGTCTGCCCATTGCGGTGCCTCAGGTGCATAGTGGGCTGCAGCTCCCTGCGCTGGCCTTGCCCTCAACTTGCGCTGAATGCAAGTACCCAGCAAGTACCTTGTCCTGGAAAATAAGCTCTTCGCAGCTTCCCCCAGGAGAGACCCACACGCCACCCAAAGAAGGGCGGTTGCCTATTCGTAAGGCTTTGCGTGCACAGTGAGTCAAGCGGGCAGGAGCGCAATAAGGGGCGGTGGTTGCCACCTGACGTGGGAGGCGCGATTGGATGCCAGGCGTTGCTGACACTAATGGGGCATTTTCAACGCGCCTTTGTCGATGCTTTTCCACAGTTCGCGCACGCCATCGCGACCGGAAACAGCTTACGCGAGCCCGAGTTGCATTGTTTAACAAACCAACAGAAGCAGGTTCCGCTTTCAGAGTTCCTCGACATGCAGCGCAAACCGAAGTGTTGGACAGATACATTCAACAAGGCGGACAAAGCCAATAAAGCAATAAATGTTTGCAAAGACGTTGAATCATTCCAGATGGTCCCTTTTCCCGGCGCACGCCCCAAACCCGATGCGCCAAACGCCTCGCAACCATGCCGATGTCAGATTAAGACAATTGGCAAATGACAAATGACAGCAATACATAAGCACCGGCACCGCCCCTCCTCCCCCGTCACCTCCTCCTTGTCCGCCCGCCTTTGGCGGCCTTCTTTGTGCTCGCGGAGAGGCGGTCCTCGGCCGTCGCGCCGTCCGCCTCGAGGTCGACGCTTTGGCTGTCGCCGGGGCTGCGGCGGCGCATCGTGCCGGTGGAGACGGCGATGAACTCTTCTTCGCTGTCGGACTCGCCGAGGTCGTAGAGAATGGGCATGCGGAAGGCAGGGCGGGTCGTGAGGCCGTTGGTGGAGGCGGGCGTGGGTGTCGTCGTCGACGTCGACGCCGCGTCCTCTGGGGGTGCGCCTGGCAGCGCGGCTGCCGACAGGTACTCGGCCGCGGCCGCCGGCAGGTCCTCGTCGGACGGCTGCTCGACCGTCAGGACGTCCACGTCCTCGTCCTCGAGGTCGAGACGGCGCTTGGTGATTTCCTCTTGCGGGTGCACGTCAAACTCGTCCTCGCGCTCGACGTAGATCTCGTTCTCCTCGACCTCGGCAAAGTCCGGGGCGAGGGCCGACCACTTCTGCGGGCTGGTGACGGACCAGATGTTAATGCGTCCCGTCTCGAGCCCGCAGGCGGCCAGCAGTGCGCGGTGGGGGTGCCACTCGATGACGCCCTGCTCCTCCTTGGGGCCCTCGAGCATGCGCACGAGCGAGCCGTGGTTGCGCTCCCAGATGTAGAGCTCGTGGTTGTTGTACGTGGACGCCGACACGTACTCGGCGGTGGGGCTGAGGGCGATGTGGTTCCACGACAGGCGGTTGACGACGTCCTGGAACTTGTGCTCCTCGGGCAGCTGGATGGTGTCGGGGTCGAGGTCCGGGCTGGCGAGGTTGGGCATGTGGAGGGAGCGGATGATGCGGTCCTGGGAGTTGGCCAGCAGGATCTTGCCGGAGCTGTTGAGGCGCAGCGTGGTGACGACGCTGCCGCAGGCCTTTTTGGAGAAGATGACGTCGCGTGTTGTGGCGTCGATGATGTTGATCCAGCCCTTGCTGGTGGCGCTCAGGATGTGGCCGCCCGAGGCGGCGTAGATGGTGACCGTGGTCATCTGCTTGGCGTCTTCCTTGGCCCACTTGTCGCGCTGGGCGGTGTCGTCGGTGTCGGGGCGCTTCGGCCGCGAGGGGAGCACGTACTTGACGTCAACAGGGTCGGTGATGTCGACGAGGAGGGCCTGGTCTTCGTAGATGGAGGCGACAAAGTGTGTTCTGGTAAGAAAGCGTTGTCAGTTCCTCTTTCTCTCTCCTCCCCCCTCCGTCCCCTCTCTCTCCTCTCTCTCCTCTCTCTCCTCTCCATCTGCATTCTACTCACGTTTTCCATGGATGCAGTTCGGCAATATAGACGGGCGCTTTGAAGCGCACCTCGCGATGCTTGCGGCCGTCTTGGAGATCCCACAGGACCGCCTTCCAGCCCTGGCAGGCCGACAGCAGGTAGCGGCCGCAGCGCGACCAGCTCAGCGACGAGATGCTGCGTGAGTGGCCCCGCAGCTTCCGCGCAACACCCATGGTGTCGAGGTCCCAGACGACAACGGTGCCATCGACGCGGCCGGAGGCGAGATAGTCGCCTTTGCGGTTGAAGCGCAGGCAGGTGGCATGGCCGGAGCGGATGGTGTTGGTGATGTGTTCGGGGTAGTCCTGCAGCAGGTAGTCCTCGGAGAGGAGGAAATTCATCGTGGGAGGGCGTGGGGGCGGCCGACGGCGACAAAGAAACTTGGACAACGTCGTCGTCGTCCGAAAAACAAGAACAAAAAAAAAGCCAAAGCCAATCGCAGATTTAGCGGTCGCGGGGGTGGGACAGGACAGTGCAGTAATACGCGATACAGGGGCCAGCCGCGTCCTGTAGAGCACCAAAGTACGTCCAATCAGAGGCGGCAGTGGCGCGCAGTCTCTAGTGGTTAGTGCCGGCCCCCCGAGTGACGTTGCAGGGGTGTGTCCCCCCCAAGCGGCCGGGCCGCCTAGCGCTGTAACAAAGACCGAAGCGCCGGCAGCCACTCATCGCCCCTCCTTTCACCACCTCCTCGCATCCGACCTGGTCTGTTCAATGACGTGTGACACGGACAATCTACTTCTCGCTCCTCTGCATGCCACTTTTCTTGGACCTCTGCTCGTGGGGCTTCATTGATCTGGACATCGACCGGCACAACTTTGGACGGACACGCGACACGCGCGGCGACAGAAAATGGCCAACTCAAAGTAGGTCGTCAGAGAAGAGGCGGATCGAGAAGACGAAAACCACAAAGACACAGAGACTCAGAAGACTGACCCCCTCCTCTCCCCAGGTACGAGTACGTTCGCCTCTTTGAGCAGCCCGACACGCTGCTGCCGAACACGTGGATCGTGGTGCGCATCGACGGCCGCGGATTCACCAAGCTCTGCAACACGTACGGCTTCGCAAAGCCCAACGACAAGAGGGCGCTCGATCTGATGAATGCCGCGGCCAAGGCCGTCATGGCGGACCTGCCGGACATTGTGCTGGCATACGGCGTCAGCGACGAGTACAGCTTCGTGTTCCACAAGACGTGCCAGCTGTTTGAGCGGCGCGCCAGCAAGCTGGTGTCGACGGTGGTGTCGACGTTTACGGCCTTTTACCTGCATCTGTGGCCGACCGTGTTCTCTGGTGGGCTGGTCGACGACGTGCCGCTGGTGGCACCGCTGCTGCCGACGTTTGACGGTCGGGCCGTCTGCTACCCGAGCGTGCAGAACCTGCGGGACTACCTCAGCTGGCGGCAAGTGGACTGTAAGTTGGGAGAGATTGGGGGGGGGGGATTTACTCTTGCGCCCACGTCCTTTGCTGACACTCTGCCTCCCACTCTGCCTCCCAGGTCACATCAACAACCTCTACAACACAACCTTCTGGGCTTTGGTCCAAAAAGGCGGCATGGACAGCGTCGAGGCAACAGAGCTTCTCAAGGTAGGCCACTCTAGAGTCGGAAGATGATCTTCCCATTTTGCTGACCTTCTAGGGCACATTCTCGGCCGATAAGAACGAGATCCTCTTCTCGCGATTTCAGATCAACTACAACAACGAGCCCGAGATGTACAAAAAGGGCAGCGTCGTCTTTCGTGATGTAAGTGGAGAGCGGAAAGAGTGGCGATGAATCAGATACCGCTGCTACCTATAGAGCTAACACAGAGAGTACGAGCTGGTCGACCCTGCGAACACCAATGCCGCGCAAACCGCCGCGGCTGCCGACAACCAGGCCGAGCCGCTGGCACTGTCCAAGTCCAAGGCGGAGACCGACAAGAAGCGGCGGGCCAAGGCGCGCATTACGGTCGAGCACATGGACATTATCAAGGACGAGTTCTGGGACCGCCGGCCGTGGCTGCTGACAGGCCAGCCGGGCACACTGCCCAAGCAATTGTAGGGTGGGTAACAGACGGTCGGTGTTGTGGCTGCCTCCAACTCCGTCGGTGTGCAACCTTTCTGCCTTTTTCTATGTCTTTTTTTACGCATTTTCACCTTGTCAAGCTTCCATACTAGACACACAATACCCAATATTCGTTGTATAAAACTCCAGACCGCTTTTGGTGATCCTATGCCATGCTCGCTGTGATACCCAAGAAAAACATGTACAAAACAAGACAGAACCAGGACAAAGGACAAAGGACACGATGTGCATCGGCACCCCAGAGTCCACTGTCACAACGCCTATGCGCTGGCCTTGGCCACTTTCTGTGCCTTTGGCGCCTTCTCGGCCGCCTTCCTCAGCGCCTTCTCCTCTTTCTTCGCGGCCTTTTTGGCAGCCATCTTGGCCTCCTTTTCTTTTGCCTTTTCGGCCGCTCTCGCTTCCCTCTTGGCCGCCTTTTTGGCCGCTTTTTCTGCAGCCTTTTCTATTCTCCTCCGCGTCCTCTTCTCTTCTTTCTTTCTCCGCTTCGCCTCGTCTTTTTGTGCCCGCCGCGCCTCCTTGCTGTCGGATCCTTGTTTCCTCCGCTTCTTTTCCGTTTTCTCTTCTTTTCTTGTCTCGTCGTCGTCTTCACGTCGTTTCCGCTTCCCCGTCGTCGTCATGCCGGGCTTTATCGTGTCATCCCGCTCGGGTGTCGTCTCGGCGGTGCTCGCCTCGCTGCCGCTCGTGGCACTCGTAGCACTCGTCGCACTCGTCGCACTCGTCGAGCTCGTCTTCGCGACCTCTGCATCCATCGTGCCGTCAATCGTGCCGCCCCGCACAAAGTTGGCGTACAGCCCGTACGCTCCGCGGTATTTGCTATAGCCCTTGTTGCCGCTCAGCATCTCGAGCCGTGTCGGCCCGGCCGGCGTCGGCGTGGCCGTGCCATTTGTGCTCGAGCCCGTCCCCGGCGTGCCCAGGTTCTTCAGTTGCTGGTCGAAGGCGTCGAGCCACCACTGGTCGGTCGCGGCCGCCTTTCTGTGAACGGAATCGGTGCCGAGGCCCTGCTTGTCGTCTTTGCGCGAGAGCAGCAGCGGACGCGCCAGTCCGGACGAGTCGTCGGAGGGGTGCAGCGTGTGTCCGAGGCCCCGCCAGCCCTGCTTCTTGAGGTAGACGCTGGCGTCCATTGAACGGACGAGAAGAAAGATACGTGAAAAAGCGAGAATGGACTGCGGCGTTCTGGTGGCTAGGTATATAATCGATCAAAATGCCATCCTGAAGAATCTATAGTGTAAAGCAATATATATGTTTTCTAAGTCGCGCTTCAAGAATCGCCGTGCGTGGTCGTGGAGGTGGTCGTGCAGATAGAACGTATGGGAGAAAAGCGCCCAAGAAAATCCTCCCAGAAAATGCCCAGACGTTACGACCTGTTTTTTCTGCCGGATTTTTTCTCCTCAACTTTTATGTGGGTCCACTCACCGCCCTATCAAGCCCTCTGTGTCGTTATCAAAATTCCACTCACATTTTCTAAGCTACACAATACGACGATTTAGAGCATAAACAAACGACATTCCCTATCTCACCAACCTCCGTCATCTCAATCCCAACGCAGAATCTGCGACGGCCACCGCAAGAACGGATCTGCTGCAGCTGTTACCCAATACAGAATTTTGGTATACATCCTGCGAATGCTCACAATGGCCTCAGTGCGCTCCAAGTCGACACCAATCGCTTTCGACATGGACTCGAGAAAAGAAATACCAGCGACCCAGACCAAGATGCAGACGACAATCCACGCCAAAGCCAGGCGACGCATCGACCGGAGCGTGCGTGCCCGGCGGCGTGCAGTGCGCACAATCTCCACGTACTCGAACAGTTCCGGCCAAGCTTCGTCGTCCGCCGCGTTGTCCGCCGCGTCATGAGAATCATGTGGGCCGCGTTCCGACGCTGCTGCATCGGCCTCATCGTGATCATCGTCGTGGCCGCCGTTGCCGCCACTTCCATTCCTGCCACCACTGCCGCCGCCGCCTTTCAGTTGCGCACCGTAATAGTACGCGTTGTGGCTCTTGGTGAGAATGGTCTGCGTGGCACTGCGAACGTCTGTGCGTCGGCTGTTCCAGAACGGCCGGAGGCGCGCGATACGGGGCCAGAGGACGATCTTGATCTTGGCTGCGTGGATGTACGTCGCCCGCTTGTCGCTGTCGCTGTCGCGCGCGCCGCCCACCTGTCCGCCTCTGGCCGCGGCGGCCTCGGCGGCCTCGGCGGCCAGCGCCTTCGCCTCGGACCGGGCGTACACGTAGTCGTCGGCCTCCCGCTCCTGGTCGACCTCCCATGGCGCACCCGGCAACGGGAACTCGACCTGGAAGATGCTCGGCGACCAGGCCATGCACAGCGATGCGTAGCCTGCGAGGGCCACGACGTCGTGCAGCCGCTGGTAGAACACGGGCAGGCTGGGCGCCTGTGATGCGTTCTCCGAGAGCGCCCGCTGCCGGTTGAGCAGCGGCAGCAGCAGCTGGGCGGTGTGCGCCGTCACGCGTGCGACCTCGGCCCAGAAAAACGGCGTCAGCACGCGGCCGCCGGCCTCGGCACCCAGGTAGTACTGCACCTCCTCGCAGCGCTTGAACTTGCGCAGGTAGCCCTCGTCCTTGAGCATGATGCGGTCCCACTGCCCGAGCGCATCCTGCTGCTCTGCCGTGCCGCCAAACAGCAGCGCCGAAAACACGTGCTCGTCGAGCGTCTTCGCCAACACGCCCTGCGCCACGAACGCGCGCTGCCGCGGGTCCTCGAGCAGTGCATCCCAGCTGCTGCCGCGCTTCCCGTCGAGAGGGTCCGGGCAGGCAATCTCCCCGGCATAATAGATAAACGCCGGCGAGAGGTCCGCGTCGGCCCAGGGACTCTGTGCCGGTGCGGTGGGGCCCGGCAGCAGGACGAGACGGTCGACGCCAAACGTGGACGCGCACAGGTCTTCGGACAGCTCAAAGAGCGTGCTGAACAGCACCTCGAACCATGCGTCGTCCTTCTCGCAGCCGGCCGTGTGCGGCATGCCGAACCACAGTCGCAGCGGCCGGTACCCAAGAAGATCGTGCGGCAGCGCGACGGGGCGGCGCTTGTTTCTGTCCTCCGCCTCGCGCGGCTCCCACCAGCGCTCGCCGAGGCCCAGGATCTCGGTGGTCTCGCGGGTAAACGTCGGGTAGAGTCGCTCTTGAAACCGTGTCGGGTCCGGGTTGACGTCAGACTCGGCGGCCATGGCGGGCATGGCGGCTGCATGCGTCTCGGCGAGTGTTGTCATCGTAGAAAGCTGCTCGTAGGGTTGCTGTGGCGTGCTGTAGATTGCTGGAGAGTGGTGTTTTCACGATCCGTTTTAAAGTAAAAGATGCATGTTGTGCGTTGTAAATAAAGGTCTTTCAAATAAGCTGGCACAGAACGGTCTTTTTCCGCCGCTCCCAGTCGTATCCACGCTGTTCCCAAAACAGCTGCATAGATGAGTCTTGTCGAATCCAGACAGCATTCTCGTTCGGTGCTGTCGCTTGCAGACAATACCATGAAAGAAGTGTTGGCTCTGTTGGACAACAAAGAAAACCCGCTTTGGGCATTTGCATCCCTTCACAGTCTGTTGGCATCGAGAGGCAGTGTCAGTGAATGGTGAGGTAGAAGAATAACGATTTGGTATTAATAAAATGAATAGAAAGAAACTTTCTTGTAAAGCAGAAGAAATATGCTTTGTAAGAGGTCACTTTAAGAGGTCACTTTATTTCCTATGTGATTCTGGTAGTAGTGAGCCTTCATGACCGGTTTCTATAATCATAGGCTTTTTCCTTGGAGAAAAGGACTGGAAATGAATAAATAAATTCATGAAAATCAGTAGATATACTTTCCTAAGCCGTCCGTCTGTTGTTGTCTGCAGTCTATCCAAAGAATGAAGCCCTTCACTTCCACACCAACTTTCTTACACAAAATGCACAGTGTCCCTCCACATTTCAACCAAGAGTCACACCAACCCGAAAGCAGTCTTATAAAATCCACAAAATGCCAAACAACTACGAGTATTACTATCAGAATTTGATCGTAGCGCAAAATGTCAAAATGTGACCTATTCATAAGCCGTACCTCCATAGCAGTGACAAGCTGTCCATTCCTGCCTAATATTCCAGGCAACAATTGTCGCAGCTGCGATGTAGAGCCTAGCTTCCTTGCGCGCCCCACTCTATACAGCGCTAAATTGCCCCCTGTCACCACGCGCAAAGACCATTAAAAATTAAATATAACTTTTTTTTCTTCGGCGCCACCACCACAAACCACAAAACCACCGCCATGCAATCCAGCCAACCACAGACCATCATCTGCAACGTCGTCCAGTCCGAAACTTTTCTCGCTTCCTTTTGACTCCTCTGTCATCTCCACACGATAGCATCGCATCACGCACCACCGCCCAACGCACCCGCTTTGACTCTTTGCCCGGTGCAAACAGTCATTCGCACTTGCAGTCTCCTCTCGCCCCTCTCCGCTATTCTCTCCGGCCGCGCCTTCCCTCCGCGACCGCCTTGTACTGCGTGCAAGAGCCAACCACCTTCCCGCAGCTCGCGCGACACTTCCTTCCCTGGCAACCAGCGCACTCCTGCCTGCTGTCTTTGTTGTCTTTGTTGTCTTTTGACGTCGCCCAGTCATCTCGCGTCACGACTGTTTCTCACCTTTACCCATCTCTCCTCTTCACTCGACGTCACGTTTCGATCATCTCGACTTTCATCACGCGCCTCTCACGCCCACTCTTCAAACCACACAAATCACACAAACTACAAATCCGACATCATGGCACAAGTCGACCTCACCACCATCCCCATCTCGCCCGAAGGCGGCAACGTCGCCGCCGATGCTGCCGACTCCAAGATCGACGACATCACCGTCTTCCACGACAAGGAGAACTTTACCGTCAAGCACCCGCTCATGCACAGATGGACCCTTTGGTTCACCAAGCCCGCAAGCGGGAAGGTGGGTCTACGGCCTTTGGAAGGCAGCGCCTGCTGATCCTCACGAGATCACCTGCTGACACACAGGATAGGGCGACAACTGGAACGACCTGCTGAAAGAAGTTATCACCTTCAACTCGGTTGAGGAGTTCTGGGGTATCTATGTACGTCTACTGCCGCCGTCTTTGGCTTCTTTGGTTTCTCTCACGTTTTGTCTTGGCTTCAACACTGACCCCCCGCCTGTACAGAACAATATTGCCTCGGTCTCGGAGCTGGCCCTCAAGTCCGACTACCACCTGTTCAAGGAGAACGTCCGCCCCGAGTGGGAGGATGCCCAGAACAAGCACGGCGGCAAGTGGTCCTACTCCTTCCGCGACAAGCGCAACGTCGACATTGACGAGATGTGGCTGCACACCATGCTCGCCGCCATTGGCGAGACCCTCGAGGGCGAGGACGACGACGAGGTCATGGGTGTCGTCGTCAACGTCCGCAAGGCCTTCTTCCGCATCGGCGTCTGGACCCGCACCATTGGCAAATCGATCCCCGGCCGTGGTGACGGCGACACCGCCGGCGGCAAGGGTCGCTCCCCCGAGAAGGCCCGCGACATCCTCATGGCGATCGGTCACCGCTTCAAGGATGTCCTCAAGCTGCCTGCCAACGAGCAGCTCGAGTTCTCTGGCCACCTCGACGCACAACACAGCGGCAGCACACGAGCCAAAGCCAAGATGGTGGTCTAAGGAAAGGGTTGGTGCGGTGGGATGAGATGCATGGGGATACACGGATGGTAATGGGAGGAGTGTGGGGGTGTTGTCTACACGTCAAGGTGACGAACCCATTCCGTGCGATGGGTGGTTGGTGGCGCAAGACAGGCATACAGCGAGACTCCCTGGGTCTGGCCCACATCCTGCCTTGTCGTCTTCGTCTCTCGACTACGTCACGGCTCGATGTTCGGTCCATTTGTGCCACGCACGCTATATATTTTATGGGATTTTGAGGACCAGAACGGAAATACGGACAAGAACCGAGAAACGGGAAACTGAAAGAAGGAAACGGAAAAGAAAATTAAAATCCTCTGCCAAGAAAAAGAAGAAAATCGACCTTTGTTCGCGCTGCAACACCTTTGATTCCCGGACTGCCTTTGTACCTTGCCTTTGCTTTCTTGTCGAGTATATTGGGTGCCTGATTTGGTCTTTGATTTCGGGAACGGGTTTTCGTTTTATGCTGTCTGTTGCTGGCTGTTGCTGGCTGTCTAATTCCTATTTTTCTGTTGCGTCGCGAGGGCAGAGGCACAAAAGCATTACTGTGATGATGTCACCGGAGATTGTTGGTGTTAGTAGGCGGACATTTTGCCAAAGCACGGTTGAACAGACATAATAAGAAACGGGGAACCTGGTATGAACGTTGTGCTCTGCATTGTTGAATGTGAATGATCCATCGGCCTTGTGTGCATGTCGGTGACTTCCACGACACACAGTTATCAGTTGCCGTCTCGAGCTACAAACTCCCGAACGGTCTCCTTGAACTTGCCTCGTCTTCTCTGGCCGTCCCTCAAACCGTTCTATCTATGTGCCATCGTTTCTTATCTCTCCGCCAAACGAGACAATAAGAAAGCGTCTGCAATCCTAGCTGCCCATTCGCTTGATTTGCTGGGGGGTTGTCTTCATGGCTTGGCCTGTTTGTTGTAGACCCCTAGCACCTCTCTCTTAACACCGATTCCGGCATACGACGGAATGCGGAATATACGCTCTCCTTTACCCCAGAATTACCACCCCGGAATCCCCCACTCTCTGAGATGTTATTTAGGGAAGGAGATAGCGACAGGGCGGCAAGTGACGTACAGAAGGTAGCTGGGAAGTGACGAGAGCAGGTGCAACTACGGCAGGAACTACGTATTGGTCTCTTACGTTTCCCTACACATATGGTGTTATCTTGATCCAGCACGTGTAATTCTTCATCCTCACCTGCCGACGTAAGCTCCCGAAGCTCTCTGGCTCCTTCTTAATTCAGCGGCATCGCTAGTGTGGGATACACGCGACCTCGTCTTGCGGGGAAGGGGCGGAGAGTACGTATGTTCTTTCCTGTCCGAGCTAAACTTCCTTCTTGCCTCTGATGATCGACACCGATAAGCAGTGTCAATGGCAACTTCCTTGTGCATGGCGCCCCATAGCGCTATGCACCTTTGTATCACATCTCTATGTAGTTCCTCGACGTCGACGTTTGACCCAAACCAACGAACTGCCATTTTCATCCCACTCCTCTTCTTTGCCCATCGCTGTCCACCATTACCCATCGGCGATACCACGATGTTGACAGATGGGGAGACAATGTGGAAACGAGACGACTATCGACGACAGGGCTGTTTGCAGCTACACACAGATGCATATATCGGATACGATGGCCGGCATCTATCTATCTACTTCGACCTATCAGCATAATGGAGACAACGGACTTGCCACCAACCTCTCGGGGTTTTGGATCTCTTAATATTTAACACTCGTGTTTCACTCAACATTCTCCTCCAGCGTCAAACAGGACTACGTCACCTCGGGCAACCCTTGTGCTCTCGATTTATTCCCATATTTGCTCGTAACTATTCCAACTATCCACCATCGACTTTCTTGCCCTCCCTCCACTTCTGTCTGCAGACACCTTGACGATGGCAGACCTCGAAAAGACGGCGTCGGTCCCGGCGCTCGCAGTCGAAAACGACGCAGAAATCGGCCGCATTGCGACCAACCCGCCGCCGAAGGGCAGCCATTCGGGCCTCAAGCACGCAGACACGAACAATGCCGACGCGGCCCTCCTCTTCTCCCAGGCACACGCCGCCGACGCGGTCGTGATGACGCCGGAACAGGAACGCCGTCTGCTGCGCAAGATTGACTGGAACTTGATGCCGCTGCTGTGTATAGTCTACGGCCTCAACTTCCTCGACAAGACAACCGTGTCGTACGCTTCGGTGATGGGGTTCAAGGTGCGTGTCTCCCCCCCTCTGCCCCCCTCTCCTCTCCCCCGACTTACCTCCCAGTACTAACAAACCAGGACGACGTTCATCTCATCAACCAGGATTACTCCTGGGTGGCCAGCATGTTCTACTTTGGCTACCTCGCCTGGGAGTGGCCAACAAACTACCTCCTGCAGCGGCTGCCGCTGGCCAAGTGGTCGGCTGCCAACGTCATCGCGTGGGGCATCGTGTTGTGCTGCATGGCCGCCGTCAACAGCTTTGCGAGTGCCATGGCCGTGCGGTTCCTGTTGGGCGTGTTTGAGGCGGCCGTCAGCCCCGGGTTTGCACTCTTCACGTCGCAGTGGTACACAGTGAACGAGCAGGGCTCCCGCGTCGGCATCTGGTTCTCCTTCAACGGCGTTGGGCAGATTGTCGGCGGTTTCGTCGCGTACGGCATTGCCGTCGGCACGAAAAGTCATCCTCTGGCGGGCGGCAACTTGCACTCGTGGCAGCTGCTGTTCTTGGTCATTGGTCTTTTCACGGCCGCGATCGGCATTGTCTTTCTTTGGATCATGCCCGACAACCAAATGAATGCGCGGTTCCTGACCGAGGAGGAGCGCATGCAGGCGATTGAGCGCATCCGGGTCAACCAGCAGGGCGTCGGCAACAAAAACTTCAAGTTGTACCAGCTCAAGGAGGCGCTGACGGACCCGGTGGTGTGGGCGCTCGTGTTTTATGGTCTGGTGGCCGACATCCCCAACGGCGGCATCACCAACTTCTTTTCGCAGCTCGTTGTGTCGTTTGGCTTTACAAACGAGCAGTCCCTGCTGCTGAGCGCCCCCGCCGGCCTGATCGAGGCGGCTGCACCGGCTGGCTGTGGCATTCTGGGCGACCGCCTTCGGAACCGGCTGCTGGTCAGCATTGCGGGTGTGGCGGCGTCGTTTATCGGCATGCTGCTGGTGGCGGTGCTCAACAACTCGCCGGGGCAGCGCATCGGCCGCCTGATCGGATGCCTTTTGATGCAGATGAGCCCGACGTCGTTTGTGGCGCTGTTGTCCCTGATTGCGACCAACATTGCGGGCTGGACAAAGAAGACGACGGTGGCGGCCATGTACCTGATTGCGTACTGCGTGGGCAACATTATCGGTCCGCAGGTGTTCCGGGCCAAGGACGCGCCCGACTATCGGCCGGCAGAGATTACGATCCTGGTGTGCTACGCGCTGTGTATTGTGGACGTCTTGTTTATCTACTTTTGGTGGCGGCGGCAGAACGCGCTCAAGGTGCAGGCGCGAGCCGCGCCGGGTTACCGCAAGGTGATGGGGCAGGAGTTTTACGACCTGACCGACCGTGAGAACCCAGAGTTCAACTATGCTCTGTAGCTGTGGAGGGGTCGGGTGCATTCGAAAGACATGTTGCACGCTGCTTTAACGTTGGTCGCGTGCTGTTTGATGTTGGACGTTGAAGAAAACCTACCTCGAGTGACGCCCCACTAACAACCGCCGGCTCCACCGAAGATCAGCGATCGCGACGACAATCGTTGGCGTCTTCTTCAAACTTGTGTTTTCCTCCCATTTCCTCTGGCTTGTGAAATAGACGAGAACGTAGGAGAATGACAACGGCAATGTGGTCGGTAGCAAACTTTCGTAACCGAAGCCGATGGAGTGGTCGCGAACACGTATATCATGGACAAGCAAAAGAACATGCATATCAGCATACACTGTTTGACAAGGCGAAAGGTAAAGGGATGGATATGCCCAAGTACAAAAGAAAATGAAATAAAAACGCTGTATCCAATTAAGAAAAGACAACCCGCAGGCTCACACAATATCGGTGCGCTTCATCGGCACCCATCACTTGGGGGGCAAATGCGACTAGGTCACTGATATTTTCGTTGTCGACATTCAGCACTATGGAAAATATTGCTTGTAAGTGTGCTTGGGCCATGCTGAGCGCGATGCGGATCGTCTATTGCACAGCACAACGGAAGTGGCTAAGGCGACGACGATGCTTTGTCAAAAATAGTCGTCATGTTGTTGTCTATCCAAGTCCAACAGGGCTGGAATCGTCGAAGAACGGGCATAACGCAATATGAGTTTCGTTTGCTTTGGTGTCTCTCTTATTTTGTTGCCCTGAATTTATTTCTGATGTGTCTCGTTTTGACATCAAATCTTGTTGGGAGAAACAAAGGCAGAAACAAAACCAGGAAATGAAACGACGACGACCACTGGAAACGGAGAAAGCTCCCCAAATGTGACTCAAATCCACACAATCTCATAACCGCTGACAACGTTTGTTCATCGCTGTATTCGCCGGCACCTCTTCTGGCCCCGTCGCTGGTACGGGGTTGCTCAGCTCATTCATTGTCGATCTCCCGCCACTGAACTGATTTTTCGTCTTGGAGTGTTTCTTGCGCCTCGATATCTCGTGGTACCTTTTGTTACCGTCCCTCCCGGCCTTCATTGCTATTTTCGCTCGTCGACGCTGATGCCGTTCTCGGGCCCGGGATAAAAATAATGACAAAAAGGGGCGGCTGTTTCCTTCCCACTCAACGGGTTTGTTATTGCCAAAAGAGGTGCATTGCATATGCTCGATGCGGAGTGCATGTGCTGAAATATGCCGGCTGCTGCATTTTGTTGGAGATGCAACGGCCTGCAGAGAAGGGAGGGTGAGCAATGCAAAATGGACAAAAAGAGGAGAAAATTTCCGGTAAAAGTTTGGTAGTGTGAGCGAGGACGTTAGCAAGTGAGGCAATGGTTGCGTTGCGTGGCATTGCACGACCAATAGCCAGTGATTGCAACGGTCGCAGCATGGGTGGTGGGTGTACTGCGGCTCGTTGTGATTGACCAGCGTGCAGCCAAACCATGGGCATTCGACCATCAGCCACCGGAAGAGTGCTCCGTCCCGCACCGGCACTGAGGAGAAAGCAACGGCCAAGAGGACGAAGTATGGGAAATCTCCGCCTCGCTCTGGACCATTCTGTTTTGAGTGCTTTGGATACCTTATTGTCTCGTCAAATTCGCGAAGGCGATCGAGGAAGGAATAAAACACATCACCCGTCGTTGAAAGTGGGAGGCATATATTGCATGCCATAAAGAAGTCGCAAAGGCAACTCAACTCGTCGGCTTTTGCCAGGTCGTATTGGACCCACGAGAGTTTGCAACTCTTGAGAAGTGGATGCTGCCTTTCCGTATTAGTTGCCTGCAGCTCGTCGGCTTACTGCTTCACGGCATCGAATAGAAGCGAACATGTCCCGCCGACGGCTCCAGACCTGCAGAAATTTTCAAAAACGTCTTAATTTTCTCTGTAGCTGGATCAGAGAGCACGCGGCCAATGTAGACCCTCTCTTGCCCCTATTGTCCTCCTCAAGGAGCCGTAAACTATCAGCATTCGGGGCCTCAGGACCTGTTGGGCAAGTCGAGACCCTTTTGGTATCCAGATTCCACGAACAAGACGACGCTAAAAAGACTGGGGAGCGGAAACTGGGGCTTGGAGAAGCTGGAGAATCAGAGAAGGTCTGTACTTTGATGGTCGACTAATACCACGGATCTGCATTTGGTCTGGTTGGCGGATTACCCAAAACGGCAATCCGCAGTTAAAAGGAAGCTGCTCCAGTACTAGAGGGGCGAGAGATACTACTCCGTACCTCGTAGATGCAATACGTCGTAGACGTAAAATGCGAGAAACACCAAGGGAGGGGTCCGGTTGACTTGTTGTTCGCGACAGACTATTGTGTCCAGTCCGTCACGTCTGCACCAAATACGCACAACGAACTGGCTCGGAAGAATAAAGGACGAAACCACTGCCCTCGTGTCGTAGTCCGCGACGTCGGCGCAGGTAATTCGTTATGTCTTGAGCCACCATGATGCTAGCTGTCTGGGTTCTGCTCCGCCATGCATTTCGGGCTGCCGGGAATTTGCATCTGTCTCTTTTGTTAGTCTCGGTCCTTCTATTTTGACTTTTCTTCGCTTCATTTCCGGTGCACTCAAAAAGGGTCCGGTATGTGAAATACAGTCTGTTTGATGCTGAGCAACAAGCTCGATGTGGAGCGGCACGCGGCCTTTGCACCTGTACATCGTACTCTGCAGGCTGTGCCATCACATTGCAGCCTGCATGTACACATTGTGTGCGGTGAGCGTCTGGACTTTGTATGACCACAATAGGCAATGGACACCTGCACCACCACCCGCCCATCCAACTGCGTTGTGTGGGAGCCGGGTTTTTGATACGCCCAGGCTTGAAGCCACAACCACAGTCCATGTTTCAATTGACGCGGTCGTGTCTTCCGCTCAGGACGATATCCTTTGGGACCTGCTCGTCCTGCCGCCGGATGGCTTCTGCACGACATTGGGCCACGATGAGGCCAGGGGGTGGTCAGAGAAGCCGTGAGTCTCGCATCCTGTTGCATCATCGGATGCACTGCGCAAAGGCCAGGGCCGGCGTAGTTGACTTTGTTATTTCTGGTCCTTTTCTGGCTGTCGTGCCTCCTGCTTGTGGCGCCAAGAATCAAGAGAGAGGACGGGAGGGGGAGGCGATATGGATGGAAATAGTAGCCCGTAGGCCGTACGCTGGTGACTAGCGCACGCTGTGGGTGTGAAGCGAGATGAGCAGACCCAGACTCCAAAGATGCAGAGAAGAAGTGAAGCTAATTGGGACGAAGGGGTGAGAAACAGGGAGAGGGGAGGGGGGGGTGTAAGTTGCGGAGAAAAGTGTGGAGGTGGTGAGGAGCAGCTTCGCTTCCCATTATCCATGACATCCATCGTGCCTTCCTTCTTTGAGATACTCCGGTTGTGCCTGCCACGCCTGTCGCGCGCCGCGTTCACTGTCCCTAAGCATTTGGTATTCCCGACCATTGTTCTTTCCGTTGACGCAATTGTTTTAAAAAACTACTATTTTTTTTCTTGCCCTTTGTAGCAGGAGCTTGCGTGTCTCAACACACCAGCCCAGACCCGCCTTCCCTTTTGGCGCATCCCTCGTCAACTTTTCCCCCGAGACCTCTGTCACTCCTGCCGTACTTACATCGCACTTCCTTTTCCAGGACTGCTGCTTGTGTTCTTTCCGAAAGGAAACTATAAAGCCATCTTTGTGCCCTTTCCCCTTTCCTTTGTCTCGTTCCCTCCCTCTCTCCTTCCTAAGCGTGTTTCTCAGTATCCCCAACATCCCAAACAGAAACTACCCGTCTTCAGCAACCTTCACGAGACATACTACTCGACAGCTGCCCTCCATCCACACTCACCTGGCCACACTCTTATACTCTCACATTTTCACAAAATGGCCTCTCCAGTAAGACATCTTCTTTGCGTCGTACCACGCACTCCCTTCTCGGCCATGCGTCCTATGGCTGCTTCGGCTTTGGGCGCGGCCCCTGGCCGGCTTTTCCGACGGCAGTCTCAGCCGACGTTTGCGACCCTGACTAACAAACAGGTGTTGCCCGAGTTCAGCCTCAAGGACAAGGTGGTCGTGGTGTCGGGTGCTGCCCGCGGTCTGGGTCTGGTGCAGGCCGAGGCGATCCTGGAAGCCGGTGCACATGGTACGTCTCGCGTGCGCCGTTGGTTGTGATTTGCGATCGACACCATCTTTAACCGCTCTTTTTTTTTTTTTTTTTTTTGTGGTCTAACTTTCATCTAGTCCATGCCCTCGACCGCCTGCCTGAGCCGTCACCCGACTTTGCGCGCGTGGCCGAGAAGGCCAAGAGCCTTGGCTCGTCGCTGACCTACCACCGTGTGGACGTGCGCGAGGAGGAGAAGCTCAACGACCTGATCAAGGGCATTGCCGACCAGCACGGCCACCTGGACGGTCTGGTGGCGGCGGCAGGCATCCAGCAGGAGACACCGGCGCTGGAGTACACGGGCGCAGACGTGGACAAGATGATGGCAACCAACGTGACGGGCGTGTTCCTGACGGCACAGGCGGTGGCGCGGCAGATGGTGCGGCTGGGCCAGAAGAAGGGCAGCCTGGCGCTGATTGCAAGCATGAGCGGCACGGTGGCGAACCGGGGCCTGATCTGCCCGGCGTACAACGCGTCCAAGGCGGCAGTGATCCAGCTGGGCCGCAACCTGGCGTCGGAGTGGGGCGAGTACGGCATCCGGGTGAACACCATCTCGCCGGGCTACATTGTGACGGCCATGACGGAGGCGCTGTTTGACAAGTACCCAGAGCGGCGGTCGGACTGGGCCAACGGCAACATGCTAGGGCGTCTCAGCACGCCGGACGAGTACCGGGGCGCGGCGGTTTTCCTGCTGAGCGATGCCAGCAGCTTCATGACGGGCAGCGATCTGCGCATCGATGGTGGCCACTGTGCGTGGTAGGTGATTGTTCAGTGGAATGCGGTAGCTGGCGATTCGAGGGGCTTGAGGGACTGACTGGGCTGGCACATTTGATTTGCATGTTTACGACTGCGTTGCTTTTCGTTGCCTTTCTGTAGAAAATACGGCGGTAATAATGAGACTATTCGAAACAGAGCGAAATACGTATGGACTGGGAACTTCCAAAAAGAGACTGCCGCAATGGAGTAAACCGCAAAAATAAACTCGAATCCAGTATGCCCGATACCTATGCCAACAATAAATGGGGAAAAAAGAAGAATGTGGTAAGAGAAACAACTTTTGTATAGCCGCGCCGTGAAATTACTCGTCTTCCTCTTCGTCATCGTCGTTTTCGATGTCCTCGTCATCACTTTCCAACTCGATTTCCTCCTCATCCTCCTCCTCGTCCTCCTCCTCATCCTCCTCCTCCTCGTTGTCCTCGTCCAGCCGCGCCGCTTGCAGCTGCTTCTTCTCCTCCTGCCGGCGGGCATCCTCCTGCTTGCGCGTCTCCTCCAGCACGCGCTGCCGCTCGGCGCTCGCCTTGCGCTGGGCAACGACAAAGGCGCCGATGGGGGTCTTTTGCCAGTCAAAGTCCTTGAGGAAGGCGTCGACCTGGGTGCGGTCGCGCGGGGCAAAGGTGACGTGGGCGCGCTTGGACTCGATGAAGGCGGCGTTGGCTTCGAGCTTCTGGACGACGAGCACGAGGCCGCTGACGACCTTGTTGTTGAGCTGACGGCCGTTCTTGCCGCCGCGCTTGCGGGCGTCCTTGATCCAGCGCTTGAGCATGATGACGACGGGCAGGGCGAACTCGGGGAAGGCGATGCTGGTGGCCCAGAGCGCAAAGTACTCGGACAGCAGCTCGACGACCTGCTCGCCGACGGCGGTCTGGTAGACGGTGGTGTGCAGCAGCGACTTGGGGGCCTTGTAGGCGACGGCAAAGTCGAGCTGCTTCTCGGTGCTGATCTTGGCGGCCTTCTTCATGTCGGCCGAGTTGAGGACCTCGAGCAGGACGGGGGCGAGCGGGATGTAGGTGCCGGTGGCGCGCGAGACGCGCAGCAGCGACCGGAACAGCTGGAAGCGCAGCGGGAAGTAGGCGGCGGTCGGGATGAGGCGCATGGCGCCCAGGGTGACCTGGACAAGCGGGTACACGAGCAGCTTCAGCTGGCTGTCGTCGCCGCCGGCAGCGGCTGTGGCTGTGGCCGTGGGGCTGCAGTGCTCGGCCAGGACGCACGACCAAAAGTCGAGCGAGTGGACGTACTGCCAGTTGTAGACGTTGCGGAACGCGTTGTTCTGGTTGTGGACGATGCTGTTGCGCAGGTGGATGGCCAGCTGGCGGATGGAGGCGAAGGCGGTGGTGTAGCCGATGGCCGGGTCGAGGCCCCACAGCTCGGCGGCGGAGTTCTTCATCAGGTTGATGCCGGCAATGGTGTTGGCGTTGGTGGCGCGGCTGCCCTGGACGAGGCCCTGGTAGGTGGCCTTGAGCACGGACTCGCGCACGCCCTTGTCGCCAATGACCACGAGGCGGCGCAGCACCAGGAAGGCAGTGATGCGCGTGGTCTGGCTGCTGGCGGGCTGGGCCCAGAAGCCGACGACGGACTTGACGAGCTGCTTGAGCACCTTGCGGAAGGACAGCAGGTACGGCAGCAGCGGCGTCAGCGCGGACAGGGTCAGCTTGAGGGTGCCGTCGTCGGACAGGGTCGAGAGCAGGTGCAGAACCGACGAGGCAAAGCTGCGGATGAGGGCAGACAGGGCCTTGAACTTCTTGCTCTCGGTCTGGACGTAGACGCGGTGGGTGGAGGACTCCTTGACGGGGATGTGGTGCTGCAGGACGAGCGGGACGTGCTTGAGGGCGACGACCAGAATGTCGTGGAAGGCGTCGGGGCTCTTGATGGCGAAGCGCTGCGAGAGCGAGGCGGCCTCGTCGGCGTCCTCGTTGAGGTGGGCGGCGCAGCGGAACGCAAGGACGGCCTGGCGGGCCGCACGCAGCGAGAAGGATTCCGCCATGGACGCCTCCCACTTGGCGATCATGGGTCGCGTGAGCTCGTTGTCGCGAGGTGCAGCGGCAGCGGCAGCGGCCGCGGCCTTGGCCGCCTTCTGCTTCTTTCTGGGCCGTTTGGCGTCCTCGTCGTCCTCGTCGTCCTCATCGTCCTCGTCGTCTACGTCTTCATCGTCACCACCACCCAGGCCGCCCAGATCGGCGTCCTCGTCAAAGTCGAGCGCCTCCGGGTCGTTTTCCTTCAAGAACTTGTAAAACTCGGGATCCTTCTCGGCCAGGGCTTCCATGGCCTCCTTTGTCATGCCAATGTCGGCCGCGTCCAGGTCCAGGTTATCGTCCTCGTCGCTGTCGTCGCTCGGGGCCACGGCGTCGTACTCGGGCTCGTTCTCAGACTCGGAGCCGCCGCTGGCTGACGCACTGTCATCCTCGCCTGCGGCTGCCGCACCGTTGCGTTTCCGCTTGCCGAGCTGTGCCTTTGTGTCCGCCTTTTCCGCCTTGTCCTTGCCCTTGGCCTTCCCCTTAGCCTTGCCGCCCTCCTCCTTGTCGAGGATCTGGAAGCCGCCCTGGAAAAAGTCGTCCACGCTCATCTCGCTGACCTTGGCGTCCGGCCGCTTCGAGCGCGGCCCCGAGCCCACGGTCTCGCCGTTGGCACCCGTGGCGGACGCGGCGCCCTTGTAAAAGGCAGCATCTTGGCCGCGCTTGGCTTTCTTCTTCTCCTGGAGTATGTTCCGCTGCTTGATCTTGGCCGAGGCCTTGCGCTTCTCGAGAACGCCCTTGAGGTGCTTCTTCTCGAACTTGCGGGTCGCCTTTGCGTTTTTCTTGGCGACGGCCATCGTGGCGTGCGAGTGCTGTTGGGAAATTGGCTGTCGGACACTCGGCGACGATGGTTGGTGATTGTTGTGTAAGGGGGAGGGGAGGGTGGATGTTTGGTGTTGGTTGCAGTTTCCCAGAAACGGCCGTCTAAAATCCTCTCTTGCCCAAATGGTCGCTATGCTCAAAAAAAAAAAGTTGTTATCGGACAGTCTTATCGGGAAGGCGCTACCGCGGACGATAGTCTGGTTGGGAAAGGCGGTGAGGCGGCAGTCAATTCTGCCGCCAGTCAGGTGGTCTTGGTGGGGTCGGCGAATGCACTGAAGAGAAGGTGCTGCGAGTGCTCTAGGGAAGCTACGGCCCACTGTACTGCAATTACGTAGACAGAAACAGATAGACGACAGCCTTGCCTGCTGCCTGTCGACCTATATATCCATCACTCAAGTCGAATCAACGGCGCTCTCTCCCACGCTCCCCCATCCTCCCACACGGCCATCGACGGGCCATGCCGACCTCACCAAGCTTGCCCGCAGACGATCGCCGACCATGATTCCGCGGCAGTCGTACGCACCGCTGCCGCCGAGCTACGTGCCGAACACGACGCCGTCGGCGACGATCAACCTCGACGAGGAGGTCAAGCTGGCGGAGACGCGGGCGGAGCGCGACATGCAAGAGTCGCTGGCGGAGATTTTCAGCATCATCGTGACCATTGACGAGCTGGAAAAGGCGTTTCTCAAGGACGCGGTGCCCGAGGCGGACTACACGGAGATCTGCGAGCGCTCGCTCAAGCAGTACAACTCGATCCTCAAGGACGAGGCTGTGGCGGCGGCCTATGGCAGCCTAGACGAATTCAAACAAGAGTGGGATGTACGTGGCAGCCTCGTCTCCATCTCCATTTCCACACCACATCCACAGACACTGACCTGCGCAGCTCGAAGTCCCCCGCGCTACCGAACGGATACGCGCCGGCATGCCGTCAACGGCACTGATTGCCGGTAGCGGCGGCGGCGGTGGAGGCGGTGGAGGTGGCAACGGAAACGGCCACGGCAACGGCGACGGCGGCACCGGGCTTGGTGGCGGTGGGCTCTCAAGTGGTGGTTTGGGTGGCGGCGGCGGCGGCGGCGGCGGTGGTAATGCTCCCGGCGGCGCGCTGATTCTAGAAGCGACACAGGACTTTATCACGTTTCTGGACGCGCTGCGGCTGGGCCTGCTCGCCAAAGACCAGCTGCACCCGCTGCTGACCGACGTGATCCATGCCGTCAACAAGGTGACGGACCGCGACTTTGAGAACCGCGGCAAGATTGTGCAGTGGCTGATCACGCTGAACCAGATGAAGGCGACGGACGTGCTGGACGAGGGCCAGGCGCGCGAGCTGGAGCTGGACATCAACTCGGCGTACCAGGGGTTCAAGAGCACGTTGACGTAGTGATGGAGGGGTGGTGATGAGCGTCTTAATGTACAATTACGTTTCCTTATTTTTATTTTATTTTATTTTATTTTTACAAAAAAGAAACCTACCCTCAAACAAGAAATGTCCAGAAGCTGGGATACACAAACTCCTCTTCAAAGATGCGCCGCACCTGCTCCAGCACGAAGCGCTCGACCTTTCCGACGTTTTTAAGGCTCTGCTTGCCGCTCTCGCGCTGCCCAATCTCGCTCTCGACGCGCACTTCTTGCAGCAGGCCGCCCATTTTCGTGCGTGGCAGGCCGTGGGACGGCGCCGGCGATGCTGCAGCTGCGGCGGCGGTCGTCGGTCGTCGGCCCGGTGTGGCGGGCGCCGGCCGCTCAACGTCGCCCTCGTCTCTCCCTTCGTGGCCGTCGCCCTTGTCTCCGTCCTCATCGCCCTCCTCTGCCTCGTCGTCGCCGACAGCCGCCAGCGCGTCCTCGGGGCTCAGGAAGCAAAAGTGCACGCGCTTGCGGATGTTGGCGAGCACGCCGACGCCGTCAAAGGTCAGACCGGTGATGCTCAGCCGCACGGGGATGCCCACAAAGCTCGGCATCGGGTAGTCGAGCAGGATGTCGGCCGTCAGCAGCAGCTTGACATCGCCCGCGTAGCGGATGCGGAACACGGCCTGCATGTCCTCGGCACGAGGCTCGCGCCGAAACCGTGGCGACGGAGACGGCCCTGGCGCCCCGCCGACACCAGGACCGCCCGTCGCCTGTCCTAGCAGCAGCGTCCTGTCCATGTCGTTGTCGCCGTCGCTGCTGTCGTCGTGGTCGTCAATCGCCGAGCCGCCCAGCATCTGCAGCACATGTGGTGCCTGCTGCTGCTGCATGCCATCGCGTGTCGCAGGCCGTGATGCACCGCCGGCCGACGTCGGCGCCAGCGTCGACACACTGTGCTTCTCGCGCAGCGCCGGATGCTGCATCAGCGACGGCAGATTGGACGGCGGCGACGAGGCCATGCCGCCGCCGCCGCCGCCGCCGCCGCCACCAGGCGTGAGTCGCAGGTTGTCGCGGTAGTAGTCGCCCACCGAGATGGAGCTGCTGTGCGACGGGTTGCGGCTGTGGCTTGGTGGTGGTGTCGCGTCGTCCTGGCGAATGCTGCTGTCGGTGTAGGCGTAGTGGTGGTCCTGGTAAAAGTAGCCGCTGCCGCCCGGGCCGCCCTGCGGCCCGCTGCCGCCCAGATGCGCGCCTGCCATGGCGGCCAACGGCGTCTGCGTCCCCGACCACCCGGCCGGGGTCAGGTGACTATGAAAGTGGTGCAGCAGGTTGGATGTGCCGCCGGGCACGCCACCGCGCGTGCCAGTCGCTCCCGCCGTCGCCGGCGTGGCTGCGCCGCCGAGTCCCGTGATCGTCTGGTGCGAGCTGCCGCTCAAATCGTGGCGATGCTGATGATGACGGTGGCCATGGTGGTGCCGCATACCCTTGCCACGGCCGTCGTCGGCGCGTCGCGGCTGCCGTCTGTCTGGGCCGTTGTCGCGCCGCCGTCGCCGCCGCCGCCGTTCGTCGTCGCTAAACTGCGGCCCATAGTCGTCGCTCTCGTCGCTCTCGTTGCTGTCTCCGTCGCCGTCCTCATCGTCGCTGCAGTCCTCCCCGTCCTCCTCGTAAAAGTCAGGCAGTGGGTCCGTAATGTCCTTGAGCTCAAGCTCCGGCCCGATGGAGCCAAACTCAAAGTCGTGCACCGTCACCGACTTGATGAAGCGCGGCAGCGGCACTGTCTGGAATTTGCTGTGGATGAAGTCGCGTATCCGGTGCGCCAGCTCCTGCCCGTCCGGGCCCGTCGTGAGCGTCTCCCAGTTGAGGTCGATGGACATGATGGGACGTGGGGAGCAAGTAACTGGGGAGCAAGCTGTGAGAGGTTGAGCTTCAACATGTGGTTTAAAGCGATGTTGTAAAATAAGTGGGTCCATATCTCGCTAGAAGGTCCACTGTAGCAAGCGCCTGTAAGAAGCCGTGATGGCTAGCGTGATCCCGCTAACACGTGCAGCCTCGTCTTCATCCATGACCACCTCGACTTCATGAGCCGACAATCCCACACATCGCAATGCACACAAGGCAAAGGATCGTCTCATCATTATTCATAAGTCGCTGTGCGCTAATCAGTCTCGTCTATAGTATTCTTCCCGGTAGGCCAAGGGCCACAACGCCAGTACGTCCACCTCCTCTTCGTCGTCCTCCTCCTCGCCTTCTCGTTTCCTTGTCCCCCCCCCCCCAATTGTCTTTTCCGCCGTCCTTCTCTCCCCCTACTCATCTTCGAAGCGAGCTCGCTGCCCCTGGGACGGGTGCGAGTAGCCCATGTTGCCAAACAGGTGCCAGCAGTTGGGCGCCTGCAGAATGTAGCGGTCCATGGCCTCGCGGAACCGCGACTTGTACTCCTTGGGGCTCGTCACCGTCGGCCGGTTGCGCCCGCCGCCCGCAAAGCCGCGGTCCTTGATCCAGCTCTCCAGCTTCTTGTCCCACGTGTACGTGCGGATGCAGTCGATGATGCCCACCACCAGCTCCTTGCGCGACTCGTCCACCGCCACCATCAGCGAGTAGTCCATCACGTTCTGCCGCGCCAGGAACAGCGTGTCGTTCCACACCGACGCCCAGAGCAGCTTCTTGGCGTGCTCGCGCGCAAACAGCGGCGACTCGTAGATGTACTCGACCATGTTCTCGTCCAGCAGCACCTCGTTCTGCTCGCCCGTCGACTGGATCTTGCGGTTGCGCATCGACCCCTTGAGGTCGAACTTGCGCGTCTCCTGCCGGTCGTAAAAGAGGTTCTCCATGATCAGCAGGTCCAGCTTGATCTCCGTGCCCGTCGCTGCGTTCTTGACAATCACCTGGAAGAACCCCAGCATCTTGGCAATCACCGACGGCAGGTCGTGGAACAGCGCCTCCGCCATGATCCGGAAGTACGACGGCGCGAACCGCAGAAACGCCGCCGTCTCCACCGGCGACAGCGACTTCATCACCAGCCGGTCGTCCAGCGTCTTGAGGAACACCGACTTCGTCTTGCCGCCCTTGGAGTCCCACTTGAGGCACCGCGACAGCGACTCAATGATCCGGTCCGCCACCCCGCATTTGCGCCGCAGCGCGTCGAACTGCTCGGCGTAAAAGATCTTGCACATCATCCGCGCCGAGCCCTCCGTGAACTGGTACTTGAGGTGCGTCCCCGTCGGCCGCAGCAGGCTGCGCTCCAGCTCCTCTTCGTCGATGGTCATGGGCGGTGCCGCGAGCGCGTGCGCCACCGGGTTCGCAAAGGGTTCTTCGCCCTGCGGGACGGGTGTGGGCGTCGGTGTCTCGGAGGCGTCGGCGGGTGCCGCTAGGAGCTGTTGCTGCTCGCTCTGGCTCTTGCCGGCATCCACTGCGACGGTTGCTTCGACGTGCGCCGCATTGGCGGCCAATTCCTTGGCCGTGGTGGCTGCTGCTTCTTCTGCTGGCACAGTCGCCTCGCCGGCCACTGCTCTCCCCTGGGTGGCCTTCATCATGAGGCCGCCCCCCTCGTTGTCGTCGCTGCTGTCGCACTCGCGCGGACTGTCGCCGTCGTGCTTCGCGTCTCCGGCATCGCTGCCGCCGGCGCTGCCTCCTCCTTCTCTCTCATCGTCGGAGTCGTCGTTCTCGTCGGAGCCACTTTCACCTTCGTCCTCTGCGTCGTCCCCTTCGTCGTCGCCTTGGCCGTCACCGTGACGAACAGCCCCGCTGCCCTTGCGGCGCTCTTTCCGTGCCGCGCGCCGTCCCTGGCGCCGGATGTCCTCGAGCTTCGCAATGTAGTCCTCCGAGCTCAGCGCAAACGCAATCAGCGAGCTCGGCTCGTCCTCGCGCACAATGACGTCCGAGTCGATAAAGATGTGGTCCGTCGGTCGCAGCGGGTACTCGAGTTCCGGCCACCCACTCGCCGACCGCTCCGCCCAAAAGTTGCTCAGCATCTTCATCAGGTTCGACTTCTTGTCCTGTTGTAGCTCGGCGGGCACCGTCCCGCTCGGCTCCAGGTGTTCGGCAATCGTCTCAACGTCGGGCAGGATGTCCTCCAGCGACTGGTCCGCGTAGCTGCCGCCCTCTTCGTCGTCCGAGCCGGCTGCACTCTTGTCTTTGTGCTCTCGGTCGTCCGTCTCGCCTTCGGTGGCTCCATCGGCCGTTTCATCCGATGGCTGCTGTGAAGGCAGTGCACTCTCGTCGGTCGTCGGCGACGCTTCTTGGTCGGCGTCTTTGCTGTCCTTGCCCTTGGAATCGGCTCCGACGGCAGCATCATCAGTATGCGGCGGTGGTTGTTTGGTTGCTGTGCCCCCCGTATCAACTGCGGGTCCTGCTGGGGAAGGCGAGACAGCTGTAGACCGTGCATCAGTCGCTGCTGTTGCTGCTGTCGGCGTGTTCGAATCTGCCGGCCGCGCCTCGCTGTGTTGCGACGCAAACAGGTGCTCGTCGTCTGTAGGACCGGGTTCTTGCACCGCCTGGTCGACGCTATCGTACACCTCGACCGTGGCACGCGCCGACGACTTGGGCACGTACGCCCGCGGGTGCTGCATCTTGGCTGCCTGCTGCCTCCGCTCGCGGTTGCGCTCCTTCTCAAACTCGCGACTCAGCTGCTCAAAATGCTGCGTCAGGCTTGTCACCTTCTTGGCATCGCGCTTCTGCACGAACCGCGGGATCGCCGACGACCCCGTCTTGCGATTCTTCAGCGCCGTGAGGCCGATGCGGTCCGAGAACTTCTTTTCGACCTTGGCCGGCGCGACACTGGTATCTGTGCCGCTCCCTGCCCCGTCGATCCCGGCAATCGCTTTGTTGCTGCTGTGCTTGGCCCGGGGCACAACACCCACCGGCTGTGTACTGGCCCGCATCATAGGCGGCGACACGAGCGGGCCAGCTCTACGGGACTGCCCAGCACCACGCGGCTCGGGCACTGGCCGTCCTTGCGACTTGGTCGGGGATTGCAGCTGTGGCGGGTATGGTGGACCGTCCTGGGTGGCATTTTTGCTGCCGCTGTTGCTACTACTGTTGCTGCCG